CATATTTTCCAGCTATGCATGACATTTTATCACGAATCTAGCATCTTTTTCTAAATTGAAAAGGAAATCTGCGCAAAACTTGAACAAAGAAGACGGAAAACGTGCTCCTTTGTTCCCACTATTCTTAATTAAGAACGTGAGTGTTGCAGTCTTTGGTTTACCTTAAATAACCAGGAAAAGGCCATCTGTACACCGTAATGTTACATAGAAACCAAAGACGTCTTTTTCCTGGTCAGTAAATCAATAATGGATCAGGGAATATCATACAAGTGTTATCTCTTATGTTTAGAAAATATCTCTCTAAAAAGTTAAGACTTAGACTTAGTCAAACACGTATTTAAAATGTCAACATCGTTGAAATTCTGAATAAACCTTGGTAAGTCAATAACTCTGAACCATCGATTAAATACAGTGTACATTCATTCTATCTTTTTTCATACTTATACGGGTAAATTGGTTTAGTAACAAAAGGGCTTCAAGATCGAACGACAAAGCAATGCAACTGAAATAGCTCATATTATGTGTACGGGGAGTCGTGATATGCTGACGACAGCAATATCTTCTTTTTTTTACAGTTTGAACACGCTCGTGACTGGTATAACAAAGCGCTGATGTAAAAACATGGTGTTCACGTCCTGAAAATTTTCATTTAAGAGAGTATGATTGACATCTTTATAATATTTCGACTGAGAGAAACCATTGCTTATTTGAGAGACATACTTTAACAACTATGAAATTCAGTTTTGCCCCCTCTGATAAGGAGGAGACTACTGTAATGTCTGAGGATCCACTGCAAAACCTTACTACATTTACTTCATTTTTACTGAGATTATTTCATAAAAGCCTTTTTTATGTTTTAAAGGGAAAAAAACTTTTTTTTTAATTTGTTGGGATTATATTTACGGAATACGCTTATAAATTAGTGCATTTTCATATAAAAATATCCCGTCCTGGTATATCTCTGGATTTGTTGATATTTTTTTTTTATTTTTATTTTGAGAATATGTCAGAAGAAGGGTGTTCTTTAAGTTGACATAGTAATCTTCTTTGAGGATTACTTTGTAGTCCCATCCTGTGACTTTCCTCCGCAAAAGTGCAACCATCTTATGGTGTATGAAAACTCGTATATAGGGTTGGTGTTTAAAAATAAGATCATCCCCTTCTTTTTACTTGATATAGAACTCTGTCCCTCACACAGTAAAGTCCGAGGTCTATAATTTTTACTGATCAGTTATACATATATTTCGTCTCACAGAAATAGGGAAGAAAGATACGATTGTATAAGTAATTATTAATTTACTGCAACTAACTTTCTTCTTGATTGGCAGCTGTTCTAAAGGATTTTCTGTTCATCATCGAGCTGAATCGTCAACCGGAAGTTTGAATCAGACAAGAGCCACAGAATCTTTGTGCTTTTGAAATATGGGAGTGTATTCATGAACATCATACATAAAATTTGCAGGTGTTGAATTGTATTGATCTAAAATTTTAGAGACATGGATGAATTAATGTGCTCTGATCTCATATGCTTCATTACTGTTTGTTTTATGTGATTATATGTTGTAAAGGTGTGACCTACAAAACTAATGTAAAGGCATACATGGCGTGTTCATCCTTGAGGTGTTTAACTTCTTTGGAGTCAATCTATACTCAAAAAGTAATCGATAAACAACTTTGCCTGGCAGCCTTTGAATAGAGATTTCTCTGCAGTTATTTTAAAGTTTTTGAGATTCCGTTCCTATATAGACAATTACTTTAGAATTTATATCTTATATTTTATGTCTCTCAAAACATTTATTGGGTCCGCTGTTGTTTTTTATGCAGGAACAGCTAAGGGATATGACGGGGTTTCTTTTATCATGCTTCAGATATATCTTAATGATTAGATGGAAGAGAAATATTTGAATTTGGAACAGGTCAAAATATGAAACAGTGCATATACTTTAGGTTGAATGTATATGATTGTAAATGTATACCAGAAAATGCTGGTAAAAAAAAAAAAAAAAAAAAAAGGAGTCGGTGTAATTTGCAAACAATAAGCTTGATCATGATTTTGGAATACTAAACTGGTTTTCAATAAATGAATCTGTTTTCTCAAAAAAGGGAGAATTCTTATTTCATCATGGCAATGTCGATAGTAGTTTCAAATGATTCAAGCAAAGTCTTAAATTTGCAGTTTTCTTAGACATGTTTTTAGAAATGCGTTTACCTTTGAAAATTGGATGAAGAGACATGGAATCTTCTTGATTGGGAGTTTTCGCAATTAAAAGATCAAAATCGTTTGGTACATTGAAAGCATATAATAATGAAATAAAATGAGAGTCATCATCAGGATGCATATGATGTACTAGTAAATGTTCATCAGAAATTTGAGAACATCATGTGTTGCATATTTCTCATTCAAAATGACATCAACAACTGCTTCCTGAGAATGGATACTATGTATTCTGAGTGGCACAAATGTTTTTGTCAAGTGAAGAGTGTCGCAGAAACCAGAAAAAAATACTTTCTTCTAATTTCAAATTTGACAGGTTCCACATAGCATGACAATATAACAGTTGTCAAACTCGTGACAATTATGGGGAAGTTTACAGTTTCCATTTCTGAACATGATAGTTCGATCATATGTAAGTCCCATAAAAATTCTTAAAAGGGAGTGGAGCATTGGAACAAAGATATACAAAAGCAATCTATTATAAGGAGGGATTATTTTTTATCTTTCTTAAAACACACACGCACAAACAGTATGACCAGTAAGAGCAGTCAGATAAGTACCATAATTTTAGGGCAAGCTAAAAAGGTACTGTATGGCGATAGTAACAAAAATAACAACAAATTCAACCCTCTGTCAGCAAAATTGATCAACTTTTCAGGGAACCAAATGATAACCAGATGATAAAATAATAAAACGTATAAAAGACTGAAATACATATGTGATGGTGTAAAAAAAAATAGACATAGTGATTAAAAAGCTTACACTGTTTTCACTTGACTCAAAGTTACATGTATCACAATTTGAAAAGAAGGTGGAAACAAATAGATCTAATGGGAAAGGCATTTGGTAAGAGTAGATAAGAGAGGAATGGGTGGAACTAGAGAGATGTGCTGGATACGTGTGATAAAGGTGAAAATAACGAACAGTGATCGATCTCAAAAAATCTATAAACAATACAAATCTGTGTGAAGAGGGCATAAAACACAGACCCCTGGAAATTCCACAGGTGAGATCAGGTGCCTAGGAGGATCGGTCGCACCCGCCGTGAGTCCTATGTATTGATCAGGTAGACGGGGTATTCCGTAGTCAAATTCAGTATTTAAAAAAAGGCCTAATAATTGGTATGAAACAAGTCAGCAAAAATACGACCCAATGATAGGCTGTATTTGCTAACAAGGTCATTATAACGACCAAAAGATTTATAAAATGCTGACTTTAAACGAGGATATTGAAATCCCTGTAGCATCAACTCATCTATCAGTAGCCTGCCTCGGTTTGAAGATTGATCGTACTCGGAGAATGCTCTTAAGTATCGAATAGTTTGGGAGATGTAAATACCATTTGCAGGTGATAACGTGATATTACTACATAAATAAGGAAAGTTGACCATGGAAAAGCAGAAGCCATCTCGTTTGTCACGCAGTTATCTGTTAGTTGGCCCTTATCGTCTATAGTCTGTAAAACATCCAAATATGAAAAAGATATGGCAGACTCTGTGGTATCTTTTATTTCAAGCTCACTGGGATATATCGAATCGACGTAAGAATGGAAGTAACTATTGTTAAATAATATATCTTCGAGGCCACAGCAAGTGTTTACTGCTTCTAATGTAGAAGTTTTTGAATGAATTCTGCTTCATAGGAATATAAAAACAGGTCGGCTAATTAAGGAGCACAATTAGTGCCCATCGATTTTTCAAACAGTTTGTTGGAAGACCTGGTCTCTGGAGACTACATAAATGTTGTCAATGAGGAACTCCAGCATCTTTTTAATATCAACTTTAGAGTACAAGTGTGTAGAATCGGAGTTATTTTTAACGAAGTAATTTTGTTGATGACCAATCACAAGACAGGAGAATTTCCGACTTCCATTTTTATTGAAGAAGCTCATGTCTATGAAATCAAAAAGCATAGTTTTTAATTTGTAATGAGGAATGATTGTATAAAATGTAGAAAAGTCTAATGAAGTGGACATTTATCGGAAATATATATTCTAAAACAAAAGACAACAAAGTTGAAAATAGAAGAATACCAAAAGAATCTTTTTGAGGAAGTAAAGAGAGGTGCGAGTTCATTACAAAAGAAAATTTTGATCGGGAGATGACCTTCAATGGCGCTCTATGAAGTATGATTTACTATTCAATGGTTTGGGTGGTGAGACCAAAGGGGAAGTTACAGAGGCTAAATTCATCTATTTTGAACTAAGGATTAAAATAAATTTAATGTAAAATATACTATGCTGGGCATTACTAATAGGGGAGAGGGAAAACTGGCTCGGGGGAGGGGTTCTAATAGTAAGTTATGGTTGGCACAAGTTACAAACAGAGTTTTTACAAGAAAAAATGTTAGCCTACGCTTTGTCATGTTAAAAACCCGTATAAAACATCAGGTAACATTATACTGACGGACACATTGGTGTTCTACAAATTCTGCAGTGATACATATAGGACGTTATGTAGTATATTCCTTGGATAAAGTTGATTTAACTTCCGCGTTTGATGTCCGTTCTACGATATGACGTAACTTAAATATGCCTTTAATAAACAACCTCAGCTGACATATATAGCCTGCCATTATTAGAATCAATCTGGGATGTACACCCAATGCTACAAAATAGGATTTCCGAAAATTAATATGTTTCAGGAAATTTCCCCTCCGTTTAAACAGCACTCATTTTCGATTTTATTCATAAAAGGACTAGAGTTGTGATCAAGAGGAACTATTTCCAGGTTTTCAATTGTTGCTTGTTGATGAAAATCTGATCCGAGAGAAATCAATTAGAAGATAACAGCATTAAAACAGGTTTGTGTATCATTTTGCACCCAGTATGTAAGAGATTTGCTATTTTGTGTCTTTGCTTCAAAATTGCAACTATTCATTTTTAAAGGTAATTCATAAAGATGTATGTAACCAAACAATTGGTGAAATAGCTTATTCTGATAATAAGGGCCCAATACCTTATCCTGAACACAGACTTTAGGATCCTCTCTACACTGCACAAGTATTTCAGAGTACTTTTTTGTAGTTGGACTGATCTACAATTTGATATAAAATGTAATAGATTGCAATATGCACTGTATCACATAATTTTTAATTCATTCAAGTATTCTAAACATTATATTAGACCAAGATATAGTAATTCAAAACTTTTAAAATTTGCTTGTATTTTCCCCATTTAGTAAGCAAACGCGATTTTTTCTTATCCCAGTACTTCGTTGTCTTTGAAATTTTATCTTGGGTAAAAAGGCCCGCACCCTTATGTTAAAAAGGATTTCGGTAATTCTATGTACTCCTTTATGCTATATAATTTTCTCAAAGTCTCAAAAACATTTTTCATCATTTCGTTTTTTATTTTGTAATTTCGTTTTTTATTTAATAATTAATTTTTTGATTTTGTAATTTCGTTTTTATTTAATAATTTCGTTTTTTATTTAATTATTTCGTTTTCTATTTTTTATTTAGTTTTGGTTTGCACTATTGGGCTTCCGTAGTATAGAGAGTCCCAAAGTAAAAAAAAAATTCAAATTAGTATTTTAATTTTTGAAGTAATTTGGAAAATAAAACAGAAGTGTTTGTTTTTAATCATTTAAAAAAATGCAGTTTTTAAAAACATGTTTGTTAAATACAAATCAAGATACTGAAAATCTAAATTTTGACAAGTCAATTTGACAACTTACTCGAAAATCTTGGACAAACAAATATTCAAAATCGAAAATCCTATTTCGTGGAGGAGGAAGGGGAGGGGAGGTTTCATCTTTTTGACAAAAAAAATTGAATCAGGACTGACAATACTTCAACAAAATGTGGTGGTGGGGGTGGGGCTTTCAGTGAACATTTTCATACTAAATTAGAAGTAAATAATTATGTGTTCAGGAAGAAGTGGGTCTCCCCCTCCCCCACTTCGTGCCTGTATGAAATACAAACGTAATGTTAATCAATGAGCAACTGAAAATCTTAATACCAATTTAGTGAATTTTTATACTTTGCTCAAATAGACTAGGAATTTACAGCATTAAATAGTGTCAGGCCCTATACCAATGTTTTTTAATTTTACTCAGAATGATTCCATCCATCAGGCCCGTAGTTATTTGTATAGAAGGGTGTAGTCTCCCCGTATATTTATATTACCCTATATTACCAAGTTCCTAAACTTGAGCACCGCTGATGTTTGGACTAAGACTGAATTGAAATTCTACCGAATAAAACTGACCAAAAGTTACCATGAAATATGGAGAAAATGAACAGTATTCAAGCTCAAAGTCCATTAAAACAAAACAAATCGGGAGCAGGGCAAACACAGATCTCAGAATTTAGAGGTGGGATCAGGTGCCATGGAGGTGTGAGCATCCCCTGCCGACCGTTCACACCCGCCGTGTGCTCCTTGTCATGATAAATAACGGAATAATCCGTCGACAATTCAGTGTGTAAATAATATATTTGTCAATGCATGGTCTTGACTCTTGAATTTTGTCAAGGTCACCAATTTATATCCTGAGAAATGTGATACCGGGTATGATACTGTTTGTTCCATAATAATATTAACACAATAAAAAAACAATTTTTCGAATTTCTCTTTGTGTTAAATGTCTATATTGGGATAAATGGCAAACTTCCGCCAGAGTTCGTTCGTACCAAAGTGGAGACGCAGAGGACTATGGGTAGTTTGGGATAAATGGGTCAATTCAAATACTCATGATACTTAGATTTCAAATCGTTTAAAATGGGGGGGGGGGGCACTTAATTTTTTCTGAGTATAGGATTTTGCTATAGTAAATTTTCTTTTAGATGCTGACCCCCCCCCTTTGTTGTTGTAAGGTCGAGCACTGCTGGCAAATTCCAGGATTGACAGTAAAAAATTTTTTTTTTTGCTTGTCAGATTTTTTTGGGGAAGTTGCCCTCCCCCTTTTGAAACCGTTGCTACAGGCCTACAGAGCAATTTCAGCAGCACTCTACGAAGTCATCAATTTTCAAAGTTATAGTCCTAAAACAATTTTATCTCAAAAACTTTGTATGGAAAGCAATGATCTGCGCCGGTCGTTTTATCATTTTTAAGATTTTGTTTAATGGAGGGGTTCACGGCAGTCGGAGGAAGTTCTGAACTCCTCAAAGTAGAATATTTATTGTCATTATAAAATGGAGTAAACCCCTCCTCCTTTCAGAGAAGTTGATACTAGAATGTAAGAGACCTAAACCAGGGACCTATATACTAGTATAGTATATAGTTAGTATATAGGTCCCTGCCTAAACATTTTACGCGAAGTAAAACCACACCATTTTCTCTAAGGTCACCCCCTAAAGCCCCTATACCCCCTTCACGAAATATATTTCATATTTTAATGACTTTTTTCTTTTCGTCAAAAAATTGTTGTTGAATTTATTTTTAAAATAGCCTCCCCCTTCCCTAAAAAGAGAAAAAAAAATCATGGGTCAAGTATAGAAGTAGCTGTTATTTACCATCACATGGTTTACGAATAAAACGTAGTTTGTGTTAACTAACTTTGACAGTCTGATTCATCTAAATGTTTATTCTTAGGGGTTTCAATATTTAAGAACATTTATAACAGCGACTGTGTTTTGACAACAGGGTGGTAGACAACTGACAAAGGACAGTGCCCAGAGTTAATGGAGAGATAAAACAAAGATGACAGAGGAACTGAATTGTGTTGAGGTAAATATTTACCTGTACATGAAGCTAATTGTTGACCATGTTCAGGAAACATTCAGTGTAGCATTTTTGTATGATTGCGGCCTACAATCTCTTGATCTATTCACATTTTTCGGTAGACAGTAATCTGAATAATCAGCTGTTCATTAAAGATCCAGACATTTCGTTCCTCTTGACTGATTTTCTTAACAGTCACAAGAATAGCTTAGAATAGAGTTGGTACATAGCACTCGTCGTTCATTCAAATATTTTGGACACTACTTGGATTCAATAATTCAGAATCACGATAATCCGTAAATAAATTATTCTAAAATCTGTATGAATAGCGTTTGAAAGTCAAGTAAAAAAAAGAAGGTTAAACAATTATAATCATTCTGTTTCAATAATTTTTTTAACACTAACAGTATTCTTTTCTCGACCTATGCCTTCTTCAGGTTCTTGCAAGTTCACAGTGTCCCTCTCCTATTCTCTATTGAGAAGTTAATGGCTCGTTTTAGTATTAAAACGAGCCATCAACTTCTCAATAGAGAATAGTGACTACTTGTACATGGACCTGATCAGGTATTGGTTGACATCGGCCTTGGTCAACCAATACATAACCAGGTCTGTATACTCTCAAGTAGACCTCTTCAAAAGTCATAATTGTAAAGAGTTTTTAGTGCTGTAAATATTGACTTCTTAAGAAAAAAAATTAAATATCTTCATATCTGTGCTATTTCACAAATTATGGTTTGAGTAACCACATTGATTTGACTGGAACAGATCGACGGGATGTTAGATGCATACCCCCCCCCCCCCCCCCCCCGCCGCAAACCCATCACATTATTTAATCACAGTGCAAATTATCTTTAGAATACTAGTAAATGAAAATAGTTGATTCACTTACAGCATACTTACTTTCTTTAAACAGATCATCCAGTTTGTGAGAATCAGTCAATCACGTTCTGATTCATTTGTCTCTAATTTACTGACAAGTGTTTTTTTTTATGTAAAACAAGATAAATTTTAGGGACAATAGGTATTGGATGTGAATTATTAATGTTTAAATATGTACAACTTTGTAAATACAAATGTACATTCAAACTTTAACTGTATTATAGTCAAATGTGGCAATATCTTTCTTTTGGAAGAGAAATTTCAAGGGGGTACCTTTAGTTCAGAGCCCATTACATGAAAAGTAATGCATCAACATATAATTTTTTTAGCTTATTCTTTTTCTTAGATATTATTCTGTAAAAAAAAAGCAAAATTTTGAAGATTGAGTCCATAAAAATATTTAAAAATGACCAAAATTGACCAGTGAAGCATATTTTCTCGTACTAAATTTTGATACGTTAGCCTAGCAAAGTGCACATATTTAAAATAATTCACCCAAAATAATGATTAAATTTGGTTCCTTAACATTTTCCTATTCTTTTTTGTGTATTAAAGTTGACTGTTTAGATTTTAATTCTTATATGTAGAAAAATTCGTGGACTGGTACATTTTCAGTATTTTGCATTTCAGGGTATATAGCCTGAGAGGCAATAGCGGAAAAATAAACATGCTGACATATAATTTTTCTTATGTTTTTCCATTGCTGGGATATATGTCTATCTTTTAAAAGCAGATTTTTCAAGATTGAGCCCATTTAGTGCCGAGTATAGAACTACCTTAAGATTAACAGGTTGACTTCACTATGTAATTTTTTTTTTTTAAGAAAAATAGTAATCTTGACCTTCAGCTATTTCAATGCAGTTTTTCATGAATGTATGTAAAACAGACAAAAAGTCAGATATGCCAGTATACTCTAATCTGTACTCAGACATTTCAAAACAATCCAGATAATAGGTATTTTAAACATTGCTGCTCTTTAATTGTTTGTCAGCTCATAAATTATTTTGTATGGGTAATTGACTGACTGTACACAACCTTGCATACAAACATTGATAACTATTATTACTTTGTATCCTGCTGAATCACTAATTATCATTTCATTATCTTCTTAAACAGGATGTGCATTCATTTTAATTTCAATTAAGAAGTAAATGTTTGATCAAAACTAGCTGCTGCATGGATATAGTATATTCTGAAATTGATGATAGTTAACAAAGAAAACTATCATGCAACCAAAGTGGGACTTCGTATTTAAAAAGATTACATTAAAATGGTTTAACCAAGCTGTTTTTAATTGCTAATTAAAGTAAGCTGATCAAGTAAGCTCATCAAGGTTAATCAATATATTGTGCCATATTTTCATTTATGACAGGAAATAATATCAAAAGAGTATGTGATGTATTAATTAAAATGTACCAACTCATAGAAATTTCAAAATAACATGATAAGTATCAATTTCCTGTTTATCAAATTTTGGTAAAAACATTTTCTGGAAATATTTTTTTTTAAACCTGTGAAGGCCAAATTAATTCTAAAATGGCACCAACAAAATGAGTTATATCAGGGAAGTAAAATAGAAGACATAAATTTCCTAAAGTTGGTGTGCAGGTTCTTGACACCCACATATTTTCTATTAATTCTATTAAATCACAAGTTTCCTTTTATTAATTATTTCCATTAAATCATTAATTTTTATTTTGCCCAAATTACACTTATTTGAACACAACATTCGATTTCCTATGGAATTTCTATTTCAACTTTAAAGTGCATTTTTAGAAAAGTAGCTTTACTTCTTATGCATATTTACTTCAACAAATATTGTACTCCGAGGTATATAGGGAACGTAGGGACAATAACCGAGACTCTTACTTATAGGAGTAGGGGAGGGGTTCATTAATATATAATTTTCCAGTGTTTTTATTGATTTCATTTGTATATAGAATATAGCATAAATCGCTGTATTTTTGTTTGTTTGGGTTTTTTAGGAAGTGGACGTGCCAAACGCCACCATTCCTCGTTTGCAGTTCTTGTCGCACCTCTCCAGTGGTCTAGAAGGAATCCTGAACAGTACGCAGCACGCTGACGTCACGATCCAAGTTGATGACCACGAATACCAATGTCACAAAGTAATATTGGCGGCTATGTCTCCATATTTCGAGGCTATGTTCACCCATGATATGAAGGAAAACCGTGAAAGTGTTGTCCGATTACATGACATAGAGCCCGAAATATTTGAAAATCTTCGAACGTTTATGTATACAGGAAAAGCCACGGTTAGGGAAGACAACGCGGAAAAAATATTTCGCGCCTCGTCGCTCATGCAGATACCCTGTTTGCAAGAACGATGCGAAGATTTCTTACTTTCTCAAATTTCTCACGAAAACTGCATTGGGATATGGAAGATTGCGAAGGCACATGCGTGTCAGAAACTCTGTGAGAAAGCGTGGGGCACTATTCTTGAGAACTTCCAGATGGTTTGTACCACAGAAGATTTTTTGCATCTCGATATAGACGAAATTGTTCTTATTTTCCAGGATGATTATTTGAAATCTCCCTCAGAGGAGTTTATCTGTGATGTCGCTAACGAATGGATTGACTTCGATAAAGATCGCCGTTGTCAAAATATCTGCGAAATCCTTCCCTCGCTGCGCCTTCCCCTCGTGTCCTCAGATTATTTGTTCCATGTTTTTGACTCAAATATTGTAGTTCAAAACAGCCCCCAGTGTAGGTCGGTTATGCGGGAAGCTATGCGTTATCACACTTGTCTGTCCAAACGCCAAGATTTTACATCCATTCGGTGTAGCAGAAGAATGACCAGTAAAGTCGACGATGTGTTGATCGTGATTGGAGGTTTGTTATCCACCACTCCTCGATATCAAACGACAAAAGAGGTTCTATGCTACAGCTTCCAGCAGGAAAAATGGTTTTATCTTCCTTGTTTGCCGTACGATCCTGGGTACGAGTTCGCAGCCTGCACACACGGGGACAGCATATTTGTCTCTGGCGGATGGTTGAAACTCCAAGGCCTTGCAGAATTTAAGACTCACAAAAACGAATGGAAGATCTGTGAAACCATGACAAATGGAAGATGTGGTCATGTAATGGTCTCAGTAGCACACTCTATCTTCGTTTTGGGCGGAAGAGATGGGCGGGCACCTGCTATGACGAATATAGAGGAATTTAATCTGCAAACCGAAAAGTGGTCCATGGCTGGTGATCTCATACTGGGAGTAAGGTCTACATCAGCATCGACAATCGGGGAAAAAATATTTATCTTTGGAGGAATCACAGAATCAGATAAGGACACAATGTCTGTACAATGTTTTGATACGCGACTACACTGCACTAGTATAATAGGCGATCTTCCTTTTACTTGTCGACTCACCCGAACTGTGAGCTTAGATATGTCCGTCTATGTTCTAGCACCAGATGGTAGAGTTCTTGAATTCTGTGACCCAACTCTGAGTATCATTTCCCACAACGTATCACGACCAAGGTCACGCTGCGATTCCTCAGACTCGACAGACGTCACCGTGACGTCGACAGAACCATATACGGTAACAACAACGTTATCACCAGTGCTGGGGAAATTGTTATGTCGAATTCCCAACTTCAGTCAGCATCACTTCGAGGTGATCCAGCATCGCGGGAACATCTTGCTTGTTGGTGGGAAAACACCTGACAACACAATTCTGAAGAACATCATACAAGTCAATGTTCGTTGTAAAGGGGATGTCAAGGTCACCGATCAGACACCGTTGGAGATGCCCTCGGCACGTTGGTGCTTCGGATGTGTCAAAACAGTTGTACCACGCGACTATCTGAACAATGAAATGAGAAACTGATTCGAAATAGTATTTTTTAAAACATAAACAGACTTCTTGCAACGTGTTGCAATTAGACACATGCACAGAAATGTTGCATTGTATTAGTTGATGATAACAGTTTTGTTCGTAGCAGTAGACAGAATTCTTGTGTCATGCATTTGCTTCTAAGAACAACAGTAGTTTAATTTGCTGCCCAAAGTCATAATTTAGATTTATGAAGTCTTAAAGTTTTAGAAATGGCATAATGTCTTTCAACTCTAGTGCAATGTATATGTTGTTTGTTGTCTCTTTTCTGTTGTTAATGTTTAGAGTATTTATCTGCTTAGCTTGCCTGGCGAAATTTCGGAGAACCATCCTGTTATCTACAACATATTTGACGGTATCATTGTCAATGTTTGTTGGGTTTTTTTTGACAACAAATGCAAAGTCCAAATAACATTTAATGTTCGTAAACAGTGTCTTTCAAATTCATATTTTGCATGTATCTTCCTTTCTTGAATAGGTTTTAGATTCAGTATCTATACCAATCAGTTTGATCTAAGACCAAAGTTGAGATTATATTTATACACGTTACCTTTTGGTTTATATATCATTTATTTTATTCCTATTAACTTGGTTGTAACAGATGGCTTATACTTTGATAAGGTAACATCCTCATTCGAAAACTTTCAGAACAAATTCATTTCGTCTGATTGAAAACCGAAATTTTAAACACCCTTCATCCATTTTAGCTTTTTACCAGGGTTGCGTGTTGTATCCGTGTTGCCCCATTTTGAGGTTTTGTGTTTTAATTTGATTTTCCCTTGATTGTAGTGCGCTATTAAATTAATCGGATTCTCTACATTCATTTTTTCTTGATAAGTACAAAAGATTTAATCATTTTATACTTAAATGAATTCTTGCTTTAACAGGATTTAGCTGGATCGGAAATATACATCATAGTAATCGGAAATACACTTCATGCAATACTTTTGTTTTAATTTTTTAGTGTATTTCCCCCCTTTGTTTATAGTTGTTGCATGTGGTCATTCGTCATTTGAGTAGAGGAATAAATAACTGTTGACCCAAGTTCATTGTTTTTGTTTTTTTTCAGTGTCGTGAAACAAATTGCTTATTTGGTCAAACTACATGTAAGTAGAGTGATAAATCCTGAGACAATGTTTAGCTTCTATAGTGGCGGATCCAGAAATCTTGAAAAAAGGGGGGGGGCACGGCCACACCCAAAAAAATTGATTTATTAAATCTTACGTATATTTTGGACACAAAGGGGGGGGGGGGTCTAAATCCGCCAGTGTTCTTTAAAATAAGCATGGAATAATAATCCAAAAGAAAAAATGCATTGGTTGAAATTCAAATACATTACGTTGGCCTTAATTAGGACTTGCCTATATTTTTTTTTCTAATAAGGCAGACAAGTTTAAACGGTTTTTGCCGGAAAGCTCAGGTGTATGAACACCTGCTAAAGATCGGGAGGTCTGAGCTCGAATCCTGCAGGGTCTGTTCTGTCGTATTTCATATCATTCTGTTACATTTGGTGTCATAGACGGTGCCCTGATAGTGATTGTTAAAGTACTAAGGAAGAGGAGTTTGGTAAATTTGGGACCCAAGACATTTCATTGGGCAAGAATGTGGCGATGATACAGGTTTGTTCGCAAGTGACCAGATAGTTCAGCTGGCAGAACTCATGTAGATATATAAATAGTCTCTCTCCTCTCTCTCAACTTTGATCGATTTTGTGCCCTTAAATCACTATATTTTACTGCCATTAATACATCATTTTTATAAGAACATCGCCTGATCCTTGCAGACTGTAAATCAATAGATTTATACATCGTGTATTATATAAATACTGCATGTAGTTGAGTGTAACATTGAAAATTTTCACCCCAAGAAAACCATTGTCAACCGAGGCGCAGCCGAGGTTGACAATGGTTTTCTTGGGGTGAAAATTTTCAATGTTACACTCAACTACATGCGGTATTTATTATATTATACTGAATGTTTTATACAAATACATATTACAGTGAACCTTGCGCGCATGAATTCTGCGCAGTCAATATTTTTTGGAATAACACCCGTCGTCAAGCAATGTTAACTGTTGCTACGCTGGTGGGCGTGGCTTCAATATTCAGCGGGTAATAGTGTTTTTTAACAAATGCTTCTCGGCGAATCAGATTAAACTAATTTACATGAAAGTATAATATAAGAACATAATATTCTGAAGTTTGTTTGCTTCCTAATATAAAACATTTTGCTCGAAGTTCATGAAGATAATATTGGAGTGTATTACCACACTGCTCAACGCGTTATCGGCTATTCGGTTGTTATCGGGCATTCGGTGCAAGGAAAGCAAAGTTTAGAAAACATAGGTGATTTTAAATTTCTTAATTCAACGATAATTGCGTACTTCAGCAAAAAAGTTTTTGATCTTAGGCAGATAAATGATTATACTTTCAGCAGCAAAAAGAACAAACCAAATCACTCTCTTTCTAAATATATACAGCTTTTTCAAATGATATTTTATTAAAATTTCGGAATATTTCATCACATTTTAGCTTTTGTAGAAGTCAAAATCAGATTATTCTATAAAACAAAACGGTTTATTTATTCTATGGACAATCATATACCTGAAGATAAGCAGACTGAGATCAAAAATCCAAAGGAAGGGTTAGTTAACAGGCATCTAAAATGTCTCGTTAGGTTAAAACAAGTTATCGTCGACAAGGTTGATGTTGCCGGATAATTCGGTTTTTACGGGTGTACGTTATCGGAAACTCAGGTTAAAAAGTTTCTTTCAGCTTTAGAAATAGATTGGGAAAAAAAGTAATTTATAATCCGTCAATCCTTGAAAATAGCAGACGTAACGTGTTTTAAGGATATGCAATCCTCAGTCATGAAGGATAACTCTTAAAATTATTATTTAATTTAAAAAGTCTCAACATGAAGCTTGAAATCGAAAACTATTCATGCAACAATTTCCATTTTATGCATCTTAATATGACTTGAGGTTTTGGAAGTCTTAGAAAGGGTCTTGTAAAAAGTTGACATTTGTTCCTTATACAAGTAAAAAATAAATACAGTTTTAAATGAATAGGATTTTCTTGAGTTTAACCTTAAACATCAATGCTTTTTAGCATAATATGAAATTGGAAGTGATTTATGATGTCTTGCAATGATAGCACAAGCTTTTCACACTATGTATTCTATAAAGTTTTGAAGAAAATAGAAGACCTATACATGTAAAACCAAAAAAGTATTTTTTTAAAAAAAACATGCAAATTTCCCTAAATGCCTGGATACCTATTATTTTTTAACTTAAAATATATTTGTTGATCAGTTTTCAATTAGAAAATGCATAGTTGATGTTTCTATTCGTCTTCTGAATATATTGGAGATTTGATTATTTTCCCTATGTAATATGATAAACTATAATGATTAACTTAGAAGAAATACAATGGGTAAATATACATTAATTTGTGAATTCAGAGATATATTTGTGAGCATTTTCAATTACATAACTGCCGAGGATCGGACTACTTTAAGTAATTTTTTTTTTAATTTTCCAGCTTTCCATTGTTATTTTGTTTTGATACTCGTACATGTATATAAATAAGAATAATTATTATAATTATGATTTTATAATTTAACTCCCTGTCTGTTCAATCATTTTTCTGTTCTCCATTTAACATTATTATATATGACATGTATATAACAAATCTATAGTTGCTTTAGTTAGTCACGTCTTCCGATCTAATACTAGTATGTCATTTTTAAAAAAAAACATCGTCACTTCAAGTGCCCAAATGAGCCTAGAAGGCTAAATGTTTTTATGTCCAATATAGAGCAATAACATTGTTTGTGTCAAACCATTTGATTTTAAGGTTTAAAATAGAGGAAATAGAATGATGTGCATATCGCAAAGAAATATTTCTTTATAGATTAAATTAAAAAAAAAAAAAACGTTAAATTTCCCAAACGTGAAAAATACTTGGGGGGCTGGTCGATTCACTTCACTTCTTCATATGTTTAACTTTTTCTACAATCAGTGATCCGCGTTTTCAATGAAGGGGGGGGGGGTATGCCAAGGGTTTTTTTTTTATTTGCTTGAGTATAAAAATTCAATAACTCTACAAATTCCAGGTGAGGTTCGAATCTCCCCGACGCCCCCCCCCCCTCTCCAGCTCCAGGCATGAGCTCCACCTACACATTGAATTATCTACGGGTTTTCCATTTGGCCAATGACACAGAGCACACTGTGGGTGTGACCAATCGACAGGGGGTGTTTATTCTTTCTAGGGCCACTGAACCAACCTCTGATGTTTTTAGAGGTCCGTGTTTTCTCTGTTCCAAATTTATATTGTTTCAATAGACTTTTGAGCTTTATTACTGTTCGTTATCTTCATAATTTCCTTCCTTCAGTAACGCATTTTGAAAACTAGTAAAGTCAATCTCTTTATTTTCCCTCAAAAGTTAGAATTCTAGGTCATATTTGGCTTAACACCCTTTTGGGAAATTCATTAAACCACTCTTGAGTTTAGATTCTTTAATTGCTTGATACCGAACTAAAACATGTATGTATTTAGTACTAACAAAAGGTGGTTAAGGGTAGATCAAAAATGCAAAGTCAACGAATAAAGACGAAGCAAGCAAAACAGAGACAAAAGCGAAGAACAGTGTGTAACTGTGAAAGGCAATCACAGAAAACTAAGAATAAATTACTGTGAATTCAGCAATTATTGCGAGTCTTTTATATTGCGAATAATGCAATGTAAGAATCGCAATAATTAAATCTGGAATCTGTATTTTGGTTACAATAGAGATTTATAATTCAGAGGTTTTAAAACTTAAACAATATTTTCGAACAGGTCAAGATCATATACATTTCAGTGATTATGAGAAATGCCAAAAACACTCTCTTTTTTTTTAAGTTAAGTATTCTAAAAAGAGACAAATGATAGCCAAAAATTCGAATTGTGTACCTGCCATTCTAAATATTTAGATTTAATGAAGTTTTCTGTTGTTTCTTCACATTTTCCTAACCTATGACAACCTTTGTTTCCGATAACAAAAACCGAAATTTCCGATAACAAAGTGAACCATTCAACCGTATTTCCGATAACATCCTAAAAGTTAAAAAACGGGAATTTTTACCCTTTAATTGCATCTTTGCGAGATTCTGACGATGACACATTGTGGACAATGACTAATGTTAGGTAAATATAAGGATTTTGAAGAAAGAGGCTATATGCAGCAATGCCAATCAGACAAAAACTTGCAAAATATAACAAATTTGACTTTTAAAGTCTTCCCAAGACTCACAAATACTATAATAAAACATATTGGGGCTTTATTTTGTATCTGTATTCATTCTTGTTCACAAAAAGCACAATCAACATTCTCTGTTTCTATTATTACAATGTTTATTTGCAACAATTTACTAACCTGTCAAAAGTTGTTATCCACCGAATGCCCGATAACAACCGAATAGCTGATAACGCGTTGAGCAGTGTGATTACTATTGGATCCTAACTAGAATGAGAATGAATTTACATTACTACATTTACATGGCACTTTGTTCATCTCTGTCATCGTATCACACACACACTGTCTTCTTTTATAGACGATATTTATGATATTTACCCCCCCCCCCCGAAAAAAATACGAAAAAAATATTTAGATTTTCTCGGTATGTTTTGCCATATAACGTCGTCCCTCGTTTAATAATGAGGCACCTCTCAAATGAAAGATCGTTATCTCCGTTCCTTCTCACTGGTTAAAATCCCGAAACTGCATATGTTCGCAAAAAAGCGAAAGCTAATAGGAATTCCAAATTTCAGGGTATGCACGGTCACCTAAGTATATCTCAAAACTGAAAAGTTTTCAAAGTGCAATTTTCTCTTCTTTCATATATATATCAAGCATCTTCAACCAGAGAGCTGCAGTTCAACGGCTACATTTTCCTCTGAGTTATGAATGTTGAGGTGTGCTCATGGCTAACAAAAAGATTTTAACAAACTCTTCAAAAACGGACGATCATAACCTGGATTACTTTTTATGCCCCAATAATTAAAGATTCGGCATATAGTTTTGGTATGTCTGTCTATCTGTTTGTCCTTCATATTTTACATGTGTATTCATTGTGACAAGACTTTCTTTTGGTGTCGACATTTTTGACTTAATGACCTTGACCTAGGAGTTTGACCTACTTATGGGAAACTTTAACCTTTGTTATAAATTCTGAACAGTTGGTGCTAGTGCTTCACATTTCAATTGTGTGTATTCCCTGTGAAAAGACCTTTCTTTGGTTACCGACATTTTGGACCTCCTGTCCTTGAGCTTGGAGTTTGATCTATTTAGTACTTTTGAAAAATTTTAACCTTTGCCTTAACTTCTACCAGTTTTTTATAGGGCTTTCTTATATAACATGTGTACTCCCTGTTATTAGACCTTTATTTGGATACCAAGATTATTGGCCCCCTGACCTTGGAGTTTGACCTACTTTAAAAAAAACTTTCACGTAGACTGTAACTCTTGAACAGTTGGTGTTAGTGCTTTTATATTTCATATGTTTATATTCTTGAGTCAAGACCTTTCTTTTGGAATCAACATTTCTTTTACCTCAAAACCTTGACCTTGGAGTTTAACCTACTTTTGAAAGACTTGAATTTTAGCAATGCGTCATTCGAGGGTGGGGGTGGTTGGGTGTCAGTGTTTCACAAACACGTCTTGTTTTTCTTTGAATCTGTATATTATACAGTTTTCCTAGAAAGGGCTCTACGAACTGGTTGTGCGTATACAGCAGTGTTAATTTGTATAAAAGCTTGCTATACTTACATGTAGAATACATATTTGATTTCTATCCTAACGGTAACTTTTATTCAAGCTATACCAAAAACTATAAAATCTATAAAATCATGAAACTATAAAATCACGAGTATGTTGAGTCAGTAATTATGTGGAGTGCATTTTTGTGTCATCTGCGGAGCATGTTTTGACGTCTGTCTGTGATTTTGGGAGGAGTTTTTACTTTTACCAAAGGTACCTTCTGGCGATGCATGTGTTACTTGCACACTGTTTTAGTAGAGTTGTCCAACGGCAACCATTTTTCTATGCAATACTGAAACAGCTGTTAAAACCAACTGCATGTAACATTCAAGCCGTCATCAGCAAGGAAGTTAGATAATGATTCAAATACAAAAAAGGCCATTAGAGTTAATTAATTTTAAGAAAGTTTATTACTCATTATGAATTTCTTCCAAGCTGCTATTATGTATCCCATCCGTAATTATTTCCAATGTCCAGATTTAATGAGGGATGTTCAAAATTCACTGAATTAACTTAATTCTTTTCAAAATCCTCTTTTTGCATCAGGATGGTCGTAAATATATAAATCCTACTGGATTGTTCCTAATTCAGCCAAAAAGTGCATTAAAAAGTTTATTTTGCCAAGTCCTTTCCTGTGTCGCGTTCCTATTCTTAAATTTTATAATACATTGTATCCTCTTACTAAATGATTGTGGAAAAGTATCACTTTTCAATGCTAAATAAGTAATTGATGCTAATTGGTAGTGTAAGAGTTCGTACACCTATTTCTGTCTACAGTGAAGATGACGCCCGCTTCGCTGATACCACAAGCACCTGAAGCGTGGATGACCCTCCCCCCCCCCTCCCTAACATATTAACTAATAAAATATAAGGAGTCTTTATTTTTCTCGAAAATATGCGATTTCTCCGTCATTTCTATCTGTATGTCATTCTGTGCAAGTGGTTTGTACTTTTGTTTGGTCATATACGGTATAATAAAAATACACGTATTTTATCATCACCTGCATACGGGGTGTATATCTCTCAGTTGATCTGATACGCAAGAGCATGCTCTACGTATGAACAATTTCTAAAACGAGGTACGTTATTGACAATCAAGTTGATGAAACAAGAATATCAACAGTTTCGTTTAAAGTCATCATTTCGTAAGTTCTATGGTCGATACAATGTCCTTGTCAGTAAATACAATCTATCATTAAATCATATGCTGACCGACGTTTTTCATACTAATTGTTAGACCATTATTATACACTAAATTTTCGACGGATTTTTCCGTTATTTACCGATCATGACAAGGAGCACACGGCGGGTGTGACCGGTCGGCAGGGGATGCTCACTCCTCCATGGCACCTGATCCCACCTCTGTATTTGGAGATCCGCGTTTGCTCTGCTCCCAATCTGTATTGTTTTAATGGACTAAGTCCTTGAACTTGAATATTGTTCGTTATCTCCATATTTCGTTATACTGTATATGGCCAATTTTTAAACCTTAACAAAAATACAAACCAATTGTACAGAATGACATACAAATAAAATTGACGGAGAAATAACATAAAGACTCCTTATATTTTATTAGTTAGTGGGGAATGATCCATGCTTCAAGTGCCTGTGCTGATACATGGTGTTTAGTTTCAAGTTCTATTAGCAGTTAGCAAAAGAATTGAAGTGAGATGAAGTAAAAGTATGTTCGTAACTAAAATGTTGCATAAATTATTTGATTTAATAATTTTGTTAATAGATGAATGTTCATATGATTATTAATATTGGCATATTTCATATGCAATATTCCACTGATCGACTTTCATGACTGGGCGCAAAAATACGTGGTTTGATTGAACTAATAAACATGAAATAACAACGGAAAAATGGAATTCCATGAAATTTTGAGCCCAAGAGCTGTTACTCTTCAAAAATTACAGGGGATTGCTCTCGGAGAGTAGACAAGTATTTAATGTTTAAAAAATAATACTTTAAATAAATTTTTTAAAAAACACACTTGTTAATGTACGATTTTCATTTTTAAAAAAAATGAATGGGAGCAAACCTCTGTACTTAAACTCTATCAAAGTCTTTATTGAATTCCTTTTTTTTAAATTCAGGATTTTTAACATGTTAACTTTTCATTTACGCACTAGAGTAGTGCAAAAGTTTCAGTCCATTCTTACAATGATAGCGAGCAAAGTTAAATTTCGAAGGGTGTGGACATATGATACACAAACCTTTGATACGGATGAATAACGACACAAGGGAACAGTATCTACTTACCAGTGCGCGTCATTAAACATCTACCCACCATGTTACAGGATTTCAATACATTTGGATCCCTAAATTACACTGTAACATGAAATTTTTTTTTTGTTTAAGAGACCTGTGAATATTCAGAGGAGGCAGAAAGTATATTCTTCTCTAGGATCACAAGTAACCGATTAAAAGCAAGCAACAATCACAAACTTCCAACTGGTCATGGTTAACACCTTTTCTGCAGCCAAACTGCCCAGACCTTGTATTTCTTAGACAAAATTTTACTGCATTTAAAGATCAACCGAACTGGAAAAAAAACAAAAAGGTGTTCGGTTTCAAGGATAAAAGAAGCTGAGCTAAGACTTTTTTGGTTTTTATTGAATACCGGTTTAACTCATTTAACACACAACTAAGGGTTAATGATATACACACCAACACCTGCTTAAGAACAGCTGCACTATGCCAGAGAATTTTATTAAGATAAAATAGCAAAACTTTGTCACAGGTGCTTGAGAACGGGACTCCCTCCCCCTTTCGTGTTCCGTATCCCAAGGGTTCTTTGACTTTTTTTTAAATAAAATATTTTTCTGTGACACATTCACAAAGTATTACAACTGAAAAATCCAAAATAAAACCTAAAACTAGCCTTTTATAAAAATTCACACTCTCTGATACTAAAAGAGAACGTTTTCTTTTAGTATCAGAGTGTGAATTTTTATAAAAGGCTAGTTTTACGTTATATTTTGGATTTTTCAGTTGTAATACTTTGTGAATTTGTCATAGAAAAATATTTATTTTAAAAAAGTCAAAGAACCCTTAAGGTACGGAACACGAAAGGGGTGGGGGGTCACATCCCTAAACACCTATGTACTCTGTAAATGGCTTTAAATCTCATTATTTTAAGAGTAGATAGAACGGGGAGAAATTTGTAAAGTTTTAATTTCTTAGTAAGCAATAATGTACATCGTTGATTTTTTTTTTCCTTTTTATACTTCTGCTTGAGAATTTCTAATGGTATCAACATATTAAAATTTCAGAATATTATTTGCCACATTGAAAGGACATTCTTGTGTAATGACATTCTTGTTTATCATAAAAAAAATTTCCTCCTATTAAACAGCTCTTAGTTTTTATCAGGAAAAAACTAAATAAACTAATACACACCACACTGTCTACAGAGTTCATTATGCAATAATTAGAGAGATTTTTAATGAAATTATTATACATCCTATACATTAAATATATTCTCATCAAGATTATACAACATTCATTCATAAATATGATACATGTATAGCAAAGACTCTATACAACATATATATATCTGACTTATGATGTACATCACAATTGTGCATTTATGCAAGGGAGTGAAATTTTCCAAGGGATTATTTCATACAATGAAGATTTCCTTTTTGTTCCTTTCATATTTTCTCTTAAGTAGTACAAGTACTTGAACATAAATTGCCTACAATTACAGTATTCTTTAATATTTAATTGCTTTAGCACCAAAAACAGCAATACAATACCCAATGGAGAAATCCCTCCCTTCACAAATTACAATGTATATTTAATACAATATTATATTGTATTCTATTGTTATACATAATTTCAAGAGCTACAATAATTTGGATAATAAACTTTGTCTACCAGTAAGCCATCTACCTAAAGTCTTGATGCAGGGATCATGCAATCAACATTAAAAAAGAGAAAGAAAAATCACTTATTTGAACAACCTCTGAGAGAAAAGGTCAGGTGGAAATTCATGGCACTCTTTAAAATATGTCTTTGTCAGTTTTTAACAACATTCCATAAGGTCATTTAAAAAAACTTTTTAGTCTGCTTAAACAGAACCCTGCCATACAGCTAACAAATGTTTTGTTCCAGTGTCACCACATATCAATTGATTTTTGACATTTTTAACCCCCCCCCCCTACAAATAGGTTTTCTAATTACCAATAAAGAAAAATTAATCTGATGGTAACATGTGGTTTGTGACAACTACTGTTTAACAACATTGATTTTTTTTTCACAACTTCTGTATTGATCACCAATCTAGCTCTCTGATGTTACGCAAGGAAAAAGTCAATACAGAATTTTCATAATAAATTCCTATTTGCCCGAGTGAAATGATAAGGAAAGAAATTTTACGTACATGTATATAAATGTCGCATTAACATATAAAAAAAACTAATCACCACAAAATTAAATCTTTGTCTAATCTCTTTTCATCAACAAAACACATAAACTAGAAAATGGCAACAAGGTACCTGGATGGTAAAAATATAATAATAACAACAGATTAGTAATTCTATAAAAAAAATAATCAAAACTAAATTTGTTTCAGATCTTTCACTTCATCCTTCATAGTTCATATTTGAGGAATGTTGAAGTGACCCTGATATTTTAGTACTGGGTTCTAGTTTCGTAAGTGGTGTGGGTGGTAGTGGTGGTGGTGGTACCACTGGTACCACTTCCTGAGGTTCCAGCATGCCTAGATGACTGCCAGTTCCTGAACATGAACCAGGTGTCTATGATGTACACGGCCAATGCAGCCATTCCGAAAACCTGATGAAGGATGAAAACAGTCATATGTCAATGAAAATATTCCATTTAAATAAGCACCCACAAGATTGTTCATAATTGACACAGGCTAATATTTTTAAGGTGTCTGATTTACAGTCAATCAAACAGACAGATGTTTTGCATCATCCTGGATGAAATTTGCATCTCCCCTTCATACTTACCGTGGCTGCAATAATTCCCCCGTGGCTATACTGAGCTCCCCTGGCCAGGCAGACAATGACAGCAATAAAGATGAGAACGCAGTACACCACATAATATACAAACTCCTGTAAAGGCATGTAACATTTGATTTATTACATGTATACAGTACATTTATAAATGCACCGTATTCCGTACACAACAGCAAAGCATTTTTTTTTTTAATTTTGAAATAAAATTTTTTTAAACATTGGCTCTGATTGTCAAGCGAGTTTTCCTTGATAAGACCAACTAAGCCCCACCAAGAAAAGGAACTCTGAACTCATGTGGCTTAAATTCTTATGAACTGGTGAGGACTGTTATATTCACTATAATATTCCTGAAGTTTGCTCTTAGATGATTAGGAGATAAGATCTTTTAAAAAATAAAGTGCATTTCAAATAATGGACTTAGCCACATCCTGGGGTCTGACCTATGGGAACACTCATTTTACAGATTTGGTAAATGTTAAATAAACTTACTGACTCCATGCATTACCGGGTAAGTCTGCTTGCTAATTGTCCAGGAAAAAATTTATCAAAGGTACACTTCATAATAAATATTCAAATTTGATGTACATAAAGGCCTGAATTCTGGACTGAGAAGAAATGACTTCACAATCTTGGTATAAGCCTAGTCACTTATCATACTTATTCATATAGTTTGCCTACTTAATGTTCTGAGGTAAAAAAGAAAAAAAAAAGATTTTTGATGATGCAATTTCCAGATATGACAAACTTAATCCTATCCTGATGCTTAAACCCTGGATCTTTACAATTTTGGTAATGGATTAAGTACTCATTGTCATGCAAACATTTATTTTGGTAAAGGGCTCATTGCTCATTATAATCATGGAAACATTTTGCCTCCTTAATGCCTAGAAATAAATAAGATTTTCTAAGATATAGTGCATTTTCAATATAGGACCAACATAACTTTATAAATTCAATTCACAGTTATGATAAATGACTCGTTGCTTATTTTAATCATTCCAACACTTTGACTGCTTGATTTCCAGGAGCAAAGAAGGGGATTTTTGAAGACTGCATGAATTTTAATGGGTTTGGTCAGACCCCTCAGGTCCCAGGGAGGCAGAGACCATGAAATTTTCATCCTTCTTTCCCTTTACCTATATACAGTCAAACCTCATTATCTCAAACCAGGGACCAAGAAAAAACTTCTGAGATATCTAGGGTAAAATGCTTAAGGAACAAGCAGTTGAGATTTCCAAATCACTTCTACACATCCATGGCAATGACCCTTCACTTTCACTGGACATATGATTTCTGACTTGAAGCATCAGATCATTATTTCATTGGTTGAGTGCCTGTGGAAATAGAATGGACACAAAACCAGCGGCTTGTGACAATGAATGCATATAAGCAAAACTTACAATGAATATCCATGGGCCTGGGAGCTTGGAGAAAACATTGAAGAGATGAAATATAAAAAAGATGAGAGTTGTTATCAGAGCTGATATGAAGACAAACTGAGCCCAGCCTTGTCCCAGAGGAACCCACCAGTCCACTGAAGCACAGATGAAGGCAATCAAGTCCAATACCTACAATTATCAAACAAAAATAATCTTCATGTAGAGGTACTTATGAATTCATAATACTTCCTTCTTTTACATGTAAGAAATAACCACAGGTTAGATAAATACAGAGGTATGGACTAACTAAAGTTTTCTGTAATTATACAGTACATATAGTATTTTTATTATTTATATTTGAATTTCTATTCAAATTAAATGTCTACTGAACAGATCTGTTAATATGCAATCTTGAATGGTGCTACACAGAGCTGATACACATCAGGCAGAAATCACCTCTCTGATGTCTACATGTCCTTTGATGGTAAAATTCAAACTACACAAATCCATATCTTTAAAAGATTTCTCCAATTTTTTTTTTTTTTGCAAACTCAGGTCCAATAAGTTATCAAGTACAATAAGTCACATACAAACAAGGAAGGTCATTCCTATTCATATAAAGTACAACCACTACTTATATACCTACCATCTCTGCAATTTTAAGGTACCCTGGCAGAGAGCGAAGGAAGCCACTCTGGAAAGATATACCACTTCCATCAGAGGTGGTGGTAGTCTCTGTTCTCTCTACATATTCTGTACTCATCTTGGATATTTTCTACTCTGTCTACAAAGAACAAGATCCCCCTGATCAATAAGAATGCATTCATTTACTGTTCAGGAAAAATGTGATGGGGTGTCAAACTAATAGCAAAAATGCTATGGTTTTACTTAATTGTAACCTGAGCCTAGACTAAACACCTTGAGGATTCTGACATGAATATATGGATGTCACATTATTTTTTTTAAACTTTCTTATATAGCCTTCTCAAGTAATTGTGTGTGTGTGGGAGGCAGGGTAGGATAAAATGAACATACAAGGAAATCAGTTTATCATTGCAAAGCATTTATATATTGGATGTATTACATCAAAAATGAATTTCCAGTACTTTGATAAAACCTGTTTGAAAATCTTGTTGTACTTCAATCTTCTTTAGATACTGCTTACGTCCATGTATTAAGAAAATAAGTTGAAATTGTTTTTATGTTTCATTATTTCAAGATTACATTGCATATAACCATATTAAATTTTAAAAAAGTTTATATGAAATGTGTCATCCAACAAGTTTCAAACAAATTCAGCATAATTTGTATTTTGTAAATATCTCTTAAAACACACGGACTATACCTGTGAAATGAACACCACCTTTTATCACCTGGGGTTATGTTACACTTTGTGTTTATCATTAGCTAAGGCTGGCCTGTACGGTCAACTTTTACGCAAGACTTACTCTATTTCACTAGTCACTGCTCAACAATTTCTATGCTATATCTAATATCAAATCAAAACTTTTGAAATGAAATTTAAGAACATAACATGTATTATTCTTGTGTGTTTTTTTTTTCATGACAATACTACAGTAACATATATATTCATTGTGATGTATAAATTATATTCATATACTTTATATAGTCATGTTAGCATGAAAAAAAATCTTGTATTATCTGAACAAGGACAACTGAAGTAGATGTATACACTATACACTTGCTACTTTACACAATGAATTCACCCAAACTACTTTATGTTACAAACCTTTAATTTACTCTAGCTGGAATAAGAAATGCACTCACTAGGTTGTTAAATATTGTTTTTAAAAATGTATTGATTCTCTATTTAATAAATATCAACCTCTAAATACTATGCAGACACATTAAATGACATAACAAACACTAAATCCTGTTTATTAGTTTGATGATAAATACATAGTGCTTTATCAATTTCCTTTAGTACTTCTTCAACAGGAACTCTTCGTTACTTCCTTTCCCCACTTTTCTTGATATGTTATTTATCAATAAATTTACAAGTGGAGGATTTTAACAAATGATATAATCTAAAAATAAAATGCCTAAGCATCATTCCAACTAGCTCTTAATGTAGATCATTTTGTTCTGCTTTCACTCAATCTGAAGAGTTGAAGTCTAAAATGCTAACTAAACAAGAAATGTTTGAGAAACATACAGTGATTAACCTTGTGACCTCAAAATCTACGGTGGCATCTATTCCTCAGGGGGAACCAGTGTACCAAGTCTGTGTGTCAAGCAAAGAGTTTCAAAGATACTGAGTGTCAATATCTTTCTATGTCTGGTTTGACCCTTGACCTTGTAACCTCAAAATCAATAGGGGGTCACCTGCACCAATATTTCAAGTTGGATGTCTGTTCAGGCAAATGGTTCTCAAGATACTGGACAATATCTTCCTATATCTAGAGCAGTTTGAACCTTGACCTTTGACCACCAACCAGAATTGAGATTAGAAATGCCACCAAACAGGCACCTATGTACTATTGCAGAACTTTTAAATTCAGACACAAAAACAAAATGTGTTTATGAAACACTGATGTCCCTATATGACATTTCATTTGGCTAAGGTTGAAGTTTTTTAAAAGTAGGTCAAACTCCTACTTTAGGCCATGAGGTCAAAAATGTTGGTACCTAAAGAAAGATCTTGTCACAAGGAATATGCATGAGAAATATGAAAGCCCTCGCACCATCCATTCAATAGTTATGGCCAAGGTTAAAATTTTTCAAAAGTAGGTCAAACTTGAAGGTCATGAAATTCTTTAACTAATTATGTGGTCATAAAAACATAAGACAACTAATAAAATATGGAGAGAAAAAGTACTCAACAAGACTGGAACAAAGCACTGATAGATAAGCTTCTCCAAGAGCAGAGTATGATCCCTGAAGAGACATAATCTTTATTGTGACAATGGTTTTCAGAGAGTGAAGGGGTAAAACTGAGCAATCACTGAGTGAGCAGATATACTAGTACATGTACATACTCAGAAACACCATCAAAGCAATGGAATGGAGATAAAACCTTCTCCTACTATCTGTAACAGTATGAAAAAGCATTTGATAGAGTCCATCAAGGAACATCAATTAGGAAAATTCTACATAAAATTCAGTATAGAACTCAAGAAAAACAAGTAATCATGATCAAAATTGTGAACAACAAGAAGTTGACTGGCTCATGAACAATACAACAAAAAACAGAAACTTGCGTATGATTTGGTGCCATTTACATTGATCTAAATTACACAGATGATATTGCCCTCCTGTTGAGTAGCAAAATCACAACAACAGGGAAGCATCAAACACCATATCTACAGGATTAATCAACTCAGCCAAAATGAAGAAGAGACTGTACAATTAGAAAACTATCTATGGAAGTTAACGCTTCTGTCTATTTAGGTACAACTGTGAGCAATGAAGAGGGACAAACTATCTACATGTAGATATGGTCAATCAGCTTACTTCCAAGAAAAACTAAATTGAAGATCTTTAAATCAAATGAAATACTAGTATCGGTTTTGCTACATGCTGCATCTATAAAGATTACGAATGAAAGAGTTCAGACAATTAGTGAACATGGAAAAAATTATTAACATGATAAACAACAAGATGGAAATGGATAGGACATATATCAAGGATGAGAACAGAATGCCATGCCAAAATGTTTAACCTTAATATGAATACCTTAAATAAGAAGGAAACAAGATAAACCTAAGGAAACCTAAAGAAGGTCTGTATAAAGGAAAAGGACACAACTTCATAACTTGCATAATTTAGATTGTGTGGTGAAGATGCCATTAAAAGGTACAGACAGATCAGAATGACCTGATTCTCTATGTGGAGAGACAGAATTAGTTCAAACTAAACATGTTAAGATGGTGTCCATCTCAAAGGGCAAAGTTTTGGCAAAGGATGTTAGGATGAAAGACCCTTTATCTGAGGGCACTCTTTGGGTGAAGTCTGAGCCAGATGGAGTCAAAAATGCTCAAGAAAAGAATTTTACAGTGATTTGCTACAATCTTGACCACTAACCTAGAACCTTTGCTCAAGGATACTGCAAAGCCTCTACCAATAGGACCTCTATGGGTAAGTTGAGCCAAGTAGGGCCAAGGGGAGAGAAAATATGCCCTGGATTTTACTCAAAGAGGTTTTCTGACCTTAACCTTTCACCTATAAAAAAATGTTCAAGGCCATGCACACCCTCTAACCACAGGCACTGTATAGGTAATGTATGAGCCCAAGTGTGCCAAGGGGAGAGAAAATATGCATATGACAAAGATTTTACACAGAGAGGTTTCTCAACCTGACTTTCAATTCAGAAAATTGGTTTAAGGTCACTGCACACCCTCTACTCATGGGCACTCTATTGGTGAATAGAAAATATGCTCTGGATAAGGATTTTACAAAGTGGTTTTCTGACCTTGACCTTACATCTAGAAAATTGGTTCAAGGTCATTGTGCACCCTCTACCCAATGATACTCTTTTGGTGAAGTATGAGCCAAACTGAACCAAGGGGAGAGGAAACATGTTCTGAACACTGAATTTACACAGAGAGATTTTTTAGACATTTGATTGGAAAATTGGTTCAAGATCACTACACACCCCTAACCACTATTTGGGTGAAGTTTGAGACTGTCTAGGCCAAAGGGAAAGAAAATTTACTCCAAACAAGATTTTTTTATTCAGAGATTTTCTGACCTTGACTTTTCATCTACAAAATGGTTCAAGGTCACTGCACACCCTGTATCCACAGGCACCCCACGATTAATGTATGAGCCAACCTGGGCCAAGGGGAAAGAAAATGTACTCCAGACAACATCTTCGCTAACCAAGGGTTTCTGATCCACTACTCTCCTCAAAAACCCTTGGCCTATGATGCTGTCAAAAGTCAGGATTGTTTACGTTACCTGTTCTTGAATCTTACCTTATATGCACAGACTGCTTCATTGACAGAAATAAGAAGCATATTTAAAAATGAAAGTATTTAAGGAATAATTAACAATCAGGTATTGAGCGATGTTTATTTAATATGTAGGGAGCAAATCTTTATCTGCAATATAGATTCCTGATGACATTATGTGCATATCTGCTTGAAGGTGGATGACACCATAGCTGTTTATAGAATGGCACATCATCTTATGGATAATTGTTTACTTGTGTTTTTCATTCCCGAGACTAAAGAGTCAAGATGTATCCCAAATAGATTTACAAAAGCTTTCGTTGATTGGTAGGGACGGGACGATATATTGAGATATCAATAATATCGATTCTATGTGAGGATGATATGCATATCAATACGTATGAAGAAATATCAAAATATCGCAAAACACCACTTGTGTAAAATAATTTAGTTTTTCAACAGATATACAACTTCTTTGAATAAATTATTCTTATTTCTGAAGATATGTTCTGTTCATTTCAATACAAAAAAAGAATTTATAATTAATTAAGCATATTGTAATACACATCATATTGTGGCTCAAAAAAGTTGTATCATCCCACCCTATTGATTGGTAGAAAAAATCAATTGACTCCAATCACAACTCAAGAAAAAAATTCTGACTTTTGATAGTACCATAGGCCAAGGGTTTGTGAGTAGAGTGGCATTTCAGAAACCCTTGGCTAGCAAAGATGCTCCGGCCAAGGATTTTACACAGAGAGATTTTTTTACCTTGACCTTTGATCAAAAAAATTTTTTTAAGGAAAGTGCATACTCATAGATGGGCAATCTATGGGTGAAGTTTGAGCCATTACTGGGACAAGGGGATAAAAAATATGCTCCAGACAAATGAAATAGAATGGACGGATAGACAAACAGACAGACTGATCACTATAGAGCTGTGAGAGCACCCACAGAGTGTGACCTGAAAAACTCTTAAAAGCAACTTCAGATAAGTCTTACCTAATGTTCAGTGATGAGAATACACTCTTCACTACTTTCAGTGAACCGGGTCTATTACATGAACAAAACTGATTTATCTTACCAGAATCTGATCTCACAGGTCTAAAAAAAACTTTCTTTTGTTGAAATAATGATTGACCAGAAATCAGATTCAAATTCTGAACAATGAATAGATACATGCAGAGTGTTAAATTATGATGGAATAATAAATGGCACTTATTTAACATGATAAGTAAGCAGAATTTTTAATGGACCAATATCCATGATTTCAGACATAAGAAAGCTATTAACAACAGTTATGAGGAATATTATGTTGTAGAAGTATTTAAAAAGAATGTGCTATTAAGATCATACAGCTAGTCTGCATAAGTAATGTTTTGGGTGGCACCTTAAAGGAGAGACTTTAAAACAAAGTTCAGCATGCTCTCTGGTCATCCTCCCAAAATTTTCAGACCAGTGAGCTACAACCAATCAATTCAGCTTTTTAAAATCTCTAAATATTGAATCAATTGAAGCTAAAACCGTTGAACTGAAGTCAAACAAGGATCAATCCATGTCTGATCAGGAAATAATACTGAGTAAAAACACATGTTCAAAAGGAAATAAGACCTAGTATAGAAATTATTTTGGGAATACTATTATATAAGAATACACCAAAAAGACACAGCTGTTGAAAACACACATTAACACCAACACAAACAGCAGTACTTTCCTACAAAGAAGTTGATGGGTTGAAAGTTGGGTATCATCTTAGAGCACTTACACTTAGCAGTAAAAAAAACCCAGTAAATAACTTTCAGCTACAATGATCTTACAATTCCATTGTTTTCTTCTCCATAGAAGAAACATAAAAAGAACCAAAAAACAGAACAGAAACAGATAGGCCTATTTAAATGGTTTTAAATGAATTTACAGTGTCATACGACCGGTTTCCAGTGACTCATTATACTAAAGATAAAATCATTATGGTCTGAACAATAACAGAAGGTATCCTGTCTTACTAACAAAAATAATGAACATAAAGTAGTCATACTATATTAATAAATGCAAACTGTGCGTGTTCAATACCTTAATCAACACGAAATTTTCTCACCGCCTCCCAAAATTGTTCTTGTTTACAACCGGAAGTTACTGTACAATACACAAAGTGAAAACGGATATGAGGTTCTATATCGTTTCGTATAACCTGTAAAATGATACCTGGGTATCAAGCAAGATTTTTTAAAATAAATTATTTTTATCAAGATATTTTATGAAGCTGAGAAGTGGAAGTTATAAATTATCAATAAAATTGTGATTTTTTTTTTGGTTTTTTCTCTTTTTTGAAGAATACAAAAATATAGGGATTAGTTATAAAATGTGATATGAAATTTGTGTGGCTAAAACTAGTTTTGCTTTGATTCAGTCTATAATGGGCTCATTTTTGTAGGTAATTTTTTTTTTCGCTTATTAGCTTTCGCACCTGATTAACCATAAACTTTCAACTGTTCAAGTTAAAACACAAACTTTCTCGTTATTACGCGAATCTATGCTGTATCTTTCGCAATATGACGCGAAACTCTCGAAAATAAACGCCTACTTTTCGTGTTACAGCGCAAAGGTTTAGATATGAAGAGAAACTTGTAAGGAATAAATTTAATAGGTAGCCAACACAGACACTTGTTTCTGTAATATTTTTTTTAATAACACAATATATGGTCTAACTCCGAATTACATGGAGTGCCCCCCCCCCCCCCCCCCCAATGGCAGCCACATTCAGAGAAAAGTACTAACAGACTGTTCATTACTATTCTCTTCTACGATAATTTATCTACAAAACATACAACGTATATTGATATACTTGACTTTATACAGAAAGCAAAATTAAAAATCACTGGGTTTAAGAATTCATTTCCAGTGTTGAAATATTGTAGCGAATGAATATATATATATATATATATATATATATATATATATATATATATATATATATATATATATATATATATATATATATATATATATATATATATATATATATATATATATATATATATATATATATACAATGTATATATATATATATATATATATATAACGTTTTATTTATCTTTTTTATTACGTTAAAAACATTATGATAAATAATTCCGATGTAATTTTGAAACAGTTAATTCAAAAAATGAGTACATAGCACTTCGTTATGCAAGACGAATTTTCCAGTCGGCAAGTAGGGTTTGGACGCTGTTTACGGTCGGAGAGTTTATTAGCTCACCTGAGCCGTAGGCTCAAGTGAGCTTTTCTGATCGAAATTTGTCCATTGTCTGTCGTCGTTGTCGTAGATTTTTCACATTTTTATCTTCTTCTCAAAAACCACTGGGCCAATTTCAATCAAACTTGCCACAAAGTATCCTTGGGTAAAGGGGATTCAAATTTGTTCAAATGAAGGGCCACACCTTCTTCCAAGGGGAGATAATTATGAATTCGTGAAAAATTAATGGCATCATTTAAAAATCTTCTTCTCAAGAACCACTGTGCTTGAAAATATGAGACTTATATGAAAGCATCCTCAGGTAGTGTAGATTCAAGTTTGTTCAAATCATGACCCCCGGGGGTAGGGTTGGGTCACAATGGGCGATCAAAGTTTTACATAGGAATATATACTAGAAAAAATCTTTAAAACTTTTCTTCTCAAGAACAGCAAAGCCATGATTGGTCATATTTATATGGAAGCATCCTCAGGTAATGTAGATTCAGGTTTGTTCAAATCATGCCCCCCCCCCCCCCAGGAGAATAGAGGGACCATAACAGGGCTCATAGTTATACAAAGGAATACAAAGGATCTATAAGTAAAAATTTTCTTCTTTAGAACAGCAAAGTCATCATTTGTCATATTAATTCAAAAGCATCACTATCAAGTATAGATTCAAGTTAGTTCAAATTACCCCCCCCCCCCCCCCCCCGAACTAGTTTTATATTTAAACTTCTCAAGACTGAACTGGTTTCTTCTTTTCCTAGCCAGAGTGCTCAGATGAGCGATGTGGCCCCTGGGCCTCTTGTTTGTGAAAGTTTTGCGATTTAGCACAAACCTCCGAAAATGAACTCAAACGGCTTTTGAATGCAACTGGGATGTGGAGCAGGGTGTGTTAAACGATATAGAGAAAGTGGTTATAATAACGGACGAAAATTATGAAGCAAACAATTACAAGAACTTTGATCAGTATTTTCGCGAGTTTCTCTGTTCGAAAAGTGATCGACGCACATCTCTGTCTGCCGTGTTTTATATATATATAAACTTTTCACATTCTGAATTTCTTCTCCAGATTGGAAACGGGGTGAATGAGATTCAGATTCTGATTTATTCAAATGAATTATGGAGAGAACGAACAGTAATCAAACTCAAAAGTCCTCTGAAGCAATACAAATCGGGAGCAGAACAAACATTGACTTTTAAAAAACATCAGAGTTGGGATCAGGTGCCATGGAGGAGTAAGCACCCCCTGTCGACCGGTCACACCCGCCGTGTGCTCATTGTAATGATGGGGCAAACGGAAAATTCCGTAGACAATTCAGTGTTTAAATAATGGCCTAACACTTAGTATATAAAAAACGTCAGTCAGAATTCGACTTAATGATAGATTGTATTTGCTGACAAGCTCATTGTATCGACCATAGAAATTGCGAAATGATGGCTTTAAACGAGACTGTTGACATCCTTGTTTCATCAACTTGTTTGTCAATAGCAATGAAGGACCAAAGCCTCTTTCAAGTGGAGATAAATAATTGTAGGAATTTTTTAAAAAATCTTTTCAAGTAGCAGGGTCACACTAAATCATATTACATGTATTAATATGCAAAAATTCCAAGTATGTAGATTCTGGTGTTAGGGAGGGGCTTAAATAAGGGATTACATTTGTTTACAATTTTTCATTGGAATAAAAAGGGAGATATTTTTTTTTTTTTAAAATCTGGTTACTCTGGTGAGCGCTGTGGCATATGGACCTCCTCCTTCTCTTCTTCTTCTATTATCTTGTATATCACTATGGGAACAGTCAACTTGAATGGATAATTTTTAGTCAATCTAATTCGGCTTGGATTCTTAATTATTTTCTACATGTCAGACGATGTTTCATACTTGCGGCGCTATTTTCCCTTGTGTTTCTGTAAACAGCTGACTTTTGTGAATTTTATTCAGCCAAGTTTTCCGCAGCTACGCTAGCCAAACGTTCCAGTCTTGTCGTATCTCCTTATCGCAACTCTTGGCTAGTGATGCCAATTTTACACCTTCTTTTATGCCTGCCACTGGCACCAATTCAATTCTCAAAATTGAATGTACATGTATTGTGACACGATGGCGGCACAGGCACTTGGGGTCTGGACCCCCCCCCCCCCTTTTCCATTTTTTTTCTTTTTAAATATGGAGTCAATTCACCTTTTTCCTATTTTTGTATTCTAATATGCACTATATGTTATCAATAATGTAACTCTTTTGTCTCTATATGCTGTTTTTAAATATACCGTTTTCGACTGATACATAAAAAGAGAGAAGGCTTGCAACTCTTTTCTCATCGTCTGCCTCACCTCGCTTAAACTTCGCCTGATTATTTATCGAAAGAATAAGAAAACATGGAATATGCATACATCAATAAATTCGTTATACATTCTTCTTTCTTTTCATATTTCCATTTAATTTTTATGTGCCCCCGATTTGTAAATATTTCGATTAAATCATCCGCATCTAGGGTAAATTTTGTTGATGTGCACCAGCTGGGACGGAAGTGCCCGGTATTTTCGGGTATCATCATTACATGTAATGTAATTCGGAACATTAAATGCGAGAAGGAAAACATCCCGAATTTTCTCTTCATATAACATGTAACGGTAAGTTCTGTGAATAACAAGATAACTTTAACTAGAAAAATTTTAATGGATGAAGATTATACTTTAAATAGACGACCTAGACAACCAAATTCCACAATATTGTTATTACAAAGCCTGGAATTTTTTTTTAATGCAGAACATTTATAAAGTTAGAATTACCGTTATTGCACTTCCGTCCCAGCTGGTGCACATCAACAAAATTTACCCTAGATGCGGATGATTTAATCGAAATATTTACAAATCGGGGGCACATAAAAATTAAATGGAAATATGAAAAGAAAGAAGAATGTATAACGAATTTATTGATGTATGCATATTCCATGTTTTCTTATTCTTTCGATAAATAATCAGGCGAAGTTTAAGCGAGGTGAGGCAGACGATGAGAAAAGAGTTGCAAGCCTTCTCTCTTTTTATGTATCAGTCGAAAACGGTATATTTAAAAACAGCATATAGAGACAAAAGAGTTACATTATTGATAACATATAGTGCATATTAGAATACAAAAATAGGAAAAAGGTTAATCGACTCCATATTTAAAAAGAAAAAAAAAATGGAAAAGGGGGGGGGGTCCAGACCCCAAGTGCCTTTTATGTATCAGTCGAAAACGGTATATTTAAAAACAGCATATAGAGACAAAAGAGTTACATTATTGATAACATATAGTGCATATTAGAATACAAAAATAGGAAAAAGGTGAATCGACTCCATATTTAAAAAGAAAAAAAAATGGAAAAGGGGGGGGGGGGTCCAGACCCCAAGTGCCTGTGGATGGCGGTATTTTTCTTTTGTATTTGCTATTGATACAGAACAGGACAGGTGTAGGCGGAGCTATTTTCCGTTCTACATCAACCCCTATATACTGTGTTGTATTAACTTATATAGAACGATCTAAAAATAAAACTGATTCAATATATCAAAAGCACATACAAATAGTAAAGGCTGATTTTTTCCTATTATGAATTTTGGATTAATATTTCCCTGTGAATGTAAAATGTCAAATTTTCTCAGTCACTTTTAAAAATTTATTTCAAAAAGAATGTACACGTTATCTCGATCCCAACAAAATTGGTAGTTTTTTTTTAAATTTACCGGGTGGTAGTAAATGCAAAATTTACAATGACAACATGACGGATGCTGCAATCGAAATAGGTTGATCAGATAACAACAAAATAATCAGTCCAGTACTCAATAAGAAATCTTAAAGTAGATCTATTTACTTCCCTGTGCTTACCCAAATTTGTCACTGTCACAGTATTATATATCATGAAAATTCATGAATAGCTCTCTTATTCAATTGATCTTTCAATTACATTATGATAAATTATAAAAGGTGAATAGAAAAGAGGAATAACATCTCTCAGTAGAATAAAAATTATAATAGAGTCCTGTCCAGCACCAAAACACCTGACCAAGTGGTCCAGAATTTAAAAAAAATCTGGTAAAAATACTCTTTATTATTACAACTTTGTACTCTGTTTCCTCCTGGATGCCCTGGAGAAGAGAAGAATATTTGCAAAGAAATAATGCATTTTCACTATAGATTCAACACAGCCCCATCCTAACACTTGAACTCATGATCAAGGAGACATGAACATCAAAATTTTGTAAGAGGCGCACTTGCTCATCATTATGCACTTAGATGAAGATTTTTAAAGAATTAATGCATTTCACTACATAATCAATACAGCTCCACCCTAATACCGTGACCCTGGGGAAATTTTAGAAGCTGGTGCTCATAACAATGCATTCAGTTTGCATGCTCAATATCCAGGCAGGAGTAGAGCGAAAAGAATTCGAAGAAATATAATACAGCCTCACCCTAACACCAGAGCCCCTGGCCGAGGGGCCAGAAATTCACAATTCACAATCTGGGAATAGGAATCTTTGCTCATCATGACCATGCACTAAGTATGTTTGCTAAATATTAAATGTCAAAGGACAGAGCAGAAGGTTATCAAAGAAAACATGCATATATATATATATATATATATATATATATATATATATATATATATATATATATATATATATATATATATATATATATATATATATTGCAGATGCTGCGGTAGCGTAATTAAAGTAGGAGGTGCTTATTTTAATTGAACCGTGTCACAAATCATTTAGAGATCGACAGGTTCTATCTCTTTGATACACATTTTGGGGAGGAGACTTGTGCTAATTCTCCTAACCATCCATCAGTTTATGTCTACAGTCGAGATCATAATCAAAAAGTACAGATACCAAACTATTTTATTATCAATGACAATAAAAACGTTAGTTACCACATAAACAGAGGACGCCTGTCTTCATATGCTAACAAACATAAACAATCGAGTAAAACTAGAACATTATTCAGTTCTTTCTCATCTACAATAAGCTGAGAAAACAGTACCCGCAAAACCACTGGATCCTCCAATCCCAGCTCTGTTACCATTTTTCTGCTTGGTGGACCACTTAACAGTCCATACTTATTGACCATGTCTTGTGAGAACTCCCCATGTTGATCCAGATTGTATCCCAGTTTAGCCAAAGTTCTGACCAAATTCTCAAACCTTTTGCGCATTTCTAGCTCTTTTCGAGCATCTTTGGAACCATCCGCTTGAACGGCTTCTTTTTGGATCATGGCACCAATATTTGCAATACTGAAGCCGTAATAGCGTCTCTTCTTTGCATCTTTGCTGCCTGAATCCCAGGCAAAAACATATTCCAGGATTCTTCTATCCATCTGAAACGCGATTTCTCCTATAAGTCTCTTGTTCTTCCTTATCATGGCAGCCTTGAGCCAGCGCTCTTGTGTCATCTTTGGATCGATTCCAATCAACTGATCTATAGGGCGACTTACTAGAGGTTTCGCTGAAACAAAGAATAAATAATACTTGTAGTAGATAAATGTAATGGGGCACTTTTCCAAATTATGGAGATGTTTTCAGAATACGATCCTTGAGATTAGGACAGACTGATCAGTGCTTGACTCCATTTTTCTTTCAATAAATACACTTATTTTAAAGTCCATGGAGTGTTCTGTGATACAATCACAATATATTTTCATTTTACATTAAGACCAGATGAGACTGCGTATAGTTATATTGATGAAAAATAGTATCTAATATTACATTTCTTTAAACAACAATGTTACAGGTTAGGGGTTTATGTATTATATTTTGTTTCTATATTTTCTTTATGTCCATTTCTCTCATGTTGCGAGGCCACCAATTGCTGAACTTTTATACCTATACTAGGCACTCATGGTTATTGAGCAATGAGGGGATTTTTTCTTGCCAGCATCTACTGCGACATGCGTGGCTTGATATCATCCAAAAGAACGGTCCTTTCTGTGGGAATCGAACCCGACTTATAAGGATCAACACTAGAACGAAACATTCTAACCACTGGACTACGGGGGGGGGGGGGGGGGGGGGGGGGGGCTTCATATACTATTAAGTAATTTTCACTCTTATATTTGAAGTAATATATGAACCATAACTTTGTGCATATTTTGGTTAAGAAACATACTTGGCACACAATTTACTAGTATATTTTTCCGTCCAAGCAAAATTGTCACATCCAGCCATATATGGTATCAAATCATTGTATGAGTATGATCCAGCCATATATGATATCAAATCATTGTGCGAGTATATAGAGGAGAAATACAATCAGGTATGAATACGATTAAAAAATAGGTTTCACCCATTCCTCTAACTGTGTCGCGTGTGTACATTCAAAGATACTAGTATTTGATAATAAATGTAAATATTCATGAAATATATGTTGCCAACTTGCTCTTCTTATAGCTCTCTCTTAATTAACGCTTTGGTGAAATATTCAGATTTTTTTAAAATACATGTAAATGCTTGAATTACATGACATTAACAATTTGCAAATTTATGTACCGTACCATATTTGAGCTACAACGTACCTTTGTTCATGATACTGTCTGCTAATTTTTCCTCTCTGGTTTTTGGAGTTGATGTGGCTATCGGTTCCCCCACACCTCTTTGAGTTTTTGGGGTTGAGGTAGCTATGGGATCTCCAACTACATCTCGGCCTGTGGGATCTCCAACTACATCTCGGCCTGTGTGATCTTCGCCAGTCGATCTCTGATAAGACTTAGAGTACATGGAACGGCTTTTCTCTGAGGAGCTATCTTGCTGTGGAACAACTGCATCAGAGTTATCATATACTTGTTTTCTTTGCTGACCTGAGGAGATCATATGATCCATACTTTCCCACTCCTCTAACTCGGCACCTGATCCTCGACTTCTGTCTTGAACGGGAGATTTGGAGAGATTGTTTGTCTCTGCAACGACTGTCTTTTCAGATATTGAGTCTCTATTTCTTTTACCATATTTCTCCTGGTTCTTCAGAATATTCTGTTCAGTTTTAGTCTCTGGGATATATTTTTGTTGCGGCGTATAAATTCGTTGTTCACGATTTTCTCTCTTTCTCGGTACATCCTGCTCATTCCATGTCGCCTCTTTAACACTTCCCTGTTTTGGCGTAAGACTCCTTCTTTGATCATAATTTTCTCGGCCTCTCTGTTCTGGCATGGGAATTCTACTTTCTTGGTCAAATCTTTCCCTGGCTCTCTGTTCTGGCATGGGACTTCTACTTCCTTGATCATATCCTTCCCTTGCACTTTGTTCTGGCATTGGAATTCTGCTACCTTGATCAAATCCTTCCCTGGTTCTCTGTCCTTGCATTGGAATTCTGCTTCCTTGATCAAATCCTTCCTTGGCTCTCTGTTCTGGCATGGGACTTCTACGTTCTTGATCAAATCCTTCCCTGGTTCTTTGTTCTGGCATGGGACGTCTACTTCCTTGATCAAATCTTTCCCTGGCTCTCTCTTCTGGCATGGGACTTTTACTTCCTTCATCATATCCTTCCCTTGCACTTTGTTCTGGCATTGGAATTCTGCTACCTTGATCAAATCCTTCCCTGGCTCTCTGTCCTTGCATTGGAATTCTGCTTCCTTGATCAAATCCTTCCTTGACTCTCTGTTCTGGCATGGGACTTCTACTTCCTTCATCATATCCTTCCCTTGCACTTTGGTCTGGCTTCGGAATTCTGCTTCCTTGATCAAATCCTTCCCTGACTCTCTGTTTTGGCATGAGACTTCTACTTTCTTGATCAAATCCTTCCCTGGTTCTTTGTTCTGGCATGGGATGTCTACTTCCTTGATCAAAATTTTCCCTGGCTCTCTGTTCTGACATGCGACTTCTACATTCTTGATCAAATCCTTCCCTGGTTCTTTGTTCTGGCATGGGACTTCTACTTCCTTGATCAAATCCTTCCTTACCTCTCTGTTCTGGCATGTGACTTCTACTTCCTTGATCATATCCTTCCCTGGCTCTCTGTTCTGGCATGGGACTTCTGTTTCTTTGATCATACATTTCCATGCTCTTTGGTACTTCCTGTTCAGGCTGTGTAGCATATCTCCTCTCCGTCGTGAGGCTTCTACTTCTTTGGTCATAGCTTACACTGGTTCTCTGTTCTGGCATGGGAGTTTTGCTGCTTTGATCAAAACTTTCCCAGTTCACCGGTATGTTCTGTTCAGGCTCTGAAACATACATTTGTTGAGGCACTGTGCTTTTGCTTCTTTCATCGTATATTTCTCTTGTTCTCTGCTCCGGCATGTATCTTCTGCTTCTTTGATCATATCTTTCTCTGGGACTTTGTTCTGGTATAGGACTTTTGCTTCTTCTATCATAAATTTCTCTGGATCCTTGTTCCGGCATAGGACTTTTGCTTCTTCTATCATAAATTTCTCTGGATCGTTGGGTCGGCATAGGACTTTTGCTTCTTTGATCATATCCTTCTCCAGTTCGCTGTTCAGGCAGGAGGCTTTTGCTTCTTTCATCATAAATTACTCTGGGTGTTTGATCCGGCATAGGACTTTTGGTTCTTTGATAATGACTTTCCCTGTCCCTCGGTACGTCCTGTGTAGGCTCTTTAACATACCTCTGTTGAGGTATTGGGCTTCTGCTCCTTTGATCATAACCTTCTCTGTTTCTCTCTTCGAGGACGGATCTTTCGTTTCTTGGATCATAACTTTCCCTGATTCTCTGTTCCGGTATGGGACTTCTGCTCCTTTGATCATAACCATCCCTGTTTCTTGATACATGATAGGATTGTTGAGATGAACTCGATGGATGACTTTGGGTTGTATTGGAAACGATTTCGCCACGACGAACCATTCTTGTGGTCTCGCGATGCCTGTTAGTTTCCAAATCGGGATCTTCAGAAACGGTTCTCCTTTCTATCGTGGGTACGTTCAAGTTATCTTGATTAGTTTTTTGTGTTACTTTATCGTAGCCGCTACGAATTGTACTCTGCGTGATTCCGCGCGTATCATCTAAACTACTGGGGTAATTGCTTTGAACTGTTCTTTGTGGATACTTTTGATAATATTTAGATCTATCTTCTTCGAAAGGTTCTCGGTAAAACGCTACATCCCTTCCTGTTGACCCCGAATCAGATTCATCTAGCCGAACATCTTGGTATTCTGAAAAGTTTGATTGAATTAATGGTGTAGTCTTCTGAGTTGCCCCTGTTCGATTTCCACTAAAAACGACTGCTGGCTTTTTCTGTTCTGATATTTTACTTTTATAGATTCCAGGCGATCTTGGTCGAGAAAAACCTTGCTTGACTTCCAATCGATTAGTAGCTGGTGATATGACAGAATGTTGAGAATAAAAGTCGCCTTTTGAGATCGTGCCTCTTTGAGACAGATCATAAGGACTTTTCAGGCGTTCGCTTTCAGGTATGATAATTTTCGGTTTGAAAAATTCAGGTACGGGAGACAAGGCTTGTGCTAAGTTCTGCGATGCTGACGTAACTATTATTTCTGGCACGGTCACGTTTTGGCCATCAATAGCTGGTGATATGGGTCGGAAAGCTGATTTTTCCTGATGTGTACCCACATTTTTGGTGGATTCCGGAATCGTCACACCTACGAACAAAAATCTTGTTTGTATCTACAAATATCTTTCGGCATATCAACTTCAACAAGTCTACGTCATCAAATTATAAATGCACCATAGATTCAGAAATTTATCAGTCAGTATTGGACAGTGTGACAGAGGCTATGTCAAAATTTTGTTATTAAAAACTACAATCGAATGAGGTAAATGGAACATCCACAACTTGTGATTTTATATTTGCTTTTTCCAAGGAGTTGAAATGGTGAATATTCGCTCTGCAAGCCTTGTGAATAAACACCATTTCAACTCGCTGGCTAAAGCAAATATAAAATCACACAATATACTATTATATATCCTATTTATTTACCATAAGGGATAAGGGGGTAAAGGAGTAAAATGTGTTTAAAAAATTATTTCAACATTAAAATCTTTAGTTGATAGAACTTTATTGGGGGAGGGTAGTGAACAGAAATAATAATAATGTTTTTTCCCACTTACTGCATTGAAAAGTTTCCACCATACTGTCCACCCAAATCACAAGTTCAGTTATTAATTTTGCTGTTCTTAGGGTTGCATTTTGCTGTAATAGTGACAGAGAACGTCGCAGTGCTCTATTCTCATCTGCGAGTTTATGTATATCCGCTATTATTTTACGTTCATTTTCTCGAGAATTATCCAAGTCCCTTGCAAAAAGTGTTGATATTTCTTCTTCAAAAGACATACTGTATCATAATTTTACTTGGTTTCCATTTCATTGTGACGTCACAGTGTGACGCTATTGCGCTCTCAGTATTGTTACGTCATAATGTTCGTCCGTGATCGGCGTACGGCTATTGCGCCGGTTATAAAGCTTGTCAACTGGCAAAGGAAGTCAAAAATTAATTATTCTCAATAATGATCAATAAGTACATCTATCACTTTTTCCGATCATGCATCTTAGGGGAAAACGTTATATAGTTCGCGATGATTTTTTTTTACAGAAATAAAAATAGACTTAAGTTTGAAGGTGAGTGAACATTTGTTAAATTATTGCAAAAATTCATAGAAAATGCCAATTTATTAAATATCTTTTCACCATATTTCTATAACTGGCGAATTCTCTCTCGGTGTTACAAACCGGCGAACCTATCTCTGTCAAATGAAACGGCACTTGAGCGGGGTAACTACCAAAGGTCAAAAGTGGGGGGGGGGGGCTGAGTGCACAAAGAAATTTTAAATACATCAAAAAATAAATGGACATTATATCACCATAACAAAAGAAAGAAAATAGGACAACATTTGCGGCTATGCACTGGTCTTTATTTGACAGTCATGCAGCAACAAGCTAAATAATTCAACCACAACAAATACTCTCTACATGTGAATTTCTTGGTTCATAATTTCCTTCAATGTAATGTTTAAATTCAAAATTAAGACAAAAATCATAAATGTGCATTTAATGTTCATCAATACTCTGATAAGAGAGATAACTCTTAATGACATAAATGTCATTTATAGTCTTGTCAAGTTGAAGTGTCTTTTTTGTCCAATTTTGCCCCCACAAGCTATGCTATAATTGTTTGTATTTTACTAAAAAAATAAATTTCTTTTGGAAAATCATAAGAGTTAAAGAAACATTTTATATGAGTGAGCAGCGGGTTTATGAACCTTAAACATATTTTATTGAAATTCATAAGTACAAAGGGATTGGGCACAAGTTCTAAACACTTATTAGGCCCTTTCCCTAAATCTCAACAGAAATTGATCAGAATCTTATAAACTGAACCTGAAATTGTAGCCTTCTAATCACCAAGTCAAATTCACAAAAGTGGATCAAAATAAGTCCAATGATTAACTGTCTAAAAATAAATTATTTATTAATAACATTGCAATTAATCACTCCAAGAATAATAAACTCCTTAGACATGGGGCAAAATCCTTTAAACTATAGAACTTGATAATTTGGTTTATCATTATTCTAAGGAAAACCCCACTGGAGTCAATAACAATATAATACATTGTAATTATATCTTTTTAACTCCTAGAATAACGATGATTCCAGTGCAATGAACTAGAAATTGCAAACATAAAAAAATAACCATATACATGTAAATTCCAACAATTTTATATTTAAAGAAATAACTGATATTAGATGAGACCGATATACCGCTGTTATTGTAAATGAAAGTATTTCAGAAAGGTACACAGTTAAAATAAGTTACTGAGAAAATTTGAATAGATACATCTTCTTCTATTCTTGTAACAAACAACAAGACAATCTCAATCTTAACTGTATAATACATTTATTCTTTTAGATACAATGTATATGAATAATTTATCAAACAGTTCTGTCAGGAGTTATGCCCCTCTGATGCAGCTTCCATATATTCCTTTGCCAAATCTGGATTTTCTGAGACCCATTTCTCTGCTGTGTTCTCATTCAACCAGTCCCCACTTTTTATTCCTTTATGCAAATCTTTCATCATATCTTGTAGTAAGTCTAAATGAAATAAATTTTGTAATTGGTTGAATTCATCTTCTTAACATGGTTTATTTGGTTAACTACTTACGAGTCCTCTTTTATGGTTATTTTGTTCCCCATAATTTTATGTAGTTTAAAAGCATTATTTTTTTTTACTCTTAATGTTTCCTAATTTCCTGTTGTTGGTTATGGAAGATGGCTGTAAAAATGTTTATTCATTTGAAAGAATTTTTTGTAATGTGTAGGTATGACAACTCATGTGTAAAAGTAACTTATAAATGCTTGTATGCAAATGCACACCCTTGCTAACTCAAAAGTCCCAAATAAGAAATAGCTCTAGTATCATTTATTGGGATATCATTAGAGTATCCTGTAACATTATTACTGTGTCAAGTTATTTTGGGGATAGAATATTAATTTGATTGTCAATAAATATAACAACCATCATAAATAATTATTGTTGGGAAAAACACTACTACATTTTGTAATATTTTGAGTAACAGAAAAATATGAAGAGACATCACCCCTTGTTTACAGCTACACAACATCATCAATTTTAATTAACCTTGAGATTCCCTGGAAGATGTTTCTTTAGTCAGGATCTCTGTGTCCATCTTATCAGCAACTTTATCCAGAAAAGAAGCTAGAGAAGAATTTGTTTCAATATTGGAAGCTTGCTGAACTGTAGGAGAAGATAATTTAACAGTATCCTTATCCAACTTCTCAGCAAAATCTGTCATGAGGGATAGAAGAGAATCACTACCACTCTCTGTAACCACATTTCCAGCAGCTGTATGTATTTCCATGGTAACTGAAGTCTGACTGCTATTGGTATTTATTGATTGTTTGTTTATTTTCTCCAAATCATTGTCCAGTTTCTCTGCAAACTTCATCATCATATCTTCAAGACTTTCTTCATCTGTTCTAACATCAGCTTAAACAAACATGTAAAGTATAACTCTTGTGATGCTAAATAGACAATACAACACTTTTTAAAGCAATAAAAATAATAATAAAAATTTTTTAATCAGGCATGGGGTAATCGTAATTGAGTAATCGTAATCGATTATAATAATTACTTTTTTTCAAGTAATTGACAGTAATCTTTAATCGAAGAGATTTTCGATTACTTGTAATCATAATTTAATCAATTACACTAAAATTGTCAATGTAATTATAATTACTTTTTGATTACTTTCGATTATTTCATAAATAAATGTTATTTTGGAGAATTATTTCCAGTCAGTCATACATAAATGTATAATAAAAAAAATCACCCAGTGATATGTGTTGATTTCCTAACTTTTATTATGATGTTCAAAAGTTTGATAATGTTCACAATAAAATTTGCATTAAAGGCCTACTGGTCTAGTATTAAATAATTCAGAAGTATATTTCAACCATTTATTAATAAAATATACAGATTTTTTTGTGTGCATTTTACATTTGACTCACTGTCCTCTTGCAGCATGTCCTATTTCAGATGTTGAAAAACTTTGTCTTGTCATAAAAAATATATTAAATAGCAAAAACACATTTAAAGTGCTGTATTAAATATAAATAATATGGTAAATAAACTACATTATATTTGGAAAAAAGAAGATGAAAATACTTAATATTCATTTCTGTTTTGTTGTGTTTTCAGTAACTTTAAAATCTTAAAATCATTCTCATGTTTTCATTCATATTTGTAAGGTTACTTGTTTTGTCAGTGAAAGGTTTTATCTGTATTTTTAAAGACAGGGGGTAAGAGTCACTGTATTTGTTTATCTTGGCAAATTGTCTGGGACATCCTTGACATGCAGATAATGAGGTGTGATGTGAGCTTTGACCTACCTACTGTTTAACTTTTATAATTGATAGTTCCATTGAAGACAAACAATATTATTAGAACAATTAATAGCTCTCAAAACACTAAAATATTTCAACACAGACTGCAGTTCAGGGATCGACATTAACGGTTGTCTGATTGCCCGGGACAAGTAAATTCTCAGTTCGGGCAAGTGAAACTGGCAACATACTTGTCCGATCAGGCAAGTGAATTTTTCTGATAGAAATGTACATGTATGTTGTTATCTAGTTCAAATTAATTTATAAATAAAACAATAAACTGAACACTTGATTTCCGCCAGGTATATGAATGACATTGTTTTTGCATTCGGAATTCTATAGTATACCGTTCATTTAAAGATCGGGTTTGTTATCCGTTTTCTTTTGTGGTAATTACGCTTTGTAACTTTGTTACAGGTCTACTTATTAGGAAATTAGATTATTTATTCAGTCACTAAACACAAGTAAGAAGACATATCCTGATCAAGGTATGTATGTTTCGTAGCAATTATCTTCATTAGCATTGCTTCACAGTTATCTCAGAAAATCAAAATTCACATAAGGATCCTAATGAAAATAATTTTAAAAAATTTGAATTTTATGATAATGGAAACGGAGGGTTATTGCTGCGTTGCAGTGCATGTTTACAGATTACATTTACAAGGACAGTAGTGTACATTTATGAACAAGCATTAAGCATCGATTTTTTTTTTCAGGTACTTCGACTTGCCAAATTTACAGCAGTGTATCTGGTCAAAACTTGTTCTTACCATATAATATTTACCAGCTTAGTAATAAATTATTTTTTTTCCTAATTTTGGGCAACCAGGTTTTGATTCGGACAAGTCAAAGTTTGAGATCACTTGCCTGAAGGACAAGTGAATCTGAAAGTTAATGTCTATCCCTGCAATTGTGCTATTAGTTTTACTTAAAGGCACATTTAATTTACATGTTTATTAATAAGAGTTCTAAACTTATTTTTTTGAGAAGACATACAAATGTTTTATGTGTACTGCCAACATGCAAGCAGTCCAAATCCTCCAAAACACAATAAAATATTAAATAACCAAAGTCAATAAATATGGATGTTCAGATCCAGTGTCGAAAGTAATAATTTATTTCTCTCATACTTTATAGCAGGAACAATGTCTCCACTGTCCATGGTAGAAAATCCCTCATTTGGGCATTTAGTGAAAATGTTAGGTCTAAAATATTAAAGGAAACCAGAATAAAACCTTACAAGAATCTGCACTGAATTAGGGCTGGGACGATATATCGAGATATCAATAATATCGATTCAATGTGAGGATGATACGCATATCGATACGTATGAAGAAATATCGAAATATCGCAAAAAAAATTTCTGACATGTTTTTTCTTTGTTTGCTTAATATTTTGGATTAGATATATAAAATAAATATGCAGAATATAAATATAAATATGAAATACATAATACTAAACCCCACTTGTGTAAAATAATTTTGTTTTACAACATATATACAACTTCTTTGAATAAATTATTCTCATTTGTGAAGAAATGTTTTGTTCATTTCAATACAAAATTTTTTTTTATAACTAATTCAACATATTGTGATACATATCGTATTGTGGCTCAAATATTGTGATATGTATCGATATAGAAAATGTTGTATCGTCCCAGCCCTACTGGAATCTGCTGGAACACATTCAAACTTAGTGGATATCATTAACATTACCATATAACTTTAAATAATTTAATCTAAGGGGATAAAAACTTGGAAGTAATCAATTATTAATCAATTATATCTTCCAAAGTAATCGATTACAGGACAAAAATGAATGTAATCGATTAATAATTGATTACACAAAGTTCCTCTAAGTAATTGATTATTAATCGATTACATTTTTCAGTAATAGTGCCCATGCCTGATTTTAATTATGAATAATCAATGAGAGAAGGAATAAAAATAGATAAACTAGGAGCCTGTGATTTTCAATAAATTATCTTAAATTATATTAAGTATTTATAGTTTTTGTCTAAAGAGGAATAAATTCCTTGCATAAGCTCTCTTACAAAACTGAAATGTGCAAAATTATTGATGCATTCATACATTCTTTTACGCCTTCCATTTAATTTAAAGCTGATATATCATTTGTGGTTGCAACACATTGTATTGTTTATGATCCGGGCACTTGCTGTGCTCGAAAGATGAAGCGCTATTGTCTTCAATCCTGCCATTGGTCGTTTTGATGTTAAATGGACTCTGATTGGTCGAATTTAGACCACTGTTACCGGATATGAAAATTCTACACAGAGTGGTTTTATGATTTTCATACCATTTGCGATATCCTTTTTGATTTTCTTTCTTTCTCCGTTTGACTTTACCGTTTGTCAAAATTTATCAGAAAGACGTTTATCAGATAGGCTGGATAGCTGAAGTAAGTACGGACATATTGTCTTAAGTGAATTAAATCACAATCCACTTTTATTTTATTCCTAGATGCTAAAGATTTTATTTGTACTATGGGGATTTCTTCTATTGGAATCGATACACACACAAACAGCTGCTATGATCAATAATTTATATCCTTAATTATTCATTGTATGAAATGTTCATGTTACCATTACCTCTGCACTTCTTAATTATTTCTAATCTATTCTCTTAGGGATACTGACACTATGCTCAGATACTTGGTGTTTGGTCAAGTACAATCAGTACATTTAGCTACGTTGCTAGAATTACCTACCGTAGCTTTATTTAGCTACCTCGGGTAGCTTTATTTAGCTATTTCAATGCAACTCTTCACATTTTGCTTTTTAATTAAAAAAGACAAAAATTTGCAAGTATATGACTACTAATATTTATCCTTAATTCTCATTATATCAAGGGTTCCATTGTATGGCGGTATTTTCCAAAAATTAGGATACACAGCTCATATCCGTTTTTTTGTTGATGGACTATCTGTCTGTTTTCTGAATGTTGACTTTTGTGATGGTTAAAAAATATGGAACACCCATTGGAAAAATATTTATTCAAATAAAACAAAATTTTACAGATTTCCATTCCCGTTTTTATTTTATTTAGACCATTAAATATATAACCAAATAAAATCCATAATAAAGTTCATATTTTTGAAAGCCTTAAGTTTGTTATTGTTAAGTTTTTTTTGTAGATTTACACCATAAATTAAAAAATAAAAATTGTACTTTGTGACAGTGCCAAGCCTCCATGTTTTTAATACCACAATACAATGAGACTCTCCACTTTAGGAGGTAAATAAGACTTCCTGTTTTAAAAATAGAAAACAAAGTAAACGAAGAAAGCTTAGAAAATAATTAGCCACTAAAAAGTTAGGCCATTGATAGGTTTATGAATAGTATTTGGTGAAAAGTTAATGTAAGAATTTGGAATAACTTTTTTACGCAAAAGAAATAAGTATCGCGATATTATGAGACACCAGTATATACTAGAGATTTTCAAAAAAGCAATCCAAAGTAGAGTGCTGCGTTTGAACATTTTTAAGCAAAAGATGTATTTTCATTGTTTGAGTAACTGTATACCACTTTGTGTGTAGTGAGGTATGGATACCGGTAATTATGATTACTTCACATTGTGCTGAATACTGGTAATTACCAATCATTTATCATGTTAACCAGAACTGGTCTTCTTTGTTATTTTATTCAAGAAGTAACTGTTTGGCCACGAATTAAATGTTGTATATAGCCCCAAAACTTGTAGAACTTTGATTGCAATTGTGCAGAAAAAGACACATTTTCTCGAGTGATTTTTTTCATGAATTGTTTTCTGATGAGTTTAAAGTTGAAAATTATCAATGCATCAAAGTATGATTTTCTGCACATCCTGAGAAAAATGCAAATTTAAGAAATAAGTTTGATTTGGTAGCTAAATAAAGTTACTTCAGGTAGGTAAATAAAGCTTTGTAGGTAATTCAAGCTATGTAGCTAAATCTAGTGATTGTACCAGACCTGTTAAAAAACATTTTATTTTCATTAAGACTAATATTAGAATTATTCCTAGGGTATTTGAAATGGTTTGAGAAGAGATTACGATTCCTGCAAAGATGTTAGATGCCAGCAAGTGGCCAATTTTCAGTATTCTTGAACAGGAAGATTTAGAAAAAATAAAGAAAATTTGTGTGTTTGGGAGTTCAGGAAATGAGGCAATATACATTACAGATGATGATGAAGTATTTGCCATTGGATCTAACTGCAGTAGCTGCTTGGGATTAGGTACTTAGACTTATATAAAAAAAAATAGAAGTATGATATATAAAAAAGGAAACACTGTCAATTTAAAAAGACATGCTTTATCTCATCAACATTCATTTCACATCTGAGCAGGTTTTAAAATATCGGTAACATGTAGAGAGTTTTTAAGTACTTGTTTAATTAGCTAACTTATGTTAAGGTGACGCCCATAGTAGCTTTGAGCCCAGAAAAGTGGAAGTTTTATGCAAGAAAAATATTGTGGATATAGCCTTTGGGAGTGGCCCACATGTCCTTGCAGTTTCCAAAAGTAAGCATGTATATTATTAGATCTGAGATTGCATTGAATAAGTCTAACAAAAACAATCCGAAAATACATGAAATACATCCATTGATCCTGTATTATTTTCAGATGGTGAAATGTACAGCTGGGGTCACAATGGGTACTGTCAGTTAGGAAATGGGGGATCAGGACAGGGGTTAATCCCTACACCTATAGGTACAAATATACAAGGAAAGAAGATTTTAAGAGTGGCTTGTGGCAGCCATCACTCTATGGCTCTTTCACAAGAAGGAGAGGTAACACAATTCATGCTAAGTATTAATATGGAATTCTTTGTCATCAGTCTTTGAAATATTCTCATTATATATTGAATATCCTAAACCTAATAAAAACAAGACATGGATAAAGTTGTTCCCAATGGGATTTCAATGTATTTACTTAAAATCTGTTATTTATTTTTGGAAATTTAAAGTTATATTGTTTAACTTTGATAGAAAACTTAAGTTTAGTTCATTCAGACCAAAATAGGGAAAACTTTTAAAAAATATTAAATGAAAGAATGTTTCATTACTCAGATATTTGCTTGGGGACAGAATAATTGTGGACAAGTTGGCTCTGGAACAACAACAAATCAACCAACCCCGAGAAAAGTTGTTGCAGTTATAGGTTTGCTAAGTTCCATAATCATAGATTTTATGTCAAGAAGACTCTGAACACAATAAGAAGCTTTATGAATGTACTCAACAAACACCAATGTTTACTGTATTTTTCTCTATGAATAGTGTACATGTATTTTCATTAACTAAAAAGATCTTTTTTAACATTTATTATCCATTTGTTTTTTAAAATAGGGTCCAAAATGGCTTTGTCAATAGCCTGTGGTCAGACTTCATCTATGGCTTTATTAGATAATGGAGAGGTAACTGAATACAATACTCACAGAGATTGTGCTGTCTATTTTTCCAGACTTGTATTTGTATACAAATACATGTCAGTCATTGTACCAAAGAACAATTTCTTTTGTTGCTAACAAATTTACCATTGTAACATCACACTACATGTATTTATGATTTGAATTATTGATTTCATCATCATTTCAACTCTTAAACTCAACATTTACATTTTGTATATATGTGTGTGTAAAAACCTATTCCACTGCAAATCTTAATATTTCTTCACTCATTCACATAATTTTCAAGATATTTTCACTTGCATGAGCATTCCGAGTTAATTGCATGGAATATTGAAAGTTTTTTCTTATATAAAAAGAAAACAAACCATGCAGATCTGATATTGAATTGTAAATTACCTAAAAATGACCTTGAAACCTAATGTGACTGATTCTAGTTGTCATGATTAAGACCGTTGCTTTTTGACTTAACGAAATGAATAAGATAAAACATATTGTCTCTCATAAGAATTTAATTCCATAACAGTAATCAAGGATTATTTTGCATTTGAGGTGTAAAAAGTTTTATTATTTTGGGAAAGAAATGCTTCTTACTTTTGATTAACATCTTAAAACAAACTTTATTTATATCTATTTAACTTCTTTAACAATAAATGATTTTTCCCTTGAAAGTTTAACAATTCCAGATTTAAAAATTATGTTTTACCATTCTAGATTCAACATCAGAAAATGATAAATGGGTCAACTTCAGGTTTATTTCAGTAATTATCTTTTTGAATACTTTTTAAGTTTTAAGTTCCGTAACACCACCTTATGACCTCAGGTATATCAAAATTGTTATAAAATGTTAACGATACCTCATTTGTGGATTATTCTTCTTTTTCCAAGAATATGTTCTTTAGGGAAATATCTTGTCCAATTGGCTATTTGAAGCAACATTTTTTGGGGGTGTTATATACCTTGAATTGGTCCTATTATCATAGAATGACTGATGTTTGTATGAAAACATATCACTCAATAAATACACAATATTTGTGCTTAAATCTCAGAGAATAATATTTGTTCCTTTGAAAATTACTACATACATACCCTAATGTATTTATGGAGAAGTTAAGTGATACATAAATTTACTAAAGTTTCACAATTGCAGGTATATGGCTGGGGTTATAATGGTAATGGTCAGCTAGGGCTTGGTAACAATGTTAACCAACCAAATCCATGTCGTGTTCAACAACTGCAAGGTGTCATCATATCCCAGGTAATCAGATTTATTTATCTTTATGTATTAATGGCCAGAAATTTATAAAACAAGAAGTCTGTGAGCGAATGCTCACTAGTAATACCCCTGCTGTGACGTGAATATACACTCATGTACATCGAATTCATACAAAAATGAATCCCACCATTTGGCATGCCTGAACAAAGATTGTGCTAAAATTTCAAGCATCTGTGCTGAGCAGTTGCAGAGAAAACCAAGACAGAAATTTGGTACAGACAGACGCACGGATAAATACGAAGTTGACATCGAATTCATACAAAAATGAATCCTGTCATTTAGCATGCCTTAACAAAGATTGTGCTAAAATTTCAAGCATCTGCGCTGAGCAGTTGCTGAGAAAACCAAGACAGAAATTTGGTAGGGACAGACACAGGGATAAACAGGAAGTTGACATCAGATTCATACAAAAATGAATCCCACCATTTGGCATGCTTAAACGAAGAGTGTGCTAAAATTTCAAGCGTCTGTGATGAGTAGTTGCTGAGAAAACTGCGATGAAAATTTGTTACAGACAGACAACGCATGGATAAACAGGAAGTTGACATCGGATTCAAAGAAAATTAAATCCCACTACATGCATATGGCATGCTTAAACAAAGATTGTGCTAAAATTTCAAGCATCTCCGTTGAGTAGTTGTGTGATGAAAATTTGTTACGGACAGACCATGCACAGATAAACAGGAAGTTGACATCGGATTCAAACAAAACTGAATCCCACCATAATGCATGCTTAAACAAAGATTATGCTAAAATTTCAAGCATCTGCAACGAGTAGTTGCTGAGAAAACTGTGACGAAAATTTGGTACGGACAGACGCACAGAATAACAGGAAGTTGACATCAGATTCAATTAAGAAAGGAATTTAATTTTTGAAGATTCATGATGACATGAACTACGATGCTTCATGCCGGCTAACGCGCTTGAAGCGTCGTAGTTCATGTACCTCATGAATTTTCAAAAATTAAATTCATTTCTTATACTGGTATTTACACTATTTTTCTGATGATTTGCCACTAATAATGCAATTTTTTAAAGCAAAACAGTTTGTACTATAGTTTTGACGTCAAGTAAGGTATTATGATGTAACAATGGAGATATTCATGCCCATTCATGGTAGTTCATGAAAAATTGAACTGTATTCTATTTTGTAAAGAATCATAGGGGAAATTTATTGGAAATGTAAATATTCAAAAATGAATCCCACCAAATGGCATCTCTAAACAAAGATTGTGCTAAAATTTCAATCATCTGTGATGAGTAGTTGCTGAGAAAACTGCAATGAAAATTTGTTACAGACACACACACAGACAGACACACAAGGGTAAAACAGTATACCCCCTCTTCTTCGGAGCAGGGGTATAAAAAACTACCTACAGGAATGTTTTGTCAGATGCAAGATTTGGAGGCTATATCTGACATATATTTAATGTTTGAGTGAATGTAGTTAACGACATTGTCTAGACATGTTTCTAGCTTACATGTATCTGAAATGTATTTTTTATTATTATTTTATGTGAGTTATTTTATTGCCGTGTGAGAAATATCTGTGACTTTCATGACCTTCTTTTACTTACAAATATTTATTTGTGTCAAATGTGTAATAACGTAGAAGATTTCCTTAGTCACAAAAATTAATAGTTGTCATTCAATTTCAAAGTGACAAATAACAAATAAAAGTTGTTGAGAATAATACATGTACAGTGAAACTTTTCTAATCCGGATGTTGTGTATTCCGAAATTTTGCCTAATACAATGTAAGCTTTAAGTCCCTTTTGGTAAACTCAATTGTTTGAAATGTTGTCTAATCTTTGGAACCAGTGGCGTCCGGATTAGACAAGTTTTACTGTATTTGGTGTATAGTACCAGTCCTGTTAGGATGATTCTTATTTTTATATCACTTCAACAAAGTTGAGAGGAGATTATCCAAATCCTTGGATTTAGAGTCAGCGTCCAGTGCTTGTAGCATGTGGAGATTCCAAGTATCTACATGTATGAGCCTTACTGAACATTTTCGGAATCTCAGACACCTGACATCGCACTTCGGACAGCGGACTGCAAACAAAAGACGACTTACGGGGACCGTATAGAAATACGTTTTAACGTTTACCTGAGAATTTTCTCTCATTTTGGAATTTCAACATGTTACAGACAATAATATAACTTTATGTTAGTATTTAATATATCTTCTTCGGCTTAATGAAATTATTGAAGTAGTTCAAAATTTTCGATTTCTCTCGACTGCACCGAAATAGGAAATTAACTAATTCTTTTTTTATTTCAACACTCTATACATATCAGCTCGGTTAAGATATATGATATAGAAACTGACTTTAAGGCCATCTTTAAAAAAATCTTTGGCTTCCGAACGACTGGCTAAATATGGCTCTTCTCAGAAGTTTTTAATCTCCAGGAAGCAGTTATTTTTTCATGCATTCCAGAAAATAGATTTTGAAAATTCAGCATTGATAGTGACATTTTCTAGGGGAAAAAAATTGTCACCTACCTACCGACCCAATTTTTTCATCCTGAGTCGGGAGAGGGCAAACAAAAATTATTTTAAAATTAGCCATGGCCAATTCTTTATTTTGTTCTTTTTTAAAACAATAAATCGGATATATGAAAAAAAAAAATAATTTTGAAAAAAAAAGTCGCAATGAGAAGTTAAAATTTGCAAATTTTGATTCGAAAAATCCAAAAGTAAATTGCTTACCTGACTTTCTTGAGTGATTTTAAGAACTCAAAATTTAATGAAAGGAAACAATTATGAAAGATTCCCATTATAGATAACACATATACGTAGGTACAAAATTTTGGGGTGTTGCTAAAACGCGGAACGGAAAACGGAAAATTTGATGTCAAGTTTTCACTAAGCACAGGTATAATTCAGACTTAGGACGAAATATTTTTTATCTAATACATGTAGATCATATCTACTTAAAAGTTATCGTAACAATGTGATTTATTCATGATATTTTTTCCTCAAAACATATGGCATATATACACGCAATGGTCAATAAAATGCACATTAATTAGACTCATATCCCATTATCTATCAGAATGTCTCACTTAATGCGCGGATCTAGAGGGGGGGAGGGTGGGTCGGGGGTCCGCCCCCCCCCCCCCGGAATTGACAGAGTTATTAAATGTATATACTTAACCAAGTAAAAGTGAACTTGGACCACCCCCTTCCCCATCGAAAACGCGGATCTGTATAAAGTTTGTACGAAAAGTCATAAGTATTAAGCTTAAGAAGTCGACGACTATCCCCCCCCCCCCCCCCCCCCCTCGAAATAGGTATTTCATGCTTTTTGCTTGTCAATTTCTAGGTTGGATTTTTTTTTGACTGGGGACCCCCCCCCCCCCCCCCCCCTTGGAAAAAAAATTCCTGGATCTGTGCCTGCACTTATCACTCATCCAAATCTGAATTTAAAAAATGGCTTATTCGTCAAAGACAAAATCATCATTATTGATTATAAAAGGGGCAATGTTGCTTTGAAACATTTGAAACAGGCGGAGAGCAAGACAGAGTATACATGTATATACATTTGTGTTAAAGACAACGATCACTGGCATTAAGGAAACAATTTTTTTAAAAAGTTTATTACAACTACAGGAGTGTTGATGCAATCCACAGGGACCTGAAACGGGGATTGAAGAAAGATAGCATACATGTATTTGGCCAAATTGTGCAAAACAGCACAAACTGATTGCGCAGAATAACGTCAAGATGAAATTGATGGGGAAATGACATATTTTCGAGAAAATATAGAGCTGTTATTTATATTTTAGCAAGGGGGGGGGGGGTTACAGAGATGTATGTTATCCACACCTAAGGTGCATGGGTACATATGCATTGAAAATTATGGAAATTTTCGCTCAAAACATGTTACATGTATATATGTACGGCATTAGATATTTTCTGTTCCGTTTTCCGTACCCTGTGCTTTGTCTATGTTCAGACATCTTCATAAATAAGTGAATGAACATGACTAAATCAACTCGTATTTTCATAATTAAGGATTAAATATGAAAAAAATTAAATGATATTTACTGTTTCTGGTATTATTTTTATATTTTAAGGGATTTAACCTGGAATCATACTTTCCGTTTTCCGTTCCGCGTTTTAGCAACACCCAAAATTTTGAATGGTGTTTAACATATTAATTATGCCATTTCTTGGTTGAATATGAATTCCTGTATACGTACATTTATATGGAATTCATAGTGTTCATGTAATTACCTAGATAATTCAAATTGTATTTTTATCATGACCATGATGTAAATACAAATTCTTTATTAAAATACATCGATGCAATAAAATTTATAGGTCTGTATTAAAAATTTCCTCTTTCATAATACCAGAATCAAGAAGCTTCCTGGACCCCCAGCAAGGCTTCAAATTTTCCCTGTACCCAGTGGAAACCTCAAGGTGGCTTCAGATCCCAGATATCCTGACTATGCTATACATCACACTTTGCCTGGGTATTCAAACGAGAATGTAATTGTTCAGTTTTTATTTTTTAGGGGGAGTATGACTGTGAATTTTTAAAGATTTTGAAGTTTTAAAATTGGTAGTTATATTTCAAAGCCCAGTGCTCTTCGTTTCTTTGGTTTCTCTCCCCCCCCCCCCCCAAATATCTGGGTCCGCGCCTGATTTGTGGGGGTACGAAATAAGTTGTATGTGATATGTTATTCACGTTCAAGACACTGATAATATGTTATTGTTTGTTTAAAGTTATCATTTATTTCCGGAGATATACTTTTTCCTTTAAATTAAATGGTATATGTCCACAAACAATTCCTTAAACAATTTATTATATATTTTTTAGAGTGACGCCATAACTTACTTTGACAGATTGTTTCTTATTGAAAGATTATGCGCTCATTAAGGTACATATATCTATATAAAAATGCAAGTCCTTTATATTTTATTTGTTCTTGAAGATCCCTGTTTTCTATTTGTTGCTGGGAAAAGGGTACCACTGGAATTAAACAATCTCTCGGGAAAGGGAGCAAATCATTATTTTAGGAAAAGTTGGGGGAGAACCCCCCCCCCCCCCTTTCAATACCACGTGCATGTGTACACTTGTTCAGTATAAAGTAGTGTAAATCATACAAATAAGACTAAATGTGATTATCGAGTACAATTAATCAAGACACAAATATATTAATATTGTTCACTTTTTGACACGTTCCCTTACCTGAAAGTCCGCTATCCGAAGTCAGCTGTCGGGTGTCTGAGATTCCGAAAATGTTCACTAGGACCAAACTAGCACAGAGGATGAATGATGCATATTACCAGAAATGCTTTAGATGCTGAATCTAACATATTTCTTAGTAATTTCATGTATAAAACTTATCTGGATCAAACTTATATGGCCATGATTCCAGGAGCTTTGGATTACCATTGACATGTTTAATTAAAGGCTTGTAATGTTGATCGTATCTGATGCATCTTATTAGACATTCATTTTGTGTGAAACTTTGCTAATGTTTGACAAGGTGAGCAATGTAATACACAAATTTAAATCGGAATGTTTACTGCAGCCAAACAAAACAGAAAAAGACTACATTACTCTTATGTGTTTTAATAATATATAAAATCAGAAAATATGTCTATTTTATTATGTTGACTTTTTAAGCTGGTATGTGGATATGCCCACACTCTGGCCCTGTCTGATGAAGGAACTCTATATTCATGGGGAGCTAACTCTTATGGACAGCTGGGCACAGGAAACAAAGCCAATCAGGTGTCACCATCAAAAGTCATCATTAATGGTGAAAGGTCAGTTCCTGGGATGGTATATGCACAAATAAATAAAGTTTAAACTTGCATTATAAAAATTCATGATTTTATACCAAATAAAATGATATTTAATGTCTTTTCTTTCTTTTATATTTTCATGTTCTATGGAGAATACTGTTACAGTAAAAATGCTTCCACTGATTTACAACAGATTAGTAAAATTTCAAGTTTGAGACAGTGGAGAGAGGTCCAATATTGGAAAAGAAGTTATTATCAGATATAATTCATTGTTCATCACTTTTTAAAACAATTTCAGGATGGTGGAAATAGCTGCCAGTCACTATGCTCATATCTCTGCCACCATGACAGAGACAGGAAAGGTATATATGTGGGGTCAATGTCGCGGTCAATCCCTGACCTCCCCAATGCTGACCAAGTTTACCTGTACCGATGATGTGTTTTCTGCATTCTCCTCACCATTAGTAACATGGAGGACATATAATGTGGGTATGTATATGGTTAAGTTCAGCATTGTAGCAATTAACTTGTTTGATGTACATTATTGTGGAAAACCCTTTCCTATGAATTTACAACTTTCAATCTGAAATATTGAAATAAGGGTAATGTCTTTTTAAAGTAGCTGGTCTTCCACAAATTGCATCCCCATGAAGCTGTAAATTTTTAGCTAAAGCCCCATGAATTAAAATGATTCTACAGCACTACTGAAGCCATAAAGTATATTTTACACTATTTGTTGTCACCTAATTAGACAACAGATTTTACTTTAATATTGAAATAAATTTTATTTTATTCCATCAGATCACATCAAAGGTTCCAGTATTGTAGAGAGTCTGTCCAAAGCTTTTGATGACCCGGTAAGATTAATCATATATTAATCAAAATGTATCTTCACATCAATCAAATTTGATGAAAACATTAAATGTGTAAGCTTATTTTAAATTATGTGATTGAGAATGTAATCTCATTCAATTATGGCTTTGTAGATAACCTCTGATGTCAAGTTTTCAGTTGAAGGACGAGATATTTATGTCCACAAATCTGTGCTTAAAATCAGGTAAAAGCTCTATTATTTAATTCTTACCTCTTAAATAGAGTCTTTAGTCTGATTTAATTATGATGTTAATCAACAGACAGAGTTTATCTCCCTTGTGTTTTGGGATTAATTGTACATACTTTTTACAGGTGTGAACATTTTCGTTCCATGTTCCAGTCATGTTGGGACGAGGATGGGAGAGAGTAAGTGACCTGTTCTAATCCAAATTAACAAAATAATTAGCTCTTGTTCTCCTTAATTTATTAAATTAGGAAGGGATAAGAGAAGTTTTGAGGATTATTGAATTCCTTGCAGTTGGGTACTACAGATAATACTACACGTACATTGTAATTTGTTATTTTCAGTTCCATTGAAGTCAGTCAGTTTTCCTACACAGTTTACAAAGCATTCCTACAGTATCTCTATACAGACCAAGTAAATCTGAAACCAGAACAAGCCATAGGTATGATTAATGATTTTCATGCAGCATACAGGAATTAGAAAAAAGTTTTTGTAGATGAAATACACCTTCCAAAGTTTAGCAGAGGCACCTCAGAGTGAAGCTTTAGCTACATACACATAAAATTGTGTAGTGTTGTTGATGTTAAGTGATAAAATATAATTTTATTTATCGTTATGAAAATGGTAACTGACATTTCATGTAATATTCCCAGCGAAGCTTGGCTACACATGTACATGTATGTATTAAAAATTAATTCACTGATAAATTGAAATTTTACTTGGTGGATACATTGCATAAACTTGATCACATTAACCAGTCAGTAGTATTGTATGCTGTAGAATGTAATAGCATTGAAAGGTTGAATAAATTTCATTTAGATTAATCACTACTTAGTGGGTCTTCATTGATCAAAAGGTGATGCTCATGTTAGTGCTTGTGAGCAACATCCAAACTATCTACAAATACGTTTCTAGTTTCTACAGAGGAAATGTAAATGTTACACACTGTATCATAGAAAGATTGAGAGTTTCTTTGATTCTCAACAAGGGACATTTGAAGTTCCAAGGTCATAGGAATTGGCATAAAATTTGTTGAAGCAAAACTTTCTGATTTTCCTTCAAAATTGAAATTTAACAAAAGGAGTAAAATAATTCATAGTATTGCTATCTAGTATATACCTGGTTTATTCCAAAGTTGCGAGTGCCAAGTTCAAATAATTACATGTAGTACAGGAAAGCCTTAATAATCTGGATGCCAGTGATCTGGAATCTGCACCTTCCAGATGAAATTTGTTGGGAAGAGAATTCACATCTATATCTACCAACTATAAAAGAAATGTTATCTGGATACTTCATTAATTTGATTTGCTGGAAACACAGGCATCAGGATTAACATGGCTCAACTGATGTCAAAATACTCCATCTGGATTGTCACTCTCTCTGATGTGTCTCATCTACTTTCTTATGTATTGATACTTGGCGTTTAGTCTACACTAGACAAAATTGCTGATGCACCACCAAAATAAATTAATATTTTACTTTTCAAAACGTGTTTATGATGTATTTGAAATATAATTATATTATTTAAATAAAAAATGAGGCATTTAAATGTCTTTAATGACAGATAACTACAATGTTTACTGAAGTGTAACCATTTCATAGAAAAAATTAAATTGTGTCCATACCTTTTATTTTTTCTTTGTGTCTGTGTTCTTTATATTTGTATTAAAAACTCGGCAAAAAAGTTACATCGAATGTGGCGTTTGACCCTAGATGAGCGTACTAATGCAGACGGTATGGTGGTTGCAGGGGGTTCCTTTGGAAAAATTTGTAAAAATAATGAAAAAATTAAGAAATTATGAATTCCTCTAATGAGAAATTGTTGAAATTAGATTAACAAACATAAAAATGATTACTATAGATAGCCACAGTATTAAGTAAGCAGCAAACGATAACTTGAAAATTGTACCACAAAATTGGGTCAGCCGGAAGTTGGGTGGTTTGGTATTGACACCAAGGCACTGGATGACTACTAGCCGATATGATAGTCAATAGCTGTATGTTATTTGAATTTAACTGGGAGACTGCTTCTGTGGTAACCTCAAGGACCACCTTTGGTGATCACCAACTTCATACCTGGGCAAAAACAGTGCGCATTGCACGTCGGGAAATTGGTTTTTGGGCAAGAAGGTCATTTGAGGGTCTTGTCATGATACCAAGATATTTGTCAATCCCACTGTTTTGGAAGAGATGGCATATTATATAAACTATTACCAATCGGGCAAATGTTCAATTCACAGATAAGAATAACAAGTGGTGCGTTAGCAATTTTGTCTAGAGTATACCTTGCAAATTACATGTAATATATTGAATTGTAGCCCTTTGTTCCATGTCTATTGTTAAATCTATCTCACTTAAGAGTACATTCAGTATGAGAATTTATTATGTATTGTCAGGGTTGTTAGACTTGGCTAATGCCTACTGTGAGCCTCCACTGAAGCGGATCTGTGAGCAAATCATTAAAAAGGGAATAACAACAGACAATGTGGCCATGTTATACGCAGCTGCTGTCAAATTTGAAGCAAAGGTTAGTTCTTTCAAGTAATGTGAACTTATAAATTATCAATACTGAATATTCAGAAAAACAAACTTCAATAAATACCATTTGATTGCCAAAATAGTTTTCTTAAAAGTAACTGCCAGAAAAAAGTTACAATCCACAATTGTTTTGTAAATATTTCAGGATCTTGAGGAGTTTTGTTTCCGCTTTGCTCTGAACCATATGACAGCAGTGACTCAAACACAAGCATTTAGTCAGTTGGATGAATCTGTTTTAAAGGAATTTATACGCAAAGCAGCCATGTCAGGGGCTTTCAAATACTGACAACTGGAATCTGTAGAACAGAAATGCTGTTCTGCAGAATGTGAATCTTAAATGAGGAACAATACAAGCTAAAATTATTGATGGTTTTGTAGTAACAATGACATATTCAATTCCATTTTCCAGACTGGAAAGTTTCTGTTGTGAATTAAATATTTTATGGGTGAAAAATTACCTCCCAAGAGTAGACGTATTATAAATCTCGTTTTGAATTTGAACAAAATGAATGATAAGCACATATACATATACAGTGAAATATGAAGCTTATACATTTTACCAACTGGAGGTATCTTGTGATATACATCATTCCTACTGAAAAGTTAGTTACTGTACTCCCTTTGCAACCAGGTTGCAATGAATGTATTAATTGGCCCATGTGTACATTATTTTGCTTACATGACATAATTTTGCTTGCATGACAGTGTTATGAACACTTTATGCAGCACCCTGTTTGATATCTTAGTCTCCTACAACTCCAAGTGGAGCAAAGGGGGGGGGGGGTCAAAATTCAAAAGAATCAGAATATGCCAATAGCTATCGTAAAGAGTGACATTTGAACATCTTGTTGCTTTACTTATTATGTTCATGTATATAATGGTGAAAAAGTGAAATCTCTTGGTTTTAAGGGTCAGTGGTGATAGATGTAATAATTTATACAAGTAAATACATTTACCACTGACAGCTATCACTTGCTATGAATGTAAATTCTGAGAAAACCTATTCATGCATTGTTTATATTGTAAATTTCAATTAGTTATACATGCATGTTTGTCAATATTGCTGAAACCATATGCGTGTATATCATGTCCAAAGAAAGGGGAAGAGAGTGATTTTGGCAAATATATAAGTACTAGAAAACCAATGCAAATTTAGAAATTGGATGTGATCCCTCAGTAGTAATGCACGATGACTTTTTTTGGCTCCTATAGGCATGCATTTATTCTAAAGAGTACTTAATATAATGACACTAAATGGATAAAGATGCATAGAAATCACATGCCAATCATTTGTAGATAGTGGTTTTAAATTATTTGAGGTTTTATGTCTTGTTGGCTGCATGAAAAGGCTTTTTGGACTTGCTTATATTTTGATTTCTTTTCACCATTTTTCAAGAAAGCAGAACATAAAGCTTGTTATTTACTTTCCAAATTAATGAAGGACTGAATCCAGTTTGTACATTAATGCCATATACTGATGAAATCACTAATTTTCGTGGGGGGTTAATTTCCCTTGTTTTTGAGGTATGAAGAGACCTACAAATTCATGACTGCCACAAAATATGAAATGTCATTTACATAACTACTCAACAATTATTCTTCATCCACAAAATTAAATCCCCACAAACCCATAGTTTTTCTTCAAACCATGAAAATTTTACCCCACGAAAAATAAGATTTTACAGTTCCATTCTAAAATATTTGATATATCAGATATTGTGCATGAAATAATGTAAATGTATGTTAATTCAGTTGTTGATATTTTAAGTTGTTTCATGAATAAAAATTTTAAATTACACATTAGCTTTTTTGTGAATCAAGCATTTCCATACATATGGATATACTAGTAGTTTTGTTCCAGGGTAACAAAATGAGGTTCCTTTAAAATAATTTGTACACTGTCAAAATTAATATGCCAACACTATTTGTATATGTTGAGTAGTTTACTTAGAAATACCACATTTCTTTTTGCTGAAAAGCATTTAAGGGCAATTTTGCCTTGCTTTTTTTTAGCAGGGTCATTTTGTTACTGTAGTTATGGTGATAATATGGACATTATGGATAATTTCATACAGTTTATCCTCAAAGTTTTGGCATACTTGAGTTGACTGCCTTCCATACATTTCTTATCAATACAGTCGATCTCGTAAATCCGGAAGCTTGAGTTCCCATGCAACAAAAACAATGAAGCATTTCGATTGCCGAAATGTTCCCTTCATAATTGATAAATATAAATGCTCGCCTAATTTCGTCCGGAAGGTGAAACGTTTGGATAAATGAGGCTCCACTGTACTTCATACACATCTGCCGTTTATACAGAATTCTACCACTCTCCATCAGTAGTTAAACTGCTGAATAGTTCACAATACTCAACTTACATGTAAGAAGCTGTCATAAATCAGAAAGACATCTGAATGTAGTAAAATAAAGGTTAAGTCCATCTAGATTATGCATTGATAAGGGCATATATGTGTGAAAGTTTAAAGACTTTTCAAAGCTGGAAGGAATCCAAATCTGTCTTTAGCCAGTCACAGGAAATACTAACTATGTCTGATGATCTCTTTGAAGCAAACATTGCACAGTGAATCTACATGTACCCTACATGTGTCTGAAGTTCACTTTTTATCTTCAATACTTGTAGCTTGAAGCAAACCTGACCCATTTATAACAATATGTAACCTGTAAGTTAGGCACAGAATCTCACTGATATGAATATGCAGGAAAGTTTATTCTTCAAAATAATTTATTTAGATGTAAAGCAGCTAAATTATACAAAATAGAGTCATGTCTAGGTACAATGTATACAAAACAACTTGTATCTCAAATAAATTTTCACTTTGCTGCAGGTTTTCTCCACATCTTTTCCAATACATGCATCAGTCAAAAAAATTTTTTTGATTAAAGTTCTTGACTTCAATCAACACAAACACTACGGTACTCAATCAAGTAGCACTCATTTCCTTTTCCTTAGCCTTAGCTTTTGCTGCTGCTGCTAGTATCTTCTTCTTCCACACCTCGTATTCATCTACTTCCTCTTCTTCTTCCTGTTCTCTCTTCTGCTGCTTCATTGATACTTCCTCATCTACAGACAGAAAAGGAAGTGGACCCACATTTAACATAATATGCTGATTAAATTGCACATTTGAAGCTGTTTTAGGACCAACAAGATTAAACTGCTTATCTGAAGATATTAGGACCCACGCATAACATATATACAGAGTTACAAACTGCACTGTAAGTTACACAATATCACACTATGATGTTCTAGATACGTGAACTTCTGCATATACAGTGAAAACATTCTAATCCAACACCTGTGCAATCCGTTTCACTGTGAATTCCAACATTTATTTTCTTTCCTATTTTACTATTTTCAATGTTGTTTACACTGTGTAATCTGACATTCTGTTTATTCTGAAACAAAATTTGTCTCCCAGTGCATGTCGGATTAGACAGCTTTCACTGTACACATACCTTGGAGGTGTTTTTCAACTTCATCCAGAAGGCCTCGAACTCTTTTCTTTTTTTCCACTGTTTTTGTTTCTATTATAAAAGAAAATGATTGTATACAAAATATAAATTGAATGAGACTATTTCATATGCTTATTAATAAATATTTTCAAAATTTTTACACTTGTCTAAACCTTCTTGCAATGAATACATGCCTGGTTTTGTTCTTTCTTGTTTTACTTTTAACAGATTGTTTCCCATCTTTAAGACAGTTTGATTGGTTTATAGATCAAAAAAATCTGCTGACACTTGCCCATCATTTTGACTGCATGGATTTCCATTTCTGTTACTAGCCTATCATAGGTTGATCTTTTGATACTGCACACTTCTCGGAGTTTGTTCCAGTCTATTTTTATCTTGAGTTTTCTATTTACAAATACAAGATACAGATTGCAAAATAATTCTAATTCATGAATCTCAAAACAATACCATAGTATCATTTTAATTTGAGGGGGCCAATGTTCATGGGTAAAATATAAATTGTACTTGTTTGAAGGGACTTACTTTCATGGGCAACTTGTATAAAGAGAATATTTCATGAACCCATACGTTATGTTTGTGGAGATGTAAATTCATGAGTAAGGGTGACCCATGAACAATGACGACTACGCAGTAAACAGAATAGGTGGACAATTTTCCCCTATGTTTCTTAGGGAAAAAATTAAGCCCAAATATTGAAACTATCACTTATTTACAGGAACCTATTTAATGTTCATTTTGTTGCTGCTTATACATACCTACAAGCTGCACAAAGTGCTGTTGCTTGAAACATGGGAGATGAGAAGTCCATCTCTCTGCATGACTTTGATTTGTAATCTTCTTCATAACTTCAAATTAAAATTTATTAGGTTTGGATAAGTTCATTACTGGAAAAGAAACACACATGGAAAAACTGCAGATTGGTCAAAATCTAGTATCCTACTCATCAGTCTTCTTTACGATTGAATACCGGGCTACTTAATGGGGATTTTTTTTTTTTTTTTAATTTTACTGGGCTTGAAATAATATATTTTTTCCCTGGTCACTCAGGCTATCAAATTAAATTTTAACTGGTCAATTAATAACTTTTACTGTCCCATCAGGGTAGTAGATATGAAAAAGACTGGCCCCAAACCAATACTTAAAAAAAAAATATGTACAACATAACAGTTTATTTTTCGATTTTAATAATGAATATTGATGAAAACATTATAAACAATTTCTTCTATACTGTGTTAAATGCAAAACAGTTAATAGTGACATCAAAGTCATATGGAAGATAAAGGTCAAAATTTTTTGACACAGCTCTGATCACTTTGTATCTTTGCATGAAGAGCAATGAAAATATCTTGAACAGTTTCTTTTAAACTAAGAAAAATGCAAAATGACAAAAAGTAAGGTCAAGATCACAGAATAGGTCAAGATAAGAAAATTATTACATATTTGAATAGTCCCTACCATGTAGCAGTGTATGAGTTTTGAGGGAAATTTTTGAACAGTTTCTTCTACACTGTACTACACACAAAGTAAGTAAAAGAGAGGTCAAGGACACAAGGAAGGTCAATGCAGAAAATTATGAAATATTTGAATAGCTCTCACCAATGTGTAACAGTGTATGAGTTTTGATAAAAACATTTTGAAAAGCTATTATGAAACTACATTAAACACAAAATAAGGAATAGTGAGGTCAAGATCACACGGAAGGGCAGAAATTAATGCTACAGTTGAATAGCTCTCATCAATATTTATCAGCGTATGAATGCTGGTTAAGATACCTTTTCTTTTTTTTATAAATTGAGCTAAACTCAAAATGTGGCAGAAGGACAGAACAGCAGAAAAACCAAAAGATGGAAGACACACATGACAAATACTACCGGTATATGCCCTAGACATATTCATAAAAATGCTTTATTCGATTACCAATTGAGAGAAATACACAGTCAATTTCATTTTTTTTAATTTTAAATTTAAAGGCAGATCACTCTAATATATAAAATACCCCAGAATTAAAACTTTATAGTGTACAGTATATAAAGGGTCCTTTAAAAGGGAGAGAATACTTGATATCACTTAACTTAATGGAACTCTTTCGCAGTGAAGGTAGGAAACGTCTCTTAGCTGGGGGCAATGTCCTGTTGCATACAACGCCAGATGAAGCACTGTCAATGTGGATTTTTAAAGGGCAGATATGAAAGAGGTTCTTGTGAAATATCTTGCGGAACTTTCGCTGAACCATGCTTATAAATTTTAAAAGAACCTAGTCCTCATATGTTACATTTTTATTGATACTTTTTTCAGCAAGCCGACTCTTCTAATTAAATTCAACCCTTTCTTTATGATTATCGTTACTTTTGGAAGCTGATAGAAAACTTTAAACATTCCAAATTAGACAACCTACTATTTGTAGTTCAACCATTTGCAATACATAGTACTTTCGGCATACCAATTGTTTGAATCATTTGATTGTCACTGGCATAAGTAATTCATGCCCCGGAAATCTTGCAAGATTAAGAGCTTCCTCGACTTCGCCGCAAAAGAGCAGCATTAAGTTAGATAACTGTTAGGTAATCGCGATACAAAGTATTAGCAGCCTTTCCTGGGATAACTATTGGCTAAATGCAATATAACATGCACAGTAATATTTCATGTCAATATTAAAGTTATTTCCCATAACGCTGTGGTAAATAATATCTTTGTTTTACATTCCTAATAGGTACCCTCCAGTCCGACTAAAAAACAAACACAGTTCTGAAAACACATTAAAAAAATAAACAAAATATTGACTTATTTATGAGAAAGGAAGCTACTGTATGTTGTTATCTTTTTAATTTCAGAAATTTAACATATATTTCACAAAAGTTCTTTGGTTTAAAATAATGATGTGAAGTTCAATCATCTTATATTCAAATAATAGACATGGTTGACTAAAATTTCCAGAAAATGTATACAAAATATGTGAAAAATTGCCAAACTTGTGTTTTATTTTTACTTCATTTTTTTGAAATTCTACCCGCCCGGAGACATAAAACAAAGAATTTACTGTGGCCTAAACAAAGAAGTTGACTGTCCTCCGTGTCAAAATTATTTTGCTTCAATAGGTACATAGGTATTCTATTGTGAAACTCAGAGTATGAGGCAATAACTTTTTAAGAATTGAACTTTTTAAGAGCCTTCTACCGGTATACACTGCACACTAAAGAGTTTTGATTTTGTGGTATTTTTATGCAGACAGAGTGATCTGCCCTTTGATCAAGAATAAAATAAATTGGAATGTACAGCTTATTACTTAATTTGTGATCAAATCAAGCATTCATAACACTTTAATAGGCCAAGAGGAATAGATAGAACACTTCATTTGCAGGTATTTTGTCCACTTAAGTAAACAACAGTGATTTCTGTTCATCAGTACTTCATTGTCTTTGAACATTTTTCCATGGGGCACCCTATATTGAAAATGTGATAGATAAGCTCAATATATACACCTTTACTCACTATAATTTTCTCACAATGTCCAAAAAATATTTTCCTCTAGTGTATAGAGGGTCCTTAACCTAGCATTTTAATGATATTGATGTCTAAAATTACAGCCATTTAGAGGCTGTTGTCCTCACTAAAAAAATCTCATCATTTTTCTCCCAATTATATTTTTTTAGGATTTTAAAACTTAATGTGACTATTAAATAGAAGTTTGGCAAACTGAAATGCCAAATGGCAGCTTTGAAACTTGAAATATATGCTATACCTGTTGAGTGTTTTTGTTGCTAGTTCTGTGGCAGGTGTACAGCCAAATTGTATTGCAAGATCCTTGATGGTGACCTTGGTTGATAGATCTAACATGCTCTCCAAGGCTTTCAGGCCATTTGCATAGACTTTTTTATTCACTCCAGATAATTTCAAAGCTTCTTCCTGGAAGGAAAAATTAAAAGAAAAAACTTCATCCACAACAAATTTTTATATGTAGGAAAACTTTGGTATCTCAAAATTAGTGGGACTACTGAAAAATGAAAAGACATTAGGATTGAGCCTTAATCGATTTGCAACATTTCAGTACAAACAATGGTAGGTTTATTATTATAAAAAATATGATTACAAGAGCTACATAAATTAAGCTATTTTGATAGCTAAATAAAGCTATGTAGCTAAATCAATTAAGCTATGTTGCTAAATGTAATGACTGTGATTGATTGTACCATACCCTGAGAACAAATTCATCATCTCCATCATTAGTTGAATAGAATGTTCTATCGTTAAAATGATATTGTCCTTACGGACCCGGTTTAATGAGAATCTTTCAGTGTGTTGTCAATGAAGCAAATTAAACAGAAGTAGATATTTCTAATCAAGGGTGTATAAGTATGAGCAATCAAGAAATTTCCAAACGTCAAAGAAAATTGAACAGGGAAAAAAAAGAGAAGAAAATGTGTCGACTTTTTCTCTTTATTATATGGATTACATTTTAGGGTATAAGCTAAAAAAGGTGTGTCATTATTTTCAGTGCAATTTCTTTAGTCAAGTCATGTCGGAGTGGATCTGCTGCATTTTGCTACATTACCACATAATCTAGCTGTGGCAAGACTTGTCCCAAGCATAGATGACAGTTAGATTATTCTAACTACAGTAAAACTCATTTAATACAAACACAGATATAGCAAATTTATGGATATAACGAAGTTTTTTGTAATCCCCGACCAAATTCTTAACAATTCCTTGTAAAATTTTACGGGTATAACGTACTTGGATATAGCGAATTTATGGTTATAGCGAAGTGATTTTGTGTCCCCAAGAAGTTAAAAATAACGAAATTTACATCTTTAATAGCGAATTTTCAAAGATCTAAATTTTTTAAATATTGAACTGACCTGAATTTTGTAAGTATCTGTATTTGAAACTCAATTCATCTGAAAAGTTTTGAACTCCAGGGTAAATTTGGTATTTATACGTCCCGAAACACATTTGGTAGTCATACTTGAATAAAACAAGATGTGTTTGTGAAACACTGATGCAACTTGTAGCAAAGGTTAAACTTTCTCAAATGCAAATCAAATATGTTGGTACCCAAAGTAAGGTCTTGTCTTGAGGAATATACCTGTGAAATATGAAAGCCCTAGCAGCACCATTGAATAGATATGGAAAAGGTTAAAGTAATTCAAACATCAAGGTCAAGGTCAAATGGTCAAAATTAATGGTGCCTAAGGAAAGGCCTTCTCACAAGAAATATACAGGTGAAATATGAAAGCTGAAGCACCAATCATTCAAAAGTTATGACCAAGGTTAAAGTGTTTCAAAAGTAGGTCAAACTCCAAGGTCAAGGTCAATGGATTACAATTGTTGGTATCCAGAGGAAGGTCTTATCACAAGGAAAAAACATGTTAAATATGAAACAACTTTTCAAAAGTTGTATCCAAGGTTAAAGTTTTCGAAAAGTGAGTCAAAGTCCAAGGTCAAGGTCAAAGGGTCAAAGTTGTTGGTATCCAAAGGAAGGTCTTGTCACAAGGATCATATGTGAAGTATGAAAGCCCTAGCACCAACGGTTCAAAAGTTATGGCCAAGGTTAAAATTTTCCAAAAGTAAGTCAAACTCCAAGGTCAAGGTCAAAGAGTCAAAGTTGTTGGTATCCAAAGAAAGGTCTTGTCACAAGGATTACATATGTGAAGTATGAAAGCCCTAGCATCAGCGATTCAAAAGTTGTATCCAAGGTTAAAGTTTTTCAAAAGTTGGTCAAACTCCAAGGTCAAGGTCAAAGGGTCAAAGTTGTTGGTATCCAAAGGATGGTCTCGTCACAAGAATTACATATGTGAAGTATGAAAGCCCTAGCACCAGCCGTTCAAAAGTTATGGCCAATGTTAAAGTTTTTACAAAAGTAGGTCAAACTCTAAGGTCAAGGTCAAGATCAAAAGGTCAAATATGGTGGTACCCAAAAAAAGATCTTGTCACAAGGAATACACATGTGAAGTATGAAAGCCCTAGTACCAATCGTTCAAAAGTTATGGCCAAGGTTAAAGTTGGGAAAAATTTTGCAAAACTGGGTCAAACTCCAAGGTCAAGGTCAAAAATGGTGGTACCCAAAGAAAGTTCCTGTCACAAGGAATACACATGTGAAATATGAAAGCCATAGCTCCAACCAATCAAAAGTTATGGGCAATGTTAAAGTTTTTGCGGACAGACAGACAGACAGATGGACGGACAGGGCAAAAACTATATACCCCCGAATCTACGATACGGGGGCATAAAAAAAATCTACATTGTGTACTGTATGTGTACTTAAAAAAGCAGGCTTCATATTTTAGCGGCTTTGACGTGGACAATGATGCGCTAATTCATAAATACTGCTAAGAAATCATATATTAATACAATATACGGCACGTTGGTGTGTAATGCTAATTAATGTATGCTCAAACAACTCAATACCCACTGATTGCATTAAATTTTAAATATGCCAATTTATGTACACGTACAGTATTTGCTAAGTATTCTTTAAGAAATTCGTTATACAGTGAGGTTACCAATAACGAATCGCCCCTGTTAACGAATCACTTTCAGATAAAAATTCTGTATTTTTCTGATCAAGGTCCAATACTTAGCATAACCTATCCTGTCAAGCAGAATTATTCTTGCTTTTATTATTTATCGTAAAATTATTAAAATTCAACTTGTTCAAAATCGTAATTTTTAAACAAACATGAACAAGATTTTTCATGACGCAGACTAGAAGCGTGCGTGCAGCAGACTACTTTCACTTTTCGGTTGCGCTGTAATGTGAATGGTACATTGTAGGGAAGCAAATTTGGTAGAGATGTTTAATAAAATTATGTGTCTAAAAGCACTGAAAGCGTCATACGATTCTTTAATCAGAGAATAATTGTATTAGCTATAAAGTTAGAGGTAGTTAAGTTTCCAATTACGAATCACTACTTCAAGAATTATGAGATGCAGGGATCCTGTCAAAATTATAATTTTTTGCATGCAGTTTTTTGCACACCTGTTTCAATAAAAAAAAAAAAAGAGAAGTTAAAATGCACATCATTCCCCGTTCGTAGAAAAATTCTCCATTCAGTTATAATTTAAACGATATTTTGGTTTCCCTGTAATACTGTAATTCATTAAAATATAACGTTAGCTCAAAATTATTTCTTTCTTTTTCATTCTTTTACTGACATTAAATAATCATATGGACTTTAATTAAGATATGTCTCAAAAAATGCACAATAAAGGTGGTGGAAATACACAAAATCAAAAGTCAGCCACCAAAACCACTAAGAAGTGCAGAGCATGTGAAAAGAGAATATCTCCTAGTGGTGTATAATTATGTGTAATCTAATGTTAAGTCATAGACATCGACGATGCAGCACCAGGTTGGGGGTAGATGCAAGAAACAATCACCCCTTCTCGTTGGGAGGGGGGGGGGGGCAACCCAAGATAAAAAAAAAAATTGCATTCATTCATGATATAGAAGTGAGAAAATTAAAAAATAATATTCTGCGAACTTGAAGAGATCTATGATTGTCATTTTACCGGTGAATATGAAAATACAATGTTAACATAGTTTCTGTAATTGTGAAATTAAAAATATCGTCAGATTATTAAACAAAATGAAATTAAGAAATTTATTTATATCCCCATACAATTTATCTGGGACTTTACAGTGCTAAGATAAATATGGAAACTTTCTTTCTGAATCATATGATTTCCAACAATACCCATTTTTCAGTTTTCCTAATAACAAATATTTCCAATTATCAATTTTTATTTCTTGTCATGATCAAGATCAAGCTCGTATAATGTAAAATGCAATTTGCTAACATTACCTTTTCAATTCGACATCAAGCTGAATAATTTATAAACAAAGTTTTATGACCCCCCCCCACCACCACCATTTCAACCATATACTAGTGTACATATTTGATTTTTACACATTGAGAAAATGACGTGTAGGCTACATCCTTTCTGCCTATATATGCCACTGTCTCCACAGAAAAGGGAGAAAGTCAGAAGAGCACTATATGATGAGTAAAAATAATCAACCAATTAGGAAAGCAGCAAAGGAGAATGAGCTGTCTTATTCAATAATTGGTTATTCTGTATATATGGGTTTTCTGTATCCATTTATCTGTCTTTGAATTTGTAATTATATGAAAAATTGTTTATGTATCTCATAAAATTAGCAAAAATGACGACTTAGAATGACTTGAAACTAATTGATTTTTTTAGGTGGATCAGAGGCAGTTGCTCTATATCAACTGGTCATTTTTTTCCTAATGAATTCACTGTTGTTGTTTTTTGTCATCAATTGTCGGGTGCAATAAAATGAACACTACTCAAAAAAAATTATAAGCCTTTCTTTTTTTCTTCCTAATATTCTAAGGCATAGTAAAACGTAAAAAGGGTATTTTTATGCAGTCCATAACAAAAATAATCAGCTGTACGTCACGTGATTCGGAAATGGAGAAAATGATCCGCTAAAGGAGAAAACATCACTCATCCAAATACAGCGATAATTTTTATTTAATCGGTGGTTGTTGGGAAAAAAAGATATGATGTTATAAGTCAAGCATGGTACCACCAAACAATGTTGTATTATGAATTTAACTCGAACTCGGGTACGAACTATCAAAGCAAATTTACTAAGTGATTCGTTATCGGCGACCTCACTGTACTGATATAACGAATTACGGATATAGCGAAGTAAATTCACAGGTTCCCAGAACTTCACTATAACCGAGTTTTACTGTAATCATTAGTTTTTACCACGGACGTATATATTAACTTGTATTATAGCAGCTGTATAGTATATACATTTACGTCCCTGGTTGTACATAAAACCTACCTTGTTAAATGACTTTCCTACAGTATTAGCTGCCAATTCAAAGCACATAACAACAGGACAAGAACCCGTCAAATTCAGAGCATTTAAGGCCTGACTCCCGACTTTTATATCCACCATCTGGGCTAGTTCTTCTGCTTTACTATGAACATAAATTGAAGATTTTTGAACAGTGGGCCTCTGCGTATTACAATGACAAATCAACCAAAATACGTACACTGCGATAAAACTTACCTTAAGATAGTGGGAGAAGTTATTTTTAACTTCTGTGAAATATTATTCACATGTTTACTGCTCATTTTAACGTGTCACTCGAGTTACAATCACAGACAAGTTAGTTTGTTTTGTCAGTTTCCCGCGAATCCCGACATGCTGCGGATTTCCGATCCCGATGATAATTATAATGTAAATCATAATTTTGATCCACCAGATGCGCATTTCGACAAATTATGTCTCTTCAGTAATAAATCTAAATTGCTTTAAAATGAGAACAATTTACACTTACTTGGACTATTTTACTGATAATATTTACTTGTATATATTTATTTAAAATACATGTCCACAGGCCTTAAGATTGCTTAAAAAAAAATAAGGTGTTAAAAAAAAATCTTTTCATATACCCCAATTTTTTAAAGTCGGATTTAAGCAATCCAAAGGCCTGTGTACATGTCATTTTTGTGGTTAAGTCAAAGTGTGTTCTCTAGGTCCATCTTCAGTCCATATATCTTAGCTCCTTTTCAGTTTTAAATGAGCTTTTAGAAATTCTTTATCAGTTTTCATACGTATATAGTTTATATTCAAAGATTATGAAGACACTTCCTCTGAATAGTATATACATTCACCTCTAAGTTCCTGGTTTTGTGTTCATTTCATTTATAAAATATTTGATCCAATTTTATTATTTTTAAACATAACTTGACTGTAACAGATTATGCATACTTAGTTCTTTTGACCTTAGCCTCACATTTCCCAACTGCCTGATAAAAGAGGAATTGGTATCTAATATTAACAATTTACTAATTTCATTCATAAATTTTTCAACATCTTATGTAATTATTTTCAATTTAGATTAATATTACCTGAATCAATTAATTCTATCACTTTTCCACATATATTTGACATAATGTTCTCACCAAATCCGACTTGCTTGTTGAAAGAGCATAAACTGAAAGAACATCATTTGTACTACTGACTGCAAATGAGTGATACAGTAAAACTCTATTAGTATGAATATACCAATTTTTTTCTTCTTTTTTTGATTTCAGACAACATTCCTAACAATCTCTTGCAAAATGTTATGGTTATATCAACTCTTAATATAAAAATATTACGGATTTAGTGAATGATTTTGTGTCATACAGAGGTGAAAAAATAACAAAATTTACATCTTTTAAAACAAAACCAAAAAAAATCCAAAACATTTAAAATATTTTCAAAAAACTGACATTATTTTTTGGAATTATTTAAAATTGAAATTTTATTAGAAAAATTTAGATGTCCAAGGCAGACTTTGTAAAAAATACTTCAATGAGCATTAATAATTAGTATAGTCATAAAAAGGAAAACGTATATTGCATATTTTCTATAGCATATACGCAAACTTTTACAAATTCATTATACAGATATGACAAAGTATAGTGAAGTAAATCTGCAGCTCCCCAAGACTTTGCTATTTAACCAAGTTTGACTGTAATAATCTAACACAAAGTCATCGTGTATATGAACGGAACAATAAAGTTTCTATAAAGAATAGGAAATTGTCATTTTTATTTCTCTATCTCATACAACATTAACATAAAACAACATAATGAATTCAAACATATAATCTAAAAACAACAACAATTTGTAGGAATCAATAACAACATCATGAAACCTGACTAAATGACAACTAAATACAACCAATCCCAACTTTTAAAAAACACGAAGTAATGCAAGCATTCAAAGCACATTATGTAAACAAAGTATCAGTGCTGGAATTGATTCAGAAATAATATATTAAATATTGCTATCTCTGTTTTGTACTGGAGACTTTTTAATTAATAATTACCAGTAATGTCAAAACTTTTCACTTGGAGACTTTCTGTTCTGAGGATAACAAAAATGTTATTTGCTGTACAAATTGATCACACTGATATTTTCAAAATTCTTTGCTTTTTCTTCCACATAAAAAAGACCATAATTACATAGTCACACCTAATTTACTGACCAAATAAGGGAAAAAAATCATCACACAGTAATATCACTTGCATTGAGAAATGATGAAACGTGCAATTTACGAAACATAATCACTTAATTTTCTTTCAAAGAATTGAAGTAAAAGAGTAAAGTAAATTGAGTATTGTTGTAATACATGTCAATACAAAACAGTTATTTGCCAAGCATATGCTTTCAAACAGGCCTTGTGTGCCTTCTGGCACGGAGAGAATTAAGGTTAACGTAAGGACATGCTTTGAAAAATGGAAACTTTTTTTAAAAATGTCATGTGATGATATGTCAGGTGTGAAAATTTAATGCAATTTGATGAAAATTGGCAATTATTTCTTTTTATCTAAATTCAATATAACTAAAGAAATATGAACATTCCACAAATATACAATATACTTTATTACCTATACATGTATTGAAATCTATTACCTATACATGTATTGAAATCATATATTCATTGACTGTCACAATATAATTTTTCTTCAGCAAAAGCTTTCAATACAAGAATTTATAAATCTAGACAAAGAATACACTGTAAATGTGCTAACACAGATTATAGTGTTATTTCTCTAAGTAAAGATACAATTTTTAACAAATGCAGATTCAAGGATACATGTATTATAGCATGTATTTATACTACCAAAATGTAAGCCATCATCTACAGAGATGGATTGATACATGCTCACAGTGATACAATTTATGTAGAACAATATTCTATGAGTAAGTCTGATATGGCATGCATTAAAGCTATTAATATCACATGATAAATGTAAATACTACCCAACATGCACTGTCAATGCTGAATTTTCTAAGGCATATTTAGCTGAAAAACTGTAGTTCTCTGGGACAGAAAGTATGGACAGACCTACTCTCTGTATTAGTGATACTCTGGTATGTACATGTACGTCTGAATTTTCTTTCCCGGAGAGCTACAGTGCTGCAGCTAAAGCATAGTGTAAAATAATGGATTTCCTGACCTATTCCCTGTGCTTGTTTTATTTATCAACTACCAGCATATAAGACATATATGCTTTATTTATCTATATGTAGACTATAGGGATGTATAATATCTTCAATAAAATGAACACATTATGACTGAGAGAAGTGTGACAAGAAATTCGTCTAAATCGGTGCACTAATTTGCGACATTCCATGATAGTTCTTGTTTGAACTTGCAAACAAGATTTTCTTCATAAATGTGAATTTTTAGAAAGTACATGTATCTAAATTTGGGCATCTAATTTTGTCTGTAGATTTCGTCAAACAACACAAATCCATTTCAATTCCAAAATGCCCTTGAAACTTCTCAAATACATGTATCATTCTTAAAACTAAATGGGACTTCAAAACTTTAAAATGGCACCGATTGTTTTCTTCTCTCATACAAATTATTAATTACTTTTATTAAATACCAGAGAAAATGCTTTCAATTTCATATTGTTCAATTAACATTTCCTTTAAAAATACTTCAGGATTAAAAAAAGTCTGCCTAGTTAAAATGTTTTTTAAAGCATGTATAACAGAAAAACAAATGTTTAAAATGATTCTGAATTTAAGAGCAAAGTAACCTCCAACAATAAAAGCAAAACTATTCTCATAAAATTTCCAGTATAAAAAAAGATTGATTGAGTTAGTTTTCTGTCAGAGTAGTCAATATCACTACCTAAACACATAAAATTGTCTAAAAACTGGTGCTGTGTACATCAGTTTGAAAACCCTTCCAAAAACAGCTGTATACAACATATTATTGAGGTCACTGGTTTACTGGGACAAGCTTATTGGCACCTATATATCTGTATCTTCTTCAGGCCATCAGACCTAGTCTATTCACTTTTGCTGACAGAAATGTGTGGAGTACAAACACAATTGGTTTAGGACATGTACCAAGATCCAATTCCTGAAATCAAAAAAAAAAAAAAAAGTTGAGATCAACCTGTTATTTTTAGTACAGGGTCCATGTTTTTTTATGATAAAAAACATGACTTTGAGTGTATAGCATCTACAAACTAAGAATTCTCTTAGTATAATTTTAGATTTTCAACAGATATAATAAGCTTCTCTGAAAGAAACCTGTTCTGATCCATCAGCAAATTCCAGCCACAGCAATCTATGTCCATCATCTCCAGTCATGCGTAACTTCTCGTATGGATAAGACCAAGCCACTGTGGAGCCACTGGAGGTTGAGGGTTCTGGTCCCTCACTGGGGGCCACTGTGTGGAGGGTAAAACCGGAGTCATAGTGAATTGTGAGTCTAGCGTCCTTGCCCTGCCACTTTACAGCTGAAACAATTTGCAGAAATTGATTTCATTTTTTTAAAAAACAAATCTTAGAATACACAGAAACTTGCATAAGTTGGATGTTACAGTTTAATGTCTACAGTCTGAATCAGGACTGTCCTAATAGGACTAATACCCCCGACAGGCAACTAAAAAGAAAAGGCTTACTTTAAAAAAGCTTAAAAAAGAGCTCTGTCATTTTCTTAAAATATTAAACTACAAATTCCCATAGCCTGAATCTTGTGGAAATGTATCTGGTTGAAGGTTTTAATCTTAATTTTAAATTATCAAGTTTACAGTAATTCCATCTCTTTAAAAAGAACTTAATCTTATACATTACTAAACAAGAGGCCCATGGGCCACATCGCTCACCTGAGCACATTGGCTAGGAAAAAAAGCAAAAATCAGTACAGTATTGAAAAGTTTACATGGAGGGGGGTGTTGAATTTTAAACTACCTGATGATGCTTTCATATCAATATAACAAATGGCTTTGTTGTTCTTGGGCAGCAGATTTTTTTCCCATATATTCATTTGTAAAAATTTGATCCCCCATTGTGGCCCCACCCTACCCCTGGGGGCCCTCATTTGAACAAATTTCATTCTACACTACCCAAAGATGCCTCCATATCAATTTGACTAATCATGGCTTTTATGTTCTTGAGAAAAAGACTTTTTCCTATATATTCCTCTGTAAATTTTGATTACCCATTGTGGCCCCAACCTATCCCCAGGGTAATGATTTGAACAAACTTGAATCTTCACTATCTGAGGATGCTTCCATATAAATATGACCAATCATGGCTTTACTGTTCTTAAGAAAAAGATTTTTAACGATATTTTCCTATATATTTCTATGTAAAACTTGGATCCCCAATTGTGGCCATACCCTACCCCCGGGGGTTATTATTTGAACAAATTTGAATCTTCACTACCTGGGGATGCTTCCATATAAATATGACCAATCTTGGCTTTACTGCTTTTAAGAAGAAGATTTTAGAGATATTTTCCTATATATTTCTATGTAAAACTTGGATCCTTCATTGTGGCCCCACCCTACCCCCGGGGGTTATGATTTGAGCAAATTTGAATCTTCACTACCTGAGGATGCTTCCATATAAATATGACCAATCATGGCTTTACTGTTTGTAAGAAGAAGATTTTTAGAGATATTTTCCTATATATTTCTATGTAAAACTTGGATCCCCCATTATGGCCCCACCCTACCCCCGGGGGTCATGATTTGAACAAACTTGAATCTACACTACCTGAGGATGCTTCCATAAAAATATGACCAATCATGGCTTTGCTGTTCTTAAGAAGAAGATTTTTAAAGATATTTTCCTATATATTTCTATGTAAAACTTGGATCCCCCATTGTGGCCCCACCCTATCCCCGGGGGTCATGATTTGAACAAACTTGAATCTACACTACCTGAGGATGCTTCCATATAAATATGACCAATCATGGCTTTACTGTTCTTAAGAAAAAGATTTTTAAAGATATTTTCCTATATATTTCAATGTAAAACTTGGATCCCCCATTGTGGCCCCACCCTACCCCCGGGGGTCATGATTTGAACAAACTTGAATCTACACTACCTGAGGATGCCTCCATATAAATATGACCAATCTTGGCTTTACTGTTCTTAAGAAGAAGATTGTTAAAGATATTTTCCTATATATTTCTATGTAAAACTTGGATCCCCCATTGTGGCCCCACCCTACCCCCGGGGGTCATGATTTGAACAAACTTGAATCTACACTACCTGAGGATGCTTCCATATAAATATGACCAATCATGGCTTTACTGTTCTTAAGAAGAAGATTTTTAAAGATATTTTCCTATATATTTCTATGTAAAACTTGGATCCCCCATTGTGGCCCCACCCTACCCCCGGGGGTCATGATTTGAACAAACTTGAATCTACACTACCTGAGGATGTTTCCACATGAGTTTCATCTTTCCTGGCCCAGTGGTTCTTGAGAAGAAGATTTTTAAATGATGCCATTATTTTTTCACTAATTCCTAATTATCTCCCCTTGAAAGAGGGCGTGGCCCTTCATTTGAACAAACTTGAATCCCCTTTACCCAAGGATGCTTTGTGGCAAGTTTGGTTGAATTTGGCCTAGTGGTTCTTGAGAAGAAGTTGAAAATGTGAAAAGTTTACAGACAGACAGACGGACAGACGGACGGACAGACAGACGGACAGACGGACGCCGGACAAAATGTGATCAGAAAAGCTCACTTGAGCTTTCAGCTCAGGTGAGCTAAAAACTTTATATCAGACTATATGTATATTTACCTTATCACAAGTAATGGCATCACAAAGAAAAGCCACCATTAAATTATTCATCGGATATTTTAACAGAATTCAGGTTTTAAACTAGACATTGTTGCGATGACCATCTCAAAGGGTCTTGATTTTTGTAAAGGATATTAGGATGAAAAGGACTTGTAAAGGACTGTACTTGAGTTTAACCTTGACCTTTAATTAAGACCTTTACTCATAGGTCTCTTTGGGAGAAGTATGAGGCAGATAGGGCCAAGGGGAAGAGAAAATGTGTTCTTGACAAGTTTTTAAAAAGATCTGATATGACCCTGATCTCTAACCTTGAAACTTGAAAGATAGCTGCATAGCCTTGAGCCTTGGGTATTCTATGGGTAAAGTATAAGCCAGATAGAATATGCTCCAGACAAGGACTTTTGCAGAGCTGTTTTGATCTTATTACCTTTGAGTTATTAGTTCAAGGACCTTGCACATTGTCTACCCCATGCACTTTATGGCAAAGTAATAACCAAATTAGGACTAAGGGAGAGAAAATATGCTCATGTGAAGGATTTCTTTGAGGGATCTGCTATGATCTTGACCTTTGATAAATAAAAATGGTTCAAGGTCACTGTACACCCTCTACCTACAAGAACTTGATGGGTGAAGTATGAACCAGACTGAGCCATGGGGATAGAAAATATGCTCAAGACAAGGAGTTCACAGAGATCTGCTTTGACCTTGATTCCTGACCTAGAAACTTGGTTCAATCATTGAACTTCAATGTCATCTGATTTGATCCTGACCTTTGATTTAGAAAATTGGTTCAAGGTCACTGCATATCATCTACCTAAGGGCACTCTATGGGTGAAGTTTGAGCCAGATTAGGCCAAGGGGAGAGAAAATATGTTCCAGATAAATGATATCAGAATGGACAGATGGGCACACAGACTGATCAATTTATGATATCTACAGAGCAATGCCCTTATTAGATGAAATTCTATTGTTGTTCTCAATATTTAATCACACATTTTTTATTATCATAATTTTATCAAACTCACGACAAGTGACTTCTTTTATAATGGCTGCTACCCCATGAGATCCCTGGACTAAGGCTCGTGACCAGTATGCTAGATCTCTCTGAGTCTCCACCCTAAATATGTGCGTCTCTACACCATTACGAGTGCCACACCTTGTACCAAAGGTCAGAACATCCGTCCCTGCATTTGGATTACTGAGTCGACCAGAATGTACCAATCTGTAACAGAAAAAGAAAGCAAAATCTGTAAATCAGTGAAATTTATTATTCAGGTTAATATATGATCATTACATATAAGAGCATCATCACTATAGCAGAAAATTCTGAGTAATTAAAACCATTTCAGCACACCAGGATTGTGTGGTATTGTCAGTGTATACTAGTTTGCTTGTTTTGAATTATTTATTTTTATCTGATACACTGTACTTCGCCTTCTTCTATGGATACAATAAATCAATACATTATCAGTAGTTGCATCTAACATATCATCTTCATAAGGAACACTGTAAATAAAAAGTTAACCAAAGACCCATGAGCCACAATGCTCACCTGAGTCATGTGGCTCCTTCCCTGACAAATGAATACAGGTACAAATATATATTATGAGACCCCTTTTCATGGTCCCAAGCTAAATAAATGACCATAAATACTGATGATTGCAACATGTATTAATTTGAAAAAAATTCTACATATTATCTATTGTTTCCCTCTTTCACTGAAAATGGGGGATATAAATTTCAGTCTTTCTGTCATTTCTTCTGTGTATAGCACTTGACAATATCTCAAAAAGCATTTGAGTTTTTGCAATGAAATTTCATATCATAATTCTCTATGGCTTAAGAAAGACCCCTATTGATTTTTGAGGTCAAAAGGTCAAGGTCATAATTCATAAATTGTGTTCATGTGTAACACTTTCGATTCTGGGCAAAATCTTAAAAAGCCTATGAGCTTTTGCAATGAAACTTCATATTACAACTCTTTATGATAATATCATGATAATGCAGTACAAAAAAATGGTTTCCATATGACAAATTTAATTTTCCTTTAGATTTTTCTATGAAATTTTATATCATAATCCCCAATGAATTGAAGAAGATCCCTTCTGATTTTTAGGTCAAAAGGTCTAGTTAAAAAATTCAGATCTTGCATATAATGGTTTCCTGGTGATAACTCTAGTTCTCTTTGGGGTTTTGCAATGAAATTTTATACCTTTGGTCAATACGACTTAAAAAAGACTTCTATTGTTTTGAGGTCAAAAGGTCAAAGAACAAGGTCAGAAATTTATAAAGTATGTTTTATATTTATACGAGTATTACATACATGTACTTAGTTTTCAGGTGATAACTTTAATTCTCAGCAAGCTTTTGCAATGAATCTTAAGGACATGATTTACTTTAACTTAAAAAGGACCCTTATTGACTTCTGAAAGCTGAAAGATCAAGGTTGACCTTTTTTCTTTCTTCGACTGTAATTTTTTTTCAGTCCTTCCATCCTTTTTCCTCTTCAGTAGGGCACACAAATTCTCTTAATTAGCTTGTTTAATTTGAATCCTACAGACTTGGAATAGAAATTTTTCCATATCAATTAATTTATGGGGACACTCCCATATTTACAATGTGCACAGTTTATTAAAGTATTCTCCAACAAATTCCTATGTTCTGGTAAAACCCCTTTGTAGTCAAACCCAAGAGCCAAGGATTTTGAATTAACATTAATTAAATCTACATTTTGTGAATAAAAGCTTTTGGGTACTTACATGTATATTTCATCTATTCTGATCATGTTTGGTTGAAATTTGCTCATTGGTTCTGGAGAAGATAAGATGACAAGTATTTTGATGGGGGAATTTAAGCTTTTTAGATGAACTAAAAAAGCCAATTTAAATTGAGAAGGGGGATGGGGGATGGGGGTGGTGTAGTATAATACAGTGAATTGTATCCAGTGATATTAAGAGTTACACATGTGGAATATAAACCAATTCATTTAATTTTCATAAAGATTAATAGCCAGCACAGCAAGCAGCATGAAGAGCCGCTGGCGAAGCGAGCTCAATAGGCTAGACTAACGTGTAAGTGTATATTTGTCCGGCAAATTTTTCTGTGAAGCCTTCCCAGAATTCCTTCACTACCAGGATTCCATGTGATAATGGCAAATAAACAGTCCCGCATTTATCATGTATCAAAATTTAGTTCTTTGAAGAGAGCTTAAACAAAACAAAAATAATTGCATCTACTCTACAAGAAAAGGTTTCTCATGGTATACAACTGTGCTCACCCCTACAGTGGCACAGTTAAACGTATCAAAATTATTTTTTGTTTTTCATTATCAAATAGGAAATCATTTAGTAATCATATCAAGTATACATTTAAATTCTTTGTACAAAAGAATTTATGAAACATTTTATTTAATTATTTCATTTGATTGTTTAAAAAATGTCCACTTACCTCGTGGCAAGCAGAGGGTGGCTTTGGAATGGAGTAGCCCATTCTTCCTTACTCCAGGGAGCTGTGTCATACAGGAGCATGTCATTGTCTGTTAAAGCTATAAATACTGGCTTCCAAGTCAAACTGCCCTGTTCATTCATAAGCTGCCAAAGTAGAAACATAATAATTTTTATGTCAATCTAATATAAATTGTTACTGATTATTATAATCAAGCATAATTCTTCCTGTTTTATTTTTAAATCAGAGACACATAAAAATGTTAATTTATGAAATAGAGTTATTATTAGAGTTATAATCACAGTGATTACTTTAAGGCTTCCACATTTTGATGTGAGGCCTAAACAAGAATACATAAGTAATACTGCATCTCTGGACAAACCTGTTCCGAGAGCCACCCAATATGTTTAATTTCTCTGGAGTTTGGAGCTGAGGACATAACTTGATTTGCTTCCACAATACACTGACTTAATAATAATGTGACATTTGAATGAATGGCATTAAACCAGTCACTGGCAATGGCTGCATCTGGAAATCTTATAATGCAGGTGGATTTTCCATCCGGTGAGTGTAATTCAATGGTGCGTTTTTCTGGGTCAGACATGCTGAGATTTCGACAGAGATAGCAAAGTTTCAGTGGTATTGTTTTGGTTTCTGTCCAATTAGCTCTGGCTGCATCCCTCTGGGCCTCCTGACTTCCCCATCCTAATTCATTTAATGCTGAAATCTTGCGAAAGCAGGGACTGAAATCTGTGATGTATTTTACTGAAAAAAAATTCATCAGAGTGATTATTAAAGGGGGATAATTCAATTTCAAGAATGTTAAATTATATGGTACAGCTACAAACCCTGAGGATTCTGCATGAACTGTTACTTTCAACATTATAAATACTTATCTGTATCATGTTCCATTTCTTCACACTTCACCCCCTTATAATTATAGATCCACCCCTACACACGGAATCCCATACCCACAGTCACAGGTAAGCAAATAAATTCTCACAGTGATCATTTATGACCAAAATAAGTCATTCTGAAACCTGTCCTATAAATTGATTTCTAATTGCTTCATTTTTATGTGTAATATCTATACCCTCGAGCTCCACGATTTTCTTGGCCTTTTTAAGGGCTCTAACAGCTTCGTCATGGGTTGCCTCTCTCAGATCTTCTCCATTAACTGATAAGATGGCGTCGCCAACATACAATTTTTCTGTTTTATCTGCTGCCATCCCTTTAAATATTTTACTAATGAGTATTGGCATTTTGTTTTCTTTGCCTCCTTTGATGCTAATTCCCAGTCCATTTTGCTCCTCTTTGATTACTCTCACAAGTCGCTTTTGTCCAGCAATGGATTCAGGTAATTGGTCATGTCTAGAGGTCGTGCTATCCGCACTGATGTTGAGGGGAAGTGACTTATTCAAATTCTCATCAAGTGCCAACGTTATACTGTCTTCATTTAAGGTTACAAATACTTTACACCACTGCTGCCGAATGTATACCTCGAAAGATCCCGACCTCGGCGAAATGGCCGCCATTTTGACAACCATCGTATCACGTGACTAATATCAGTATCACATGAGCTTGAAGACATATACGCGGGAAATGTGCAAAATTGGGGTTATCTAATAGACTAGAATAAATTTTATTACCTATCATGGTTCTCTGATCCCGCTAAGGCATAAAGTAGATAATATAAAGCATGATTTGTTAACATACTTGAGGACAAGAAAAGCCTCATTGATCAACATATACATGTTATACAAAACATTGTTATTCATATAATATAAATCTATACTAAAAAGAGTCTAACGTTTCCAATGTTTTTCTGAGGGGTCAAAATAAAAATCGATGTTGGACCGCTGAGTGAGATATTGGCCCTGTCGATAAGATATTAGACTTTTTACGACGCACTGTTATCAATTATCGCAAACATGGAAGCCAGCGCAAGATACGTCGAAATGAGAAGTAAAAGGTATAACCAACAAAACATTTTTTGACTATGTTCTCCGGCAAAATGTGTTTTGTCGACCCCCTCGAACTACACTGTTTGCCTTTGGCCTAACGGCCCCAGGCAAACAATTTGGGTGTGGGTCCGACAAAACGCATGTTGCCGTCGAACCCAGTCAATAGGTCTACGTATATTTTTTTTAACCCGCGGTGAGGAAGAAGTGATAAGTAAATTGAATGATTTCCCTTCCACCAAAGAAGCTTTTTATGTCCCCGTAATCGAAGATTCGGGGACATATAGTTTTTGCCCTGTCTGTCCGTCTGTCTAGCTGTCTTTCTGTGTGTCTGTCTGTTTGTCCGCAAAAACTTTAATCTTGCCCATAACTTTTGATTGGTTGGAACTATGGTTTTCATATTTCACATGTATATTCCTTGTGGCAAGACCTTTCTTTGGATACCAATATATTTGACCCTTTGACCTTGACCTCTGAGTTTGACCCAACTTTAACCTTCGCCATAACTTTTGAACAGGATATTAGGGATTTCATACTTCACATGTGTAATCTTTGTGACAAGACCTTCCTTTGGATACCAACGACTTTGACCCATTGACCTTGACCTAGGAGTTTGACCTACTTTTGAAAAACTTTCACCTTTTCTATATCTTTTCAATGGTTGCTGCTAGGGCTTTCATATTTCACAGGTGTGTTTCTCTATACAAGACCTTACTTTGGGTACCATTTTATTTGATTTGCTTTTGAGAAAGTGTAACCTTCGTTATGTTGCCATACGGGGGTATCAGTGTTTCACAAACACATCTGGTTAATTATGTTATTTGTTAATTTAGCATGTACAAGCTAGTATATTGATATAAAGCATGCGCGGATCTAGAGGGGGTGGTAGTGGTGGTGGTGGTGGGGGGGGGGGGTCCGGACCCCGACCCCCGGAATTTGAGTTATCAAATGTAAATACTAAAGCAATTAAAAGTGACCTTGGAACCCCCCCCCCCCTAGAAAACGCGGACCCCTTTTAGGTTGGTAGGAAAAGTCATACATATGAAGCTTAAGAAGTGAAGTGGAGCGTCTACCCCCTCCCCCCCCCCCCACAGGGTTTTCACATTTTGGGAAAGGAGTTATCTTTTTTTTTTAATCATTTTAAAATTTCTTTCTTTTGCTTGTCCAGAAATTTCTGGTTTGGATTTTTTTTTGACTGGTGTAGACCCCCCCCCCCGGGAAAAATTCCTGGATCCGCGCCTGTAATATCATGTAAATTACAGGCCCGCAGGAAGCAAATTCATTTGGGTAGGGGGCACGGGCACAACCAAACATTTTCAGTTTGGGTGGGCACTATACCAAGCCAAAAAGGGGGTCATTAGGCGTAATAGTTTAGAGGGCACATCCATGAAAAAAGCTTTGTTTTCTACAGTAAACTATATATCGGAAAAATTATTGGGGTGCGCCCCCCCCCCTTCCGGATCCTACAACCATGAATTATTTGAATCTGATTCGTCGAGAAACAAGTGTTTAATACACGATTACCCTCTGAATGATGAAAGCACGCCCTCCAGCAAACACTGCTTGATATTCAAAAAATGTTGACTGCGCAGACTTTATGCACGTGCAATATTAGAAATCAAGGAACAGTGCTCTAGGATATGTATTTGTAAGCAGACAGTTGCACACTCTTAGGACATCATTCCTCCTCATAGAAAACAGTGGAAATAAGGAAGAGTGACCGATTGAAAAAAAACAAAAACAATACAAACCTGTGAACAGAGCATAAAACAAAGACCCCCAGAAATTCCAGAGGTGGGATCCGGTGTCTAGGAGGAGTAATCATCCCCTGTCGACCCCGGGAGCCATATGTATTGATCAGGTAGACGGAATATTCCGTAGTCAAACAAAGGCCTAACCTTACCTTAACCTTAATTCTCTCCGTGCCAGGAGGCACATAAGGCCTTAACATCTCTTTTCTACTGGGGCCGGTCTAAGGCTGCACGGCGTGCCGTGTTCCAAGAGTTCCAGCCTGCATTATTTCGCTCCATTTCCACCGCCATGTTGTCTTGGGGCAGCCTCGCTTCCTTCTCCCCTCAGGCGTCCACCAAAGGGCCACAACACAGTCATCTGTTGGGTCCTTCCTCAGCACATGGCCGATCCAATTCCATCTCCTCCTCCTCACCTCGCCACTGATGCTTTCTGCTGATGCCATCTCCAGAACTGTCTTGTTTGAAATATGCTGCTGCCATCTGACCTTAAGAATCCTTCTGAGGCACTTGGTCTGAAAGATGTCAATCTTCTTTTCCTCTGTCTTGGTAAGCTCCCAAGCCTCACATCCGTATAGCAATACAGAGAGGACCAGGCTCTTAAAGAGGGAGACTTTTATCTTTCTAGTGATGTCTGTAGCATTCCAGATGTTGGCTAGCCTCCTGAAGGATGCGCCGGCCAGTGCTATCCTTTTCCTGATGCCAACAGTGCCTCCTCCATCCTTGGTGACATTGGCGCCGAGGTAAGTGAAGCTGTCCACCTCGTCGGCTTCACTGTTTCCGACTGTCAGGCTGGTTTCACTCTTGCTGTTTATCTTCATCACTTTGCACTTGTTGGCATTCAGCTTCAACCCAACTTTTGCCGAGTTTTCTTCCAGTTTTGTTGTCTTGGACTGAATATGGTTCATTGCTGATGACAGTAGGGCATTGTCGTCCGCAAAGTCAAGGTCTTCAAGCATAGTGGTTAAGTCCCATCTAATTCCTGTTCTCTTTTCTCTGGCAGTCTGTTTCATCACCCAGTCTATCACTAGGAGGAACAAGAAACCTGACATGCAGCATCCTTGTTTGACACCAGTCATCACAGGAAAAGGGTCTGTGGTCTCATTGTCATCAATCACAGAACACTGAAAATTGTCATAGAGGGCTTTGACCATTGTAATCAGTTTTATGGGTCTAACAATTGGTATGAAATACTAGTATGTCAGTCAAAATACAACACATTGGTAGCTTGTATTTGCTAACAAGGTCATTAAAACAAGTATAGAATTTACGAAATCTGATTTTAAACGATTGTTGAAATTCTGTAACATTAACTTATCTGTCAGTAGCCTGCCCCGGTTTAAGAATTGATAGTTCTCAGAGCATGTTCCTGGTATCCAGTGTAAATCAGCAATTCAGTATCATATAAAATAGAGAAGGAAATTTTACAATGATGGATTAATAAAGACACATACGTAGTAAGATAAAATGTCGAGGTCCAGAATATTCAATTGCAGACTCGGCTCAAGTGAAATTTTTTGTACGCGTGTTAGTCCCATGCATGTATGGCGAAGGTATATTGTTAATTTTAATCACGGGAGCTTGGGTTTTTAAATGAATTGATATCTTATATGATTATATATAATATATAAGGTATCAAACATATTCATATAGATAAAGACTCAATCACCTGAAAAACTGAACTGCATTTTGTCATCCAAAATATCTTCTAATAGATGATCTAAAATCACACTTTTAACCTGTTTTCCATTTAATTTACAGAAATGACAGAAACATTTCTATATTTCGCGTATGGAAGTAATTTATTACGACAGCGGTTGACTCTACAGAATCCATCTGCTGTATTCAAGGGTGTAGGGCATTTGAAGGTAATTTTTATGATTTATAGTTGAACTCAGCAAACTTTATTTAACGTTAACAAAATTTTCATTTTTTTTTTTCCATTTTGCAATATCAAAAATATTAAACATCTCTACTTCAAATTATAGGTTCTACATGTAATATAGTGAGTTTTCCACTAATTTCTCAATAATTTTAAAATTTAAAGAATTTCAGATTGGATTTTAAATCCCCATCTGACCCAAAAATATCTCGCTGGCGCGGAGCTGCTGCGACAATTGAACCGCATCCCGAGGGGACAGTTTGGGGGGTCATATGGAGGCTAGACGCAAAGGATAAAGCCAGTCTTGACCGGTGCGTACATATTGTAAATCTTGAATAAGTGATCCGATTTGCAGAATCTATAAAACGACCTGTTTGTTGCATATTTATGTCCTCTGTAACTTGTATCCCATTTTTTTCTGGCCTTGATTCAAAGTCATATTTCAAATGTGGAGATCACTGAGCAATGAAATATTAAAAAAAAAATAATCCAATTTATACTTCTATAAATTTTCATTTGAGTGCTTAGACTTTAAATTACTGTTGCTTATACCACTTAATGATTAAATTTGCTCTGATCTTAATTCTCAGACGCACTGAACACAGGGAAATGAGATGTTTAAATAATTTTACAAATCTTTATAAAAATGTTGTTAACCATTACACCCCATGCCATCGAATTACATGGCGATTGTCAGCAGTATACTTTTAGAGGGTGCAAAGGTTTTTTATTTTGAAAAGGTTTCGGGTAGGGATGGCAATCGAATACAGAATTGCCAATCGGTTAACCGCAAGACGTTCCGACCGATTAATCGGTTAATCGTATCAAAAATTATCGACATACTTCTTCATTGTAAGCTCTATTAAAATATGTTACATATAGTAAATAAATATTACCGGTATGTTTATAATTTATCAGATATATACATTATTTCATTATTTTAATAAGCCAAACAAGAAAGAAAGAAAGAATCCCATGGAATATGCCTGAAGTATCAGTTACATTAAAAAAAAAATCAGAAGAGATGTCGTGCAAATTCATTCTGCATTGTCACCATTATCAAAACTAAGTCTGAACTATCGCTTAATTTACAATGTTTGTTTAATAATCTAATTTGATATGTAACTGCAAAGGATAGAAGAGGTACGGTACACATTATAATCAGTTCGCAGTACTCAGCGATCATTCAATTTAAATCATTAAAGACAACGACATGGTGTTTACACAGGAATTAACATCTCGAAAACTTGCTAATTACCCCCATGGTGTCCATCTGGAGAGCCTTAATTATCTCTGAATCAGCTTAAATAGATAGGTGAAAATGCTAACATTTTTTAATTGATTTTTTTTTTGATGAAATTGTGTTCAGATATACACATATATTATATTTTTCCGACTAACCGATTACAGATTTTCTAACCGGTTACCATCGTTCCGAACGAGTAATCGGTTAACCGATTACAAATTGCCATCCCTAGTTTCGGGTTTTAATTTCGGAACCCATGTTTGAGATCAATTAAAATCTAAGTACTGTATGTTAATAATATTTTTTGACTGACTCTGGGATCTTTGAAAGCAATGGATTCAAACTTGAATATGATGCTGTTCATGATCTAAAGATGTATAACATGATCTAAACGTCAAAGGTCAAGCTTACAGAACTCCAAAATGCTGCAACCATCATCTGTTACAAATCTTGTCAAGGAATAGATCTGCATCACCACCAATTATGGATGTTTTTAATGCCTTGTATGTTAAATTTATTATTCCATGATTCAATGCCATCTTATCAAGGTAAAACAGTGCTGGCTAGGGTGTTGTAGGTGTAGGCATCTTTATGCATGATGAACACATTTTCCTACCATTGTTATGAACTATATCTTATTATATTTCAGACAAGAAGGAATATATGATGCCATAAATGTGGAAGTCATTACTCCTGACAACAAAACATATAGTAACTGTCGAACCTACGTTATGCAGAAAGCCTATATCACAGATCGCTACGACAACCGTCCATCTCCACACTACAAAGATGTTCTAGTTCGAGGAGCTCAGCAAAACAACATACCCCAGGCTTATATAGAATTCCTACAGAATTTGGATGACAATGGGTATTCTGGCAACATTCCAGTGTACAATCAAGTTCTGGATTCTCTAAAACAATCTTAATTATTGTCACAAACTTTGCCCATTAAAAAGTGCAAGGCTACAAATTGTCCTGTAAGAATCTGTAAAAACTTCTGTATTATGTGATTTGATTTTTTAATATCAAGACAGTTTCAATAATAAATAATATATATTTTTTCCATAGAAATAAACAGTGTTCACACAAAACAAAGCATCACTCCCACAATTCATTACACACATCCTTCTAATGTACAGTTAAAACATTTCTCTCCCACATAGTATACTCCAGTGATACTATACATGCTCTACAATGTCTTACTTTCACTAAGCAATCTTACTTCACAAGCAGTTATACAAACTGATTAGAATAAACAGAGGAGACAACAAAGCTGGCTGTTAGCTACTGTGTGATGTACATGGATAACAAAATAGTAGTGCAGTAGGAAATTACAGCATACGTAACAATACAATGAAACATGGAGATTGAAACATGGAGATTTCACAAACTTTATACAGCTCATGACAAAAGAGTATTTACATACAACAGAGCTTTATAGACTCAAATATACAAATACACTTGTAAGCTACTATCTTTATAACAAGAACATCCATGTTCTTAACAATAACACCAATCTTGCGCATCAACTGCCACAGGGTGGCTCAAAAACAAAGCACATATACAGTGCAGTCCATTTTCACAGCACAATTTTTATATGGACCTGGTACTTCACATACATCTTGAAAATCAAAGAAAGTATTGAATAGGAATGTAAAACAGTCTACAAAATTGTATTTTTAAAAAGATGTTTATGCCCCCATTTTTAGCTCTACTATTCTGCAAATGTTAACACATGTATATGGACGGATACAGTTGTATAAACATGTTCCTCAGGTAGAGAAAAGAAGAAATAAAGTTCATTATCTTTAAGTTGATACTCCATTAAATTGAATGGACCTTTATGTGCAATTATTTTCATGCTAATTTTTTTTTATTTGAACACATTAAAACTATAAATTTCAGGGAAAAGGTCCATTCTGAGTGCAAAGTAAACATAGAAGATATTGATGTAATTTTTCTCGCCAACTTATCTGGAATGTACACTTTAAAAATCCTGTCAAAAACAGAAAATGGATCCAAGGAACAAGGAGGATATCTTTTAAGACAATGACATACAATAAACCTTTAAAATCAGTGATCCAAAGAATGCAGCTCCATTTTAAATATAAAATAAACAAAAGTTTACAAAATATTGGACGGAGGTAGAGATTAAAAAATTGTGTTTTGAAAAAAAAAAATACAATGCATGTTGGCAATGTAACTGTAAATTTGAAAAGAAAACTACTAAATTCTAAGTATCAGTGTTGTTGTCCAAAAGAATGTCCCGTTAATGAAAATCCACCACCGAAGTGCATATCATGATCGTTCATATCATGGTCATCATCATCCTCTGGACCTCCATGCATTGACGTAACTGTGATTCCCATACTCAGATCTACATTGCGACCCTCCTTCTCCTGGTCATAAAAGATACAAATATTATTTTAAAAAAATCAATCAATAATACAATATCTACAGTTAAGATACATAAGAGAGGCATTCAGAAAAATGCACCAAAGCATTTAACATATTTCATAGCAAAATAATCAAAAGTCTATTATTAAATTTGATATGATTGAGATCTGATGAGTATATGTTGGTACTGTGAACAACATTCAGTATCACTGCATTTTCCTACAACAATGAACATGCACCTTGGAGTATACATGTTCAGAAGTATCAATTCACCATGTAATCTTAGGGTATTTTGCAACAAATTCATCAGATAGAATCACCTGCAATAATTTTAAAATAATTTTTTAAAGCTGCTAAAACATTCTTTAAAAAATTCTTACAGCTCTGTAATCCAGAAACATTTCCTTGAAAGCCATAAAGTCACTAAAGGTCAGCAGCATTTCAAAGATTTCTCCCTCCAGCTCATTTTTTCGTTCCCTGTAAAAGTATCTATCATCGTTTTAATAATCTTCTAAATAAACTCTCAAATTTTATAGAATCAATTTATACATGTATATAGGTTTACATCACATTAATAGACTATATTGCAGTATGGTGGCTATGTGTAACAGTGTGCAAAAAAAGAGAAAAAAATTCAGCCCTAAACCCCAGACTGATTAAATTATTGCCGGTCTGGTAAAAAAAAGTCTGATCACAACAAAATACAGTAGAAACAGATCTGTCACAAAAGTAGTGTATATTAAATAAGTAGTGTATATTAAATACATCTTTAGACAGGGTCTCAGATTCATGTAGCTACATGTAGCATAATAATGATTTATTTGTACAATATGCACAAACAAAAAGAGTTGGCTGGTTAAAAAATTGTTAGTCTCGTGATTCAGGCTGGTGATGATTTTTTTTTTAAGCACAGATTGTTTAAAAAAGTGTACATATTGAATACTTACATGATTGTTTTGGTGAATTCTCCCATGGAAAAACTTTCAATTCTTTTTGATAATTCTGCTTCTAGGTACTTTTCTACAAGCTCTATCTGTTTGAAATTGAAAGAAAAAAGATTACAATTATAGAATCAACATACTACCACATGACAGAAGTTTTATCAATGATATATTTTCAAAACATGAAAAGTATCAATTTTCTTACTCTATAATGATTTTTTGGTATGGGAGTACCATACTTACATATTCTCTGTGTATATCTGTGTAACAGAATTTGTTTTCTTCTGTGTCCTCAAATTCAAGGTAATATTTTTCCATAAAATTATTCTGTAAAGTCTGAAATTCATCTTCTGTGAAGAAAAAAATGAAAAACATATGCAAGCTCTGTTGTAAATTAAAAAGTAAATACACTGTACAATAATTTTCATTTCAAAAGTTTAAAATTAAATAAAAATTATATACAAATACACATACATTGTAAAGGAATAAAGATACATTCAAAGATAAATGTGAAATACATAGTGAATCTATCTGTATTTTAATGTGTTTACATATAATCTGTTGACAAAGAAATTAATTCTAAATTAACATACCCATTATAATATCTTCAATGTGACCTACTGCTTCATCAAACTTTGTATCTATGTCACTGGAACTGTAAAAGCAAAATATTTATCATAATTTAGTACATAATTGTGGTATTAAGAAAGGATAAAAACGAAATGTGTTTGATAAACAAAAATGCTCCGAGAGTGGCCATTCATAATGAAATACAATGAATTGAAGGAGTTCTAACAAAATAAATTATAAAATAGTAACAAGTAACTGTGGATAGGCCTACTGCACTTGTAGATGGACAGTTATATCTAGCAGAGAAAGTGCCACATATACCTTATATCAAACATGAAAGAACCTACATTATTGTAATAATATTGCAGAAATATCCATGAGAATTTCTAAGACAAATTCTTTGTGCCTTCTCAAGAATTCATTTATTCATTAACACACTGATAAAATTCATTTTACATCATGAGATATACGTTTGAACTGTAAACAACACTAAACACATCGTCGGAAACCCACGGCTGATTACGCTTTGTTCCTCTCTCCATCACTGGAGAGAGGAACAAATCGTAATCAGCCGAGGTTTCCGACGATGCACGAAACAGTGACATACATGAACTTACAACTACCAAGTTCCTTTAAAACAGCATGATAAAATAAATGTCATATAAATAAATAAATTATTATAGCAACAAATCCATGGTGAAATGCTCTCTCCATAATACTAGTATTACAGACAACACAAAAATGTGCAACATTTGAACAGTAATGAAGATCATCCATTGCAGGGAATTAAATATTGATTTAGATCAGAAGAACACAAATTATTTACCAATAGCTTCTTAACCACATGTGGAGCCCTCTGAACAATGTGTGCGTTATTTATAGGAAGTCCTTCTAAATGTTCAGAATATGATCCTGATCCATTTAAGTTTAATTTATTTTATAATTTTTTCATCAGAAAAAGGGATGAGTTAAAGACTTGATAAAAATCATTAAAGTCTCTAACTTCTGAGGTTCAAAATTTATTAGGAAGATTAAAATTTATGACAGAAACACAAAATGACAGATGGTCAGACAGGACTAAAACAATATACCCTCGATCTTTGATCTCTGAACATAAAAATGCATACATGGACAATCTGTTTATCATTGACAGATATATTTAACTAAGAAATACCTGGATATGGCTAAGTCTTCATCAGGAAAAGCAAATTCCATAGGTTCAATTCCATCTGTAACAAACAGATCAACTCAGAACAGTTATGCTGTGGGTTTTATTTAATTTAATGTTTGCATGGTTAATTCACACAGATCAAGATAAAACTATTGATCTAATATGTGGAGATTTTGTGTTGCAGACAAATTAAATCAAAGCTTCAAAAGAACTGAATAATTTTGACTTGTTAAATAAATAAAGTGCAGTGGTAAATTTAAGGGGGAGGGCACACCTGGCACCCTCCCTCAAATTCTCAAATTCAAGATGAATCATCTCTATTGGAAAGTGTTCATTCACTCCCTACAAAATCTCAGCTATAGAATCCAGGAGCTTCACCCTAGACCCACTGGGGACTCAAACCCCATGCCTAGTCAGCTGGCACTCCCTCTGATCACAAATTTTGTTTCTATGAATGTTAATTAGCAAAATTCAACAAAATCAGGGACACTTTATATACCTCCCTAAGAAAGTAAAGGCTGATATTATGATTTTTATTTATATATTAAAATGGGGATTCAATTGTATGCTGAATCTGTATTGTACAATGTGTGTATTCATTACAACCATAATCAAATGAAAAATACTAATCCTAATGATTATTTAAAAAAAACAAACTCTAAAAATTTCCAAGTACATGTACTTACACACACAGACACTCATTTTTACAGTAGTGACTTCCAAATATCCTATACTTCCTATGGCTAAGCCTTAAGTGATATAGTTAATGTTGACCTTCGCGACTAGACCTGTTTTTAAAAAGCCTGATCGATCTCGTGTTCGAACAAGTTCATGCTAACTACTTTCTCAAACCACCGTGGTGTTTCACGCGCGTACGGTGTTTACAATCAACTCCCACTGTGAACATCAGGGGGAAACTTAGCAGGTGTCTGATAAGGTTATCACAATCACACAGCGTATTATGCATTAAATATTCACAGGAACACAATATATAAACTAATTTAAAGAAAAAAACTAATTGGTTAACATTTTAAAACAAGTGTACACATGGAATGAATTTGAGCATTAAAAGATACACAGCAAGCAAAGATAAATGATTGCGCCCATGACAAAAGGGCCTTATGGCAATTTTGCTAAAACAGAGAAATAACGTCATAAAGATATGACGTTGCAGACGGTGAGCGGTGACGCAGATTTTTTTTTATCCACGTGTTTTACGTTTTGACACGTCTAGCTTACTTTTGTCGTTGTTCTCAACATTGAAATAATTATTTATTTTCATTTATATCTTTAATTCACGTCTTGATCTTCTAGTCCACTGATATTAATTAAAATATTTAAGAATATATTATATTAGAATTTTATTCGAGACCCGTTTCTTTACTCTATGTTATATTGTAGCTTTATATACGTCTCTGATCTAGGCTGTGTATTTCCTATACATGTATAGAAGCTTCAGACAAGATTATTTTCTGTATAATTGAATGTGGATGAACGAATGCGATTTTGATATATAGACAAATTGAAGTTATTTGTTAGACACGTGTATATTATCAAAATATTGCAGAGGAAATCGTTTTCCTGTATAAGATCCGCCCCACCATTCTCAACACATCGATCATGTCAACATTGAAGCATTGGTACATCGTGCATAAATTTTTCACGTAAAATGCTTTAATTGCCAAAAACTTGAAACTGATCACACTTCTTCCAACAGAAAAGAAAAGTATTCTTTTAAGTTTTCACAAATCTAGCAACGATATTATTTTTAAGAACTATAAATAAAAACAAGAGAGGTAACTCTGACAAGCGAGATATTAGAGAGGTACCAGAGAGGGACTTTCTTTTTTTTTTTTTTTAACACCATTCAAAATCAACATACTCATACAAATTTGCTCCCGTAGTATAAAAAATATTTTTAAAAATCTTACTTATCATCAGTTAAAAAACGTTTTAATTTTAAGTATTGTATTTATATTTTCTTTAAAAGTATTTTTGAAAGCTCATGGAACTAGCTGCTGTCAAAGTGAAAGAGGAAAAAAAAAATAGAATAAGAAAAGATGCTACATTGAACAGACTTTCATTTGTTTTTTAAATTTGTTACATGTGCATCTATTTCAACGTGAAATTATTATTTTAAAATAACTTGAATTTTAATTTTTTTTCAGTAATAATGATCATAAATTTAAATAAATTTAAATAAAATGAAATTTAAAAAAAAATTGTTTCGTCTTATTTTTGTTGTTGCCACTTCCGATATAAGTACTTGAAAACAAACAAAAACTACCGAATGAAATAAAATTGTTCTAATTGTTCTAGCTTTAAAAAAGTTCACATGTATGTATACCTGATGTGTGTGTGAGAGAGGGAGAGAGAAAAAGAGAGAGAGAGAGATGTTACATTAAATCCAGTTTATCAATACAATGTGAAATTTGAAACTTTAATGAAAAGGCGAATTTTCAAAAAAACAACAATACCGTATTATGAAAAGAAATCTCTATCTCTTTTTTTTTCTTTTGTTGTCTATTTATTTTCAGTAACTCGAAAATATAACGTTTTGGTACTCGTACGTGTTGTGCATAAAAAAGTTCAAAGGTTTTATCTGCAGTTTTAAGTCACTTACAAGTCAAATATATGTAATGCTTATCATTCATAGAATCTCAGCATTGTATGTCATTACAGTTCTATTTTCAATCTAAAACTCGTTTTCTTATTGAAATAATAATCTCAGTTATCGGTTTAGTATGATACTGCTTAACTTGCCATTGAATTATGTAAACAGGCTGATTTTGTTATTTGGATTTATTGAAATAAATCTTTTTAAGATCAAATTGTATTTAAACATGCATTGTACAAATTAAATTAAATGCTAAAAATATACTACACAAAAGACTAAGAATATGTTTGCAAGTTTTTATTTTTGTGGCAGTGCAGGAGACCGGGGAAGAGGGTCAGGGTCATTTTATATTACCGGGACCTAACTACAAGGATAAGCATGCATATCCAAGTCTCTGGCATGGGGCCAGAATGGAATTTTTATATTGTAAAACTTCATATAAATAACACTTGAAAACAATAACATTAGAATTTCATACGATAAAGAAGCCGCGAGAAATGGGGGGGGGGTGTTCTACACACACCATCACATAACAATATTTACATGTACCTAAATGTGTGCCACATCGTAAAAATTTGTCATTTAAAAACTCAGCCAGTCAAGGAATATTATGAACCAGTCGCATTTAACTGACTGGATATATAAAACTTTCAATTAATTTTTACACCCCCCCCCCCAGCCGAAAAAAATCTATTAATTAATCTGCATGTCATTGATTCATAACGACAACATATATATAATTATTTATGATTTATTTCTTAGAAAAATCTATTTTAATATTAATTTAAAAAAATGACATATTGATTTCATTCAAAGTTCAGGTAAAATTTGTTGAAATGACAATAAAATACCCGATATCTATTAATATCCAGTGTATACATGTTCTTCTAAAACCATTTAATTTTACAAAATCAAACAAAATCGTTATTCTAAGACGCAATTTTTCTCATGATTAACTAGATTTGATAGCAGTTAAGTTTCCATTTCCAGGCATGTGGAGCTCATGATCGCTGTTTGTTTTGAAAATGATCCTGCTCATACATGTATACATTTACGTAAGGAGAAGTTCAAGGTGCAAAAATAAATTGAGGAATTATTTCAATATTATTTCAAACCTAACCAAATGACGTATTTGGAGGTTATGGGGTTGGTGGTGGGAAAGCATCCCCACTGCACACCTAAAATGTAGGAAGATTTTAAAAATAGACAACCCTCGTATGCTATTAAACTCATGTTTACTGCAAGAATTGCATGTTTCTGTCATTTAACTTTTAACCCCCCCCAACCCCACCCCCCCCACCCCCCCACACACACAATCCAACCACTGGTGATCCTGGATCTGTTCCTTTCATTTTAAATGCATGTGAATTATAATTCATCCATTTGTTTATAATTTATCAACCTGCTTACTTAAATTAATTATTTAAAAATTTTCCTTGCTGTGACTGAAAAAATGTGTATCATTTCAATTTAAAAAAAAAAGTTTTGTTACCACATGCGGGCAGAAGTCCTTCTGATTTTTTGTTTGAATTTTTTTTTTATCGAATATTGCTTAACATGCAGTGTATCAACTCAATGTCCTTAAATTGTTGTACAGCGTATACAGTAACTCACTACATTTCATAAATTTTCTGTCTAATTATATTTAGAAAACAAAAACAAAAAAAACAACAAATTTTCACTACCCAGCAGCATCTATTTTATTGTTGTTCCCGAGAATTTTTTTGAAATATTTTTTAACTTCACATTTTGAAAGAGATATCGTTTATACTGGATTCAACCCCCCCCCCCCCCCAAAAAAATGACATCTTGTCCTATCGAGAGCCATGCTTGAAATGAGATGATTTTCGAATGAATGCTACAGGTTTCTCAAACGATTATTACACGAGATAAATACTTTGGTTTTGAGAGAATAAATTGATATTGAACAGAAGCCGCTTGCTTCTCGGGTTTTCCTGACATTCCAGCATAGTGAAATGTAAAACAAACAAACGAACAAACACTCATAATTCTATACACCACTGCATGATGGATAATACTTAATACAACTATTTATTATCATTTATATAATTATTAAAAGAGACAATGACTCAAAAATGTTTCTGGAAATACTCAATAACATACGTTTATTACTGTAGTAACATTACAATGCAACGTGAAAGTCATGTTCACTCTGAAAACTTTTGACGTTGGTGCGAAAGTAACATGACGTCATTGTTTACCTGTTAAAGTATCATTGATATAAATGAAGAAAAAACCTACTTAGAGTTGACGTAGGGCCATAAAAATTCAGATTTGGCAACTTCTAACCTTGCTCTATTAATATCCATGAAAACCTTAAAATGTGTAAAAACTGCCATAAGGGCCCTTTTCCCATGGGCGCAATCAAATGTATAAGTCTCATGTATACGTATACTCATATACGATGATGTTTATTGAATATTTGAAAATAGTTTAAAAAGGAATCACTAAATAGAAAATGTTACATACCCGGTTTTTCTTCTCCAGCATTGGACGCCATGCTGGCATTTAACCGGAAGAAAACTTTTTATACTATTCGGACAAGTTTCAATTATTTTCCGGGTAAAACAATTAAAAAAAAAATCACTGGAATTATTTCAGGACTACTAGATAAGGCTTAGACGAAAGCAAAAACAATGCAAAACAAGATAATGAAATTGTTGATCCTAGAAGAGAGAGAGAGGGGGGAGAGGAAGGAACAGATTTTGACTATTTCTTTCAATATTTTCTTGCAATCTGATACAATAGGAGATAAGACAACAGAGAATAGAAAGAGGTTCAAATGCCAAGAAATATCGACAGGGGTAAACCACAGGTGCTTGAGAACAGGACCCCTCCCTCCCAAATGTAGACCGGTCGGGGTCTGTTATCGAGGGACTATAATTGCTATCAAGACATATTTCACACCTATTGTTCTATACCTAATTATCAAATGTGTGCAAAACGGGAACACACCGGGTTCCTGTCCTCAAGCACCTGTAGGGTATAAACTAATTAATTCAAGTTAATGTCTTGTTAAAACCTTCAACTTCTAAACGAAGAGTCGTAAAAACATAGGCGCACTTGCGATTCCCACCACTTATCATAACCGGGTCAACCTCATTCTGGACTCCAGCCTAATGGTTCTTATTTTCTGTACCTCAACCACTGAAGTTTGAGGAGGCAGAGTCCCGAATGACATTGGGCCGATCATGCATTTGTTTGTATAACCCGGGATCTTTGGCTATGCAAGTGAGAGGACGCACCAAGTGGAATAACTCTTATAATCTTTGAGCTTGGTCGGAGTGACCCTATTTCTGCGAAATGACCCTTGTATATTACACTTCCAATTTCCCTCTAAATCTGAGGACCTTCCCTCACCAGAGCGGCTCACAGGTGTTAAGGTGTGGCACTGTTACCCAACCTGTATAAAATGCAAGCAGAGACAGACACAATCCAGTTTCTGACTTTATTAAATTAAACAATCCATTTTTTTCTATTAATGATTACAATAAATATTTTTACACAAGATACTAAACATTATAATAAACATTACCACTTATAATCTAAATATTTAAACCTGTAAATAAAATTAGCCATCTGAAAATTTTACTTAAGTTTTATAAAAACGCGCAAGTCTACAAAATGATCTCACCTGTATAAAATGCAAGCAGAGACGGACACAATCCAGTTTCTGACTGAATGCGTCTGGCCGTCCGCTCATTTTATACCAGGTGTACCCTTGTAGTTTTACATCTCCATATTTGTAACTCCCTCGAAATTTGCCATAATTACTTTAAATTTTAGTTTGAATTTCAGTTACCATTATTCTGTCCTCCAACACTCTTTAGTTTCCTAATGCACTTTAAAAATCATTTTCTATCTTTTGCATAATTTTTAAATATTCTTTGTTGTAGCTAATTTATACTAACAACTGACCTCTGGTCACCTCAATACTATTGGTTGCTCTTTTCTCCTTACCAAATACATCTTTTGATAAACAAGTAACAAAGCGCATTCCAATCTATAATGTATCATTTTCTTGGAACCGTCCAGGTGAAAAGGTCAAACCCTAGTGGCCAGCATCTATGTTTATTTTTTTCTTATCTTCAGAGCTTCGTGTCTGTTATCTCTCTCAGCCGAATAGTGCAAATACATCAAAATATGTTACATTCTTATTTTAATGCAATTTTTGTTATGATAGAACCCTTGGTATTTGACCTGACTTTAGAATTGGGTCAAGGTCAAAGCTCATTGTGCTGATATTACCTAGCTAACTTTTGGCACCCCTACCCCTTCATAGCACAATTTGTCTAAACTTCAAAACCTTGGATCGACACAAAACTTTAGAGTAGTTACTCTTTGGAAAGTTTATTGGTTACTGTTCCATGTATAAATTCAATGTAAAAATGAACAGTTCAACACTCAAACACTGTTCAACAAGCTGGAGTGAGTCTGAAAATTATCTTATGCGCTTGCTCAATGTTTTTATTATATAGGATGGAAAGCAGTATGCTTTCAGAACTTATACCCACCCTCTCAAGTTCAATTCACTAATTAAATACATTAAATTGTACGTATGTGTTAGTCTGTGGGTAATGCCGGGTATTGAGTATTATAATTTCAAAGTCTGTTAGTTATTGTGCCTATTATAAAACACCTACATATTTGGGCTTCTGTCTAAAACATTTAATTAAATAAGATAATTTCTATAAGTATAATATATTCATAACTCTACTTATATATTCTACAAACAATATTAATCATATTAATATTGTAAATGTCAGAGGGATCAAGTAGCTGATTTGCTCAAAGAAAACATTTCGTTGCCGGAAAGTATAGTTATACTAACTTGAGTATGTTTGGACACTGTCGACATGACAAGCCCGTAGGAAGCAATTTCACTTTGAGGGGGCACAACCATACATTTTCAGTTGGGGAGGGGCACTTTCAAGTACTAAGATTCCTTGACAAGCCAAAAAAAAAGGGTCATCAGACGTTATTGAGGGGGCACAAACGTATAGTAGCTATGTTTTCTATAGTATTCTATATATCGGCAAAATTATTGGGGGGCACGCCCCCCCCCCCCGTGCTCCCCCTACCGGTTCCTACGGCCATGCATGAGTACACCTTTTAGGAAAAACTGAGTTTGTAACCTCAGTGACAAATCAAGGGATGGATATTTTCCCCACTTTTTTCCCCCTAAATCCCCTACAATATTAATGGTACATTGAATTGTGTAATCAGGGACCTATATACTAACGTTAGTATATAAAGTTATACGTTAGTATATAGGTCCCTGGTGTAATGTTTATGTTATGTTAAAGACTGAGTAATGACGATTGTGTCATCTTAGAACTTAGGATTTCAACAAAGGGTCAGTATTAAAAGTGTATTCCTTAAATTCAATTTGCAAGCCAATGTTTCACAGGACTGCATTTTTTAAACACGTAAACACTTGGTTAAAAGCTAAATTGTTTGATTATCACTGATCGAAGTAACATATATTAATGAATGGTTATTTGGAAATTCTGGGGAATGTTTTTTTTTTCTTTCTTCTTCTTTTTTTAATATAACATAAATTTGTTTTTGTTTGAAAGACATTGTGATAATTTCTTTAATAAAGAAAAAAAACGTGCGTCGGCCGGGAATTGAACCCGGATCGACTGCTTGGAAGGCAACCATGCTGACCATTACACCACCGACGCTTGTAATAAACACAGCGTAATTAAAATATAAAGACAAAACCGGAAACAAACCAAAATCCGGACGTTGGACAAATTATAGATAAATTCATACGCATAATACTTATTGAAGTTAAGAAAAAGAAAAACGGATGCTTTGCCCCATATAAGTTTATCTGTATTTATCTAAAAGATAAATTATTTAGATTTATCTTACATAGAGAGACTAAAAATTAAATCTGATGAATATTATCACTCAATTAGAACTACTTTATTATGGCTGAGTTGTTAGGTCATGCCGATTGACAGAAGAGAAAATCGATGTAACAGTAATTAATCATGACATTGTAGCGATCAAAATTACAACTCGACATTATGGTTTTGATTTTCTAAAGAGACCAAAATAGTTGTAGATTATTATACAGGTATATTCCATTTGTATTATTTGATATATGCCGACCGAGTTGCATGTTTGATTTTGATTTTTGAGTAAATTCGGGAGGGGGTATGTTTTTTTTCCTGAGTGTCATTATTGTGGATTTAGCTGTCATCTTATGGTTTAAAGTAAATATATAATGCTGCTTATAAACAGAAGGGATGTATCAACTTTTGAGTTCACTGAGATATTCCTCTTGCTGTTTTATGTGTACAGCTGTATGTGAAAATATTTTTCATTGTCCTCACGTACCATAAACTGTTTAAGAAGGGTTTTGATTGAATAAATGAACTTGAACTTGTAACAGACATAAATGGTACTGTTATTATAGCAGTTGTTCAGCTGTTGTTTATTATGTCTCTGGCAGTACGTAATGCATTGTATTAGCTATCCAATCTCTTATAATTATGAATCAAATTTAAACCCTCCATAGTAATTTAACACTGATTTACATATTTAGCATAGATACTAGAAGCTTGCACACATGAATGAATCTGTATTCACACCTGGTGAAAAAAACTTCCTGGGTAAAGGAAGGAATATGATCTGCTCATGAAACAAACTGAGAGGTGTAGGACAACAAAACATTACTTACATTATACATCTAAGATTTTAATTACTCTCTTTTATGATGAATAGTATAGGAAACAGAGTGGTCATGTCAACAAGCAGTAACTTGGTGGTACCAGTGGTGCTATGGGGTAGAAAACCACCAACTCATTGTATTGCTGCAATACTGATGACCCCTGACCAGAAGAACATAGTAACAGGATGCAATGATGGACAGATTGCTATTTGGGATGTTGCTAAGAATTCTCAGGTTAGTACAGGAAAAGAACTTTCAAATTTTGAACATGTTAAAAGGACATTAATATTTTATTGATAGATAGTTTTCAATAGCTGTGAATTTAGCAAGAGTTATTTATTGTTAGCCACCATATTGGAGGTCAATATGCTCAGATTCCTTCATTATTCAACCAATTTTTAAGTTGTCATACTAGCAATTGTGGTATAGGATTCTTGTTTTTCTGAAGAATATACATTTAATTCAGAATTTTCATTTTCTAAAGATTTTTTTCCCCAAATATCTTTGCTAAACATATTTAAATTTGGTAAGACAAAAAACAAAAAATCACAAGGTTGACCTTCGAGATGACAGCCAAGGGAAAAAGAGGGAAAATATGTCATACAATGACTTTCTAGAAACAGATTTGTAGATTTAAGCAATACTAGTAATTTCAGAGTTATAATGTTATGAGTCAAAATATGATAATGTACTTAAGTGACATTTAAATGTACTGAAATTCAACTTTTCAGTACTTTTTTTATAGCCTAGAACAAGGAACCTGCGGGAGGTGTATTGCAATAAGATTTTTTTTTGTTCCTGGAGATTCATTTATATCAATGTGCTGCAAGGGATCAATACATTTCTTGTGCGTAACCATTCCAGATCTACCCTCGCAGTATGTTGTTTGGTCACACTGCTGCCATTAGCTGTTTAGCACTAGGTAGTGAAAAAGCAGACACCCCTTACATCGTTAGTGCTTCAGAGAATGGGTAAGAATCTGAGTGTTTGTAGAGGAATTAGAAAAATATAATTCATTTTTCAAATATGTATAATTTTCAAAATGAGTACAGTGTACCAAAAAGTAATTTGTAGAAAAAGACAGATATTTTCAGTTATTGGACATTAGTCTTCTTGATTAATATTGGCAGAGAGATGTGCTTATGGGACATCAGTGATGGTAGGTGTGTTGAAAGTACAAAGATGCCTCACATCCATACCTGTATGCAGGTAACTTTTCATAAAGTGGTTTGTAATGAACTGGTTTATGCATTTACTGTTACTTTTGATCATCCCGTATTATCTGGGAACAAAAAACAAAACAACGTTCAAACTGTGGACATCATATTTTTTAAGAGCTGAATTCAGATTCATGTATGTTTAATTGCAAATTTTAGGCTTACCATTTTCAAGTATCTAAGGATGTTCGCCTGGTGTGTAATGGTTACTATCCAGAGATCTTCATCATTAATCCTAACTCTCTAGAAATCCTGTACACCCTGTCATCTAAAATAGCACCAGACTGGATCAGTGCCTGTTGTATCATTCATCCAGTCACAAAAGATGGCAGGTCTATTTGTCAGGGTAATACAATGTCTTTACAATGTATAGTGTATTATTGTAATACATGTAGTTATAGTGCTTTAAATCTGTTTTACTGAACCATGTGTTTACACAGTATGTTGAATCTATTTTTATATAGCAATCACAATTAATTACTAGAAAATAATATAAAAATAACTTGAGAAAAGACATGAACTTCATATACATGTATGTAGGTCAATTCTTCATATCCTTGACAATTTACTAGTAAGAAAAACATACAGCACTTACTATCAGAAGATTTTGTGCAACAGGATTTTCAACAAATTAGTGCATTTTAGATGATGTTGTGGTAGCCATTTCAAACTCTGGAGCTGTTAAAGTTTGGACACTTACTGGCAATGAAGCCATGGTAGGTACAGGGAATATAAATACTTGTGAATATTTTGCTGAACCAAAAAATCTGTAGGGGATACATACTACGGTAAACTTCTGGTAGATTGTAAGTTCATACACATATTGTTTTCCTTCCAGACACAGCCAGTGTATGAAAATGAGTCAAAACAGATCCGCTGCCTGAATGCCCAAACTTTGACATGTTGCCCGTACAATCAGAGGACAGTTCTTATTGTTTGTTCTAAGTACTGGCAGGTGAGAAACATGCAACAATCTGTATTTAATCTAGTTCTTTCAAACTGATGATGTATCAGAAGAACATGATATACAGTATTTCTTGGCTGATCTGAGCCAAAGCTTACTCATCATTTAAGTATTTTTACGATGTTTGGTTTATAATAACACTTAAAAGGCTTAATTTTTTAAGCCTCTTCATCATTGAAGTATTTTTTGGATATTTGGTTTATGATAAATTAATTTTTAATTTTGACTCTATAGAGCTAAATTTGGCAAGCAGTCATTATTTATCATTTTTTGGGCGATCAGTTACAGGAAGTTAGCTGGGGGGGGGGGGGGGGGGGAGAGATTGCTTCTAATCTGTTTGCAAATTTACCACTGTGCAAAACAAGTGAAATGTACAATATAGAGACTTTGTTTATTGTCATGCAGTTTTCACACCCTTTTTATTATTGCCCCTTTCACCCTCATCATCAGTGGGCAAATCTAAAACCAAGCGCATTCAACAGAGACAGAGTTATCGCTCTATTAACAAACTACTGTATGTTTAGACAGATTTACAATACAGGGTAAAATAGTTTGATGTGCAAAACGGGAAAACATCTTGGTGCAAAAATAATCCTGTAGACAGTATTGCAAATGAAATTTTTGAAAAAGAAATTGGCTTTATTGTAGATTTATGATGCAGGAGACTTCACACTGCTATGTTCCGAGTCTAACAGGTGTGGTGAGAGATGGTCAGGTGGAGACTTCATTAGTGTGGACAAGGTCATCGTTTGGAGTAATGAGGGCAAAGGTTACCTGTATAAACTGCCTGTCAGGTGAGAAAAACAAGGAAACTGAGGTAAAGTCTGGTAGTGCTGTGTACTTATAGTGAATAGTAATATGCTCCAAAATAAGTTCAAACTCTCATCATATTAGAAATTATCATTGAATTTTACTGTGGGATTTGGTATCCATGTAATATGTGTGTGTTGGGTGTCTTTTATTATTAATCTGAATTCTAAACTTTTTATGTCAATTCTTTGTAATATTTATTATTTGGATGTACTGTGCTGAAAAAAGTAGTCTTAGTTTGACACATGGTATACAAGCTACTGTTTCGGCATAGTACATCCAAATAATAACTCTATTATAATTATTATGCTGACTGTTGAATGTATATAGCAATTAAATTAAATTCTCAATCCCAAACCTGTTTGTAGACATTAAATCTAAATGAAAATTTTCTTGAACATTCTTTAATCAAGCGTTATATCAAAAACCATTTTAATGACTCCAAAGTACCAGTTCATGTTATGTCGCAATTTTGGTAATTTAATTACTGGTAATTAGAATATTTGTTACTTAGAGAATTTTTCTTCAAGATCGTTGTCAGTGATATCAGTCTTTTGGAAATGATATTCGTTTATTTCTTGTTTTGTGTCAAATGTACGAAAACTACATTTATGTATTTCAAAATACACTACTTAATGTAACTATGTTTGTGGTGTAATTGGCAGAACATTAGCCTGATGTTTTTGGGATCGTGAGTTCAGTCCCTAGTGTGGGCGCTAACACATATTTTCTCTAGAAAAGACAGCCATGCACTATTTCGGCATAGTATGCTTACCCTTTATAAATCGTTTGTATACTATGTGAAAATAGTTGGGTATTGATTATTATTACATGTATATAGAGACAAACTGACAGGAAGCATAATAATAATTCATATGTATATAATTATATTTATACACAGTGTGCATTTAGTCAATCCTACTAATGTCATTCAGTGCAAAGATTTGTGCACTAGCCATTGTGTAAATTTAAAAGAAACATTCAATTTCAGCAGTATTACATGTATTAGTACTAGTAAATAAGATGTGTCATAAGTCAAGAACATAAACAGATTTTAGCTATTGTTAAGCTGAGGTTCAAAACAAAAATTCCAATAGATGAAATTTTTTCCTCAATTTTTTTTCTTTTTATATAGCTTGATTATCACCATATTGCAGTTTATTATGATGATTAATAGTATATAAACAAATATATAATATAAGTGCACTTAAAGAATTGAGTGTTGTTTTGTTTAGAATAATATTTTGTTGTCCAGTACATGTATATTCATTTGTCATTGTAGAATTGCATTTTGTTTAATTACTCATTTTAGTAACCATTAGATTTATTTTCACTTTCAAGTTTGCTTAAGGGAAAAGTATTGGAAAGGTAACTGATGCATTTTAAAAATGAAACTTTAAATTTCGCTTAATTTGATATTTTTCAATTAACTGCAATAACCCTTCACATTAACCTTCTCTTTCACCAGTCATTCCTGGGTTTTCAAGTCTGACTGGCTTGTATCATGTTTCAAACGTTTCTTTTTTTTTTTTTTTTAATTTTTTATTTATTTTTTAAGCTTCCCTTTTATGAAAGAAAAATTTTAAATGTTGTTAAAATAGCCTCTCTTTTTTTTTTTGCATTTTATCTTCCATTTCATTTAAGCCTATTTTGTAATAATATATTTTGATTTATTTTTTTTACATACTGTCAGATACTATTAACAAACAAAACAGATCTTTTCTGTCTTAGGCACACTGGATCTTTCGCTAGAGCTACATGTTTTATGCTGGTATAAGGAATCACCTCAAGAATACAATGTATAACAGAAGCTAGTGTTGATACATGTAGAGATGCATTTGTTCATATTAGTAACTGTGAAATGCTCATACTGTTGTCGCTGGGGAACTTCCTGTTTATGTACATGTGCTGATTGTGATCATGTTGACACTGAATGTGAAGGTGTATAATACAATTTTTAATAACGTCTTGTCTTTAGTGTTTGCCTGCTTGTTGTTCTGTGCAGTTCTGCTTTTTAGAAGCAGAGGAGACTTAATTCAGTAGCTGCTATATATTCGTCAGAAATGATTGTTTATAAACAATATTCTAAAAAAAACTTTTGAAACTTAAAAAGTTCAACTTTGGATAATAAGGTACTGGGTATTAAAATTCTTGAATTGAATTGAATTAAACTTGAAAAGAATTCTTTTATTTATAATCTTATGGATGAAATATCTGCTACAAATTAGCATTAGCCTTTCTTTGCAGTGCAAATGCTGAGAGTGTGGAGTACCGTAAACCCTCTAATCAGACCTCACCCCATGCCTACTACATTTTGGACATGTTTTCAGAGTCTGTGAGTACTTACTTGAGTCATTAAAATTTTCATTGTTTTTTGGGATTTTTTCCTGTCTTTCATTGCTTACCAGAGAATTTTGAGAAATTCCTGAAAACTGTGATTATGAAAACTTAAATTCAATATTAAAAGAAATAAATCTAGTAAAAGATTCAAAAGAGTTTTTCCTAGTTTTGATATTTAACATTCAACTTAACCTCTCTGGTTTGCAGTCAATGGCATGTTCTCCAGCTATGACATTCCATATTGGTAAAAGCGATAGACCAGGTCGATTTTTGCTCCGAGGAGACTCGGAGGGACAGATTGTGATGTGGACCCTCCCTGAGGTCACTGAGCGCCAGATGACCTTGGTCCGCCAGGAGAGCTTTGACAGATTACCAGGTATATGTCATTCATCTATGTGGTGTGTGTTCACCATATTCATTGTACATGTACAATTATTTGTAATTTTGATTTCAAGTTGTGTATTTTAATATACTTGTACACATACATCTAATTACATTTTCCATAACATTGTAATATTGCTGTTTTGTAAAAGTCTTTCAAAGTACATATAGCAACAATTGGATGTACACGAAGAACTTTGATTACTAATGTTATAAGAATGTCTGTAAAGTACATGTAAGTGGATCATCAGAAGGTTGTTGCTACATATACTTTAAGAATTTTTTTCTCCCACTGACAGCTCTGCCTCCACGCTGCAGCATCTCACTGGCCGATGTTTGGGAAAATCTACATTATCCTCCAGCAGGCATCATTGATGGGCTGGTAATAGAAAATTTTAATTTCAGTTATGCAATTAAATTATTGTCTTTGTATTGAAATAATATTATTCTGAATTACTGATTACAACTCTAAGGCATGAATGGAGGTGATTGTATATTTCAGGGTTTTTTTTTTTAGAATTTAAATGTAAGATTCCCCATTAACCTAAATAATTCTCTCAACATCAGAACAGAATTTAAATATGTACATGTATGAAATGTCAATCTAATTGTTTGTTTGTTTTTTTGGGGCAGGGGATTTCTTTATTGACATTTTAACTTTCAGATTCATGCTTTTTTTTTCAGTGTGATGAGAATAACCAGCCATTAGCCATTACTTCTACTATCTACATTCCATCACAAGGAAAAGTAGCCTGTGGGAGGGAGAATGGCTCCATTGTGATAGCACCTGCTTCACAGAGCATTATCTTACAGCTTCTAGAAACAGAAGAGTTCAAACATAAAGGTGATTATTCTCTTAGAATATATAAACTACTGAAAAGGCAAGCTCTATTTCTTTTGGCCATCATCATGGTATGCTGGAGTTGCATGATCTTTGGACTGGTGTGTAATAGATGTACCTGTGTACATTGTACTTGTTTACTGAAAATTTTTACCATTTCATTTCCTTTTCATATGTACGTACATGCATATGATTAATTATTGCAGATAATTAAGATTTTACTGCAAGATATTAACAAGAACAGTGTAAAGAAGTGTGGAATTTATTGGCCATAAATGGATGTCTTCCCCTCTCTCAGTAGTAGCCTTGGTCAGCACCATATGACTCCCAAGACATGTCCTTAAATTAACAGTAAAGCATATCTTATGTACTGTACTAGACCATTTCACGGTAACTGCAGAACTGCTCTTTTGCAGGGCAGAATGATATACTTTGGTGAAATATGACGTAAAAGTAATTGTTAAATATACATCATTTATTTATCTGTCAACAAAAACTTCGCCAAATGTTGTAATTTTGCCCTTCAAAGGACTCGTACTGCTGTTACCGTGAAGGGGCTAATGGTTGACAACATGCAAGGGATCAAATTTATTTTAATAAGTGGTTACTTCATATTTGAAAATATTTACCGGTGTTTTCCTGTGGTCTTCACCTTTGATATACATGTATGATCATATCATACCCTTAGCACTTACATTGTAAATATAAAACCAAGGGTTCCAGACCTACCACCAGGTCACAATTTTGTCTCCTGCCAATTTTGGGGTAAAAACATGTAAATAGTCACAGTTATTATTTACTATAGATCACTAAATTTTCATGACACCTTATTTTTGTGTAGGATTATTGTTTGATATTTATAATTGAAACAAAATTTTCATGAATTTTGCTTATTGCTCTATATAATCTTTAATAGTAGAATTATACACGAGAATGAAATTTTCACGAGCATACAATCTCAGATAAGTGAAAATAAACTACTCACAAATAGGAAGTGATTTACAGTATTGAAGTTAGAATAGTTTAATACTTGGTAATTGTTGATAAATACATATAGCTGTCATAATCTTTTTTGCTGATATTTTTTTAATGAAAACTTGTCCTAATTTCTAAAGTTACACTCAAGTGTTGTAAGTGTGTGACATATAGTTTTTTCCTCTTTCAGATGTACCAGTAAAGATTTTACATGGGCACCATGGTTGTGTGACCAGCCTACTGTACCCATTCAATGAGAGTACACGGTATGAGCCTCAACACTTACTGTCTGGTGGAGCAGACTTCTCTGTCATGCTGTGGGATATCTACACCGGCAGTAAACTTCACACATTTACTGTCCATGGAGGGGAGATCACTCAGCTACTGTGTCCTCCAAACAATTGTAATGTAAGTACTGATTAAGGAAAATTCCCCACTTTCTTCATTTTCATAACAGATGTACATTTATTTACTGAAGTTAATCTCTTTGAAAAATCAACCCCGTTATTGAGAATGATCATAACAGAAATGAGGTAAAGATTTACCATTTTAGCCCCGGATTCTGCCCTGTGTTTGTTCTGTGGCCAGTGACCATTCTGTGACACTACTGAGTCTGAGGGAGAGGAAGTGTATCATGCTGGCTGGTCGACATCTGTTTCCTGTACAGACTATCAAATGGAGACCACTGGATGATTTCATGGTAGTCAGCTGTTCTGATGGAACTGTGTATGTGTGGCAAATGGAGACAGGTCAGGGGTCTTTTATTGTGTATTTAAATTTTGATGTGTCAAATATTTAGACCATTTGTCAGTATCCATGTAATATAACAATATTTATCCATAATATTTCAGGTCACCTGGATAGAGTTGTTCATGGAATAACAGCAGAGGAAATCCTGAACAACTGTGATGAAAATGCAACACCCTTGGAGAGCCTCATCAATCCAAATATAACTCTGACCCAGGCCCTCAAACGACGTAACTTGGCAACATTTAAGAACTTGGCCCAGCAGAAATTTCAGATTCAGTCAGGGACCATCCAGCAGTCCTCAGCTCACAGGAATGACTACCTTAAACAACAGACTTACCCAATGTTTATACAGGGTGTCAGAGCCAATCTGAAGGACCCAGACATTCACATCCTCTTCTTTGATACAGAATCTTTGATTGGTGAGAGAGCATTTGTTTCATTATCTGTTACCAAAACAAAAATAGAAGTATTATCATTCCAAAAACATGCACTATGGTACATGTACCGTATATACTCGCCTATAAGTCGGTCCGCCTATAAGTCGGTTGTATTTTTAAAGCTTACATTAAAGGGATTGACCCTCTATTATACCAATATTTTCATAACTCGCCTATAAGTCGGACAGGGGTTTTTGGACCAAAGTTTAACTCCCAAATAACCGACTTATAGGCGAGTATATACGGTACATGTATAGATGGTTTTGGCTATGTGACAAGACTCGGTGAGAAATTCCTGGCTAGGTCATAATTTTTTAATGCAGGAATATGAAATCTAATTCATATGTTTGATGCAAACGTTGCCTTTGTCTAGACGATATGTAATTAACCTTGAGTCAATATCATTTAGAGAAGGTCAATGACACTGGGTTTAGAAATGTAAAATTCTTGTCCATGCAGGCCTTAACTTTCTTGAAATTATTGTATAGCCCATATTTCACACAAAGGTTTCCCACAACCATAAGTGCATTCAGAGGGTTTAGAATTGTTTTTTTTTTCTCAGGTAATGTAGGAATTGTTTGTCATGTTTAAGAAAGCTTTATTTATTCAGTATGTAATAAAAGTAGCCGAGTGGTCCTTTTCTAACTTTTGAAGTTGTTTTTGACATTTGAGAAGTAAATTTTCAAATTCTGTTTGTTACAGTTCAACTCCTGACAGAGGAATATTCCACGATGTCACCAGGAGAACTGGAGGCAAAAGGTTTTCTACCATATACAGTTGCAAGTGGACAGAACAGTCCTGCTCGGTCAGAATCCAGTTCAAGAGGAGGATCCCCAGCCCACGCAGCCTCACCAAGCCACAAAACAGTCACCTACAATGATAGGAGTCTCACCCTAGACATAGCCCAGCTCTTCTTATCTTGTCTTCATGCCTGGGGGCTTGACCCTGACTTAGATAAACTCTGTATGAATAAACTAGGACTTCTGCAGCCAAGGTGTCCAATATCATTTGGATTAATATCACGCAGTGGTCACATGTCTTTGATGCTACCTGGCTGGCACAAACGTTTCTGTCAAGAAGAAATGATGGAAAATGTGTCTAGTGAATATGCAACCCCTTCAGGCAAAGTGACCCTGATACAGCAGGCCCGGTCAGCCTCCACTGGACAGTTTGATAAGAAGTCAATGGCACTGGCCCAGAGACATGGCTTGGTACAGTCAGATTACACTGATAGTGATCAGGACAGTGATCCAGGGAGTAAGAAAAGTGTGCCAGTAAAAAGTTCTGCTGCTGTCCAGGATGAAATGAAGGCTTTCTCAACAAAGGCTCGATGGCAGATTTCTTCTGCAGTGACAACTAATCATTTATTGTCTATCATCTCAGTGGCTAATACTCTGATGAGCATGAGTCATGCCACTTTTATAGCAGAGAAGAGCAGGAAAAAGAGAAGGGGGTAATATATCATTCATATTTTTGTTATCATCAGATGATAGTATGAGAGTCAATGAAATTGAAGCATTTATGAAATGTACATGTATGTTTAAACAATATGAATAAATTATGAATATCAAATAAAATTGTTGGTGTTTTTGATCTGACTCCAAAGGCCTTTTTTTCCTTTGTAGAAGTAGAAAGAGATTTACAGGCCACCTTGGGTTAGTTGTAGCTGAATCCCTGGACAGTCCTAGCACCAGTGATGACGAGACAGATGCCATTATGATGCAGCAGTCCCAGATTAAGCAGGGATGGAGTCTGAAAGCTGCACTACACTGTGTGTTACTACCAGAAATGGTGGGACCAGAATTTCTCAAACCACCTCAGCTAGAGATGTTAGCCAGGAGGTGGCAGGACAGGTGTCTAGAGGTAAAAACAATTCTCATGTTTTCTAAATTTATTAGGGATGGCAATCGATTACAGAATTACTAATCGGTTAATTGCAAATGTTCCGACCAATTAAACAGTTAATCGTATCAAAATACACATTTTTCCCCAAGTACGTCTTTTCATATACGCAAGAAGACTAAAAAAGAAGTTTTAGAAATTAGAAACTTTCTGTTTATTTTCTTCATTTGGAAACTATATGTACATATATTTTCTTAAATTTCAAAAAAAAAAGAAAAAAATTAAGAAAACCATGAACCTTGTCTCAGAAATCAGAAACGGATTTTCCAGTGTAGATGTCACACAAGTTCATTCTGCATTTTCACCATATTCAAAACTATGCTTAAACTTCCACTTCTTCTAATGATATAATTTAATAGATAACAACACAAGATAGACATACTAATTCACAGTGCTTAACGGTGATTTATTTATTATCATCAAAGAATTACGGGACAGTCGGGATAACGACCTGATGTTTATAAAAACAGTATTAATTAACACTTTCCAAACAGACCAACTACCCTTTCAATCCAGAGAGCCATAATTACCTCCAATTTAGCTTGATAATAAGATTTGTAAAATGTTAAGTTATCAACTTTTTATGCAGAGGTTTCCTTTCTAAAAATGAATTTTAAAAAAAGTTACATATATTTTATTTTTTCCGACTAACCGATTACGGATTTTCTAACCGATTACCATCGTTCCGACCAATTAATCAGTTAACCGGTTACAAATTGCCGGCCCTAAAATTTATCTATATTTAGGAATTACAGTGTTATTAATACTTTTATTGATGTTCACATGTCAAGATGTGGAATGTGGAATAAAAAATGATATATGTTTTATTAAAGAAATTAGAAAATCAGAGTGCAAAGTGATATCAAAATTGTATTAATTTAAATGTGGTTTGTTTACCAGTATTGGTGATGTTTCACATGGATTATGAATTTACTAACAGATCTAAAAAAAACTTTGAGGCTTTTGTATGTATTTTTATGTATTTAGATTCGGGAAGCTGCACAAGCTTTGCTGTTGGCTGAATTAAGAAGAATTGGTCCAGAAGGAAGAAAAGAAATACTGGACCAATGGTCACCCTTCCTGCCCACTTACGTAGATCCACAGCTGAGTCTGATGAATGCAGAATCACTGCAGAAAAATGAGGAGGGAGATGAAGACGAAGATGAGGAGGATCCAATGATAAATGGTCAGTTTTATATGAATTTTAATTCATTTAGAATTTCTGTGCCATGTAATCATAGCTTTTGCTGAGAATAAGATTATTCACAAGAACTAAATGTAAGTTTAGCAAGCATGAATGCAATTAAAATAATTTGTCAATCTTTGGAATTCTAGATACACCTCTCCAGAAAGCTTCCTCATCATTTGAAAGCAGAAGAAAGCAGGCCACAGCTATTGTGATGTTGGGAGTTATTGGTGCTGAATTTGGACATGAAATAGAACCTAGTCGACGTAAGCCTGAGGACATCAAGAAAGGCAAAAAGTCAGCCCAGGAAGGATTTACCTTGAAAAATTACTCTCTTTCCAGACATACAAGTAAGCCAACCATATTCTATAAATGTTTGTAGGTGTAAATTTTTATGAAAATCTGGGCTACAGTTTTGTTTGTTTTTGCTTTGATGCAGTTCAAAGAAGTACAGTGTATAAAGTGAAGACTAAAGTTTCTATAAACCATAAATCCTGGGATCATGTTGGGGATACCAGAGAGGATTAAAGTTTTACATTGTGTCTTGGAAAAAATTATTGGAAAAATCTCTCAAAGTTTTCATCATTAAATTCACCACATCTTTACCAATTGTTTTAAAAGATGCAAGCACGCTCATTTTATTCCATAGAAGTTTTAGCGGAAAATGCTTGGAATGTGAAACTCTTTATATCAATTTTTCTTCTAAACATTATTCGAAGAAGCTGTTTTTACTTAATGACAGAATCTTGCCAAAGATTACTACTTGATAATTAGTTAATACTTATGAATTTCCAACAGTGAACAGAATATGCTGCAAAGTTGGGATCTAAAGATTTATTACAATTGGTAGTATATGACTCTGATATTGCATGAAATATTTATCTTACAGGTAAGGCATTGACATTCCTTTTACAACAACCTCCAAGCAAAAAGCTTCCTGCATACTCTCCAATCCGCCGAGCTGCAATTGATTTGATTGGTCGAGGTTTCACTGTTTGGGAGCCATATTTGGATGTTTCTGCTGTTTTGTTAGGACTACTAGAACTTTGTATAGATTGTGATCGCTTAGTGCCAAGGTAATGAACATGTCACATGGTTCTTTTATACATTCGATGTATTATGATAAGCATCAAATCTGCAACTTAATCTGTGACCCATCAAAATACAACCTAAGACCGATACAGTGTATAGAATTCAACATTTGCAGACGTGGTGGAAAAACACTTTCTTCATATCTTTCCTTAATTTTTCTATAATTTCATTAAGAATAAGCCATGGAAAGGAGATAAGAATTAATTCAAAATTATCATCATGAAACCACTCACCTAAATGCAGCTCTATGTCTGTAGACATAGCCAAAGAAATTAAGTGTACATAATTTAAATCATGAACTCTAAGGCTTGGTCTCTTTGAATTTTAGAAAGAAGCACTTTTATGTATATACAGTGTCTATAAGTACAGGAAAAAGACAAGAGAATGTTTTTTCATAAAAGTTCAATTGCTTAATTCTCAGGTGACTATTAAGGCCCAAGGGCCTTTCATGTATTTTCCCTGCTAAGATTTGTAGGAACATAATAGTTTTTATCCATGGTTTTATTAGTCTGACATATGGTCTTCCATTGAGTCCTGCTGCTGATGCATGTCGGACAGCCAGACATGCCCTCTCCCTCATAGCTACAGCTAGACCTCCAGCATTTATCATCACCATGGCTAAAGAAGTGGCTCGCCTCAATGCCTTGGCCCAGACAGCTCAGGCTCAGCACTCACAGATCATGAATTCTGTGTTGGTCAGAGGAAAATCGGAAATACTCAAAACTATAGAGCTTCTAGTGGAGAAAATGCCCAGCGATGTGGCCGATCAACTGGTAGAGGTATGTGACATAAGGTCCTAGTTATAAAAGTAATTCTGCAGTATGCATGACTACATATATGACATTAAAGTTAGACACTTTTACTGTAAATTAAAATGGCTCTCTAGATACATGTACCAACAGACTACTTTCAATTCAGATATAAGAATGTATAATGACATGATTTACATAGTTTTTATGAGGGAAACATCTTATATGTATTATGTGCTCAAATTATTGTAGGCAATGGATGTCACCATACACTGTCTAGACATGAACCAATTGAAGACAAAAGGCTTGCAGGAATTATTTCCTGCTATATGCAGGTAAATCAAACCTCATTTTTTAGCTTGCCGTCGTCAATTATTAATTAGATGTTTTTTTGGCATTTGTTATTGTGCTTTTGTTTTTGTTTTGTTGTTAACCCCACCCTGGCCATCACTATGACCTTGACGAAACTTCCTTGATACATTGTAATTCACTATGATTTAATATACACATGTATATATTGCTTTGGTTAATAGCATACATGCACATTTATAAGGGATTTATATTCTGTATTTCAATTGAAGGTCAAAGTATTTGATACACGATTTGTATCATACAGCTTTCAACATCTGATTACATTGATCGATATCTTAACCTCTGAGATATGACCATGAGTCAAGTTCATGGCACATGTGATGTTGTCAAGTCACTTACAACAATATACTCTAATTAATGAATTAAGAGTTGTGGTGTGAACTAGCTCACTATTTCATTCCCAGTAACTCTCATCTTTGATCATGACACACTTTTAGGTATAAATGGATGACAACATACTCAAGTTTGAATTCATTCAAATCAAAGGTTCAACAGTTAGGGCCTGGACATACTTTTATGACTGATATGGAAGTTGTGTCTGGGCCATAAAATTATGTTAAATGAACTCAGAAATATGTTATTGTCTGACCTAAAGGTTACTCATAATCTTGACTCAAGGCCATGTTACTAAGGTCAAAGTCACTGATAATGAAGTATTGAAATTATGAAACAAATTTTGAATAATACTGATGTCAAGAAGCATCTTTCAAAATGTATTCCTTTATATGAAGTAAAATTGGGAAGGGGCCAAAATCCTTTTTTGTCAATTATCATCTAGTTTTGTTTTAATATGAACAGGCCATGTAGGGAAAGGGCTAAAATAGGCTTTGCCTGCTCCCCAATTCCATTCGTTTTTGCAAATAAAATAGTGTTTACATAATTTGAACAGACCATGTGAATATCCTGTCTTATCCGTATGAAATGGCTGGGGCATATACAATCGGATCACCTCGCCCTTTTCCGTCACACGCTAAAAAACTTTTTTCTAGCGTGCGATGGAAAAGGGCGAGGTGATTCGATTGGGGGCATATAGTGTAACCCCTTTCTTTCCATCAAAGGTAATTTTCTGGATTTTTTTTTTTTTTGCTGAGTTTGTTTAAGATATTAAGCTGATTTTTGATACGTCTCTTTAAATTGATGACTTTCAATCAAGTTCAAGTTTCTTGTTGATTGACCCATGTTGACAAAAGTTATTCCCCCTTACACTTTGAAATTTTCTAATTATTCATAGTTTTTTCCCTTCTTTTTTTTCACTGTGCTTAAATATAATGTGCTGATTTTTGGTATATCTCTTTATATTGACGACTTAAAATAAGTGTATAAAGTGTATCAAGTTTTATTTTCACAAAATTTATTGCCCTTAGACTTAAACCAAATTCTAATTATTTACTGTTTTAATTTGCTAGGGTTAAAGAGTATGATATTCCATTTTTAGCTCACCTGAGCCGAAGGCTCAAGTGAGCTTTTCTGGTCACATTGTGTCTGGCGTCCGTCTGTCTGTCCGTCTGTCTGTAAACTTTTCACATTTTCAACTTTTTCTCAAGAATCACTGGGCCAATTTCAACCAAACTTGCCACAAAGTATCCATGGGTGAAGGGGATTCAAGTTTGTTCAAATAAGGGCCACACCCTCTTTCAAGGGGAGATAATTAGGAATTAGTGAAAAAATAATGGCATCATTTAAAAAATTTCTTCTCAAGAACCACTAGGCCAGGAAAGATGAAACTTATGTGGAAACATCCTCAGGTAGTGTAGATTCAAATTTTTCAAATCATGACCCCCAGGGGTAGGGTGGGGCCACAATGGGGGATCAAAGTTTTACATAGAAATATATAGGAAAATATCTTTAAAAATCTTCTTCTTAAGAACAGCAAAGCCATGATTGTTCATATTTATATGGAAGCATCCTCAGGTAGTGTGGATTTAAGTTTGTTCAAATCATGACCACCAGGGGTAGGGTGGGGCCACAATGAGGGATCAAAGTTTTACATAGAAATATATAGACAAATATCTTTAAAAATCTTCTTCTTAAGAACAGCAAAGTCATGATTGTTCATATTTATATGGAAGCGTCCTCAGGTAGTGTAGATTCAATTTTTTTTCAAATAATGACCCCCGGGGATAGGGTGGGGCCAGAACAGGTGATCAAAGTTTAGCATAGGAATACATAGGAGAATTCTTTAAATCTCTTCTTCTCAAGAACAGCAAAGTCATGATTGTTCATATTTTAATGGAAGCATCCTTATGTAGTGTAGATTCAAATTTGTTCAAGTCATGGCCCCGTGGGATAGGGTGGGGCTTTTCATAGGAGTATATATGAAAAAACTTTAAAAATCTTCTTCTCAAGAACAGCAAAGCCATGATTGGTCATATTTAAATGAAAGCATCCTCAGGTAGTGTAGATTCAAGTTTGTTCAAATCATGACTCCTGGAGGTAGGGTGGGGCCACAATGGGGGATCAAAGTTTTACATAGGAATACATAAGAAAAATCTTTTTCTCAAGAACAGAAAAGCCATGATTATATAGTCATATTGATATGGAGGCATATCATATCAATATGACATATTTGGAATTTAATTTATTTAAAACTTGAATGTCGACTGGGCCATTTGTGTCATAATGATACATCTAGTTTGTACTATAGTTTGTACTATATGATTAAATGGTTTGTATCTCATTGAATCACCAGGTTCAGCATGGTGTGTGTGTGTCCTGTCACCAAGAGAATCTGGGTGGGAGCCAAGAATGGAGGCCTGGCATTTTATGATTTAAAGCAGCATTCCAAGTGTCAGGTAGCCCTAACTGGCTTTTTATTTCACACTTTTTTTTGAGAGTAAAAATTATTTTAAATATTTAAGATTTAATTGGTTGAACTATTTAAATAATAATGAGAAAAGTTCAAATATTTATGTATTACAAAAAAAAAAAATAAAAATAATAATCAGGTATTCCTACTTAAATACCACTACTAGTGTTTGTCTTGATGTTAGCATTTTTTGAAATTTTATTGATATTATTTATAATTAGCAGTAAGGAGTACATATTAGTTGAAAATTAGTTTTTGATATGAAATCTAACCTTAATGGCAGGCATTCCCTTTTAAATTCAATCTTCTTTTACCTAGTAATTTTTTTTTTGTTAACAGCCACTGGTAATAAGAAAAGGTGTGGATGTGCTAACTAAAGGCTTTTGACATAGTTCAATGCTGATGTTTCATGTGACTACATGCAAACTCTTGTATATAATTTCCTTTTCCATTTATTTGTACTTCTTTTCAGCAGATTAAAGAGATATAGATGTATGTCTCACCCTTAAGGAAGGGACATTGTTTTACCATGGTTATTTATTCATCTGTCTATCCACCTTTCTGTCCATCCTTTAACTCTAAAAATAGTAAACAGTTTACAGAGACACTTTAGTCCTATTTCAAAAGGTCAAGGTTATTTCCAAACTTACATGTTTAGGTTAGTTTTTCTATTTTCACTTTTTACTTCATTCCAGATGATCCAAGCCCACTCTGGTCCAGTGATTGCAGTTTCCGTTTCCTCAGATGGAAAATTTTTAGTGACATACTCTCATGTGGACAGTAGACTAAAATTTTGGCAGGTACACTAGAATTTTGAAATCAATAATCAATTTTATCCATTTATAGTTACTAGTATTGACATACATGTTAATTGTACTGCTTTAGGTGGCAGTTTACCCCTTTTTTTAGCTCACCTGAGCTGAAAGCTCAAGTGAGCTTTTCTGATCACATTTTGTCCGTAGTCCGTCTGTCCGTCCGTCCGTCTGTCTGTAAACTTTTCACATTTTCGACTTCTTCTCCAGAACCACTGGGCCATTTTCAACCAAACTTGCCACAAAGCATCCTTGGAAGAAGGGGGTTCAAGTTTGTTCAAATGAAGGGCCATGCCCTCTTCCAAGGGGAGATAATTAAGAATAAGTGAAAATTTGGTGTCTTTTTTTAAAAATCTTCTTCTCAAGAACCATTGGGCCAGAGAAGTTGAAACTTATGGGAAACCTGCATTACATAGTGTAAATTTAAGTTTGTTCAAATCATGACCCCCGGGGGTCGGGTGGGGCCACAATGGGGGATCAAAGTTTTACATAGGAATATATAGGAAAATTCTTTGAAAATCTTCTTCTCAAGAACAACAAAGCCACAATTAGTCATATTGATATGAAATCATCCTCAGGTAGTGTAGATTTAAATTTGTTCAAATCATGACCCCCGGGGGTAGGGTGGGGCCACAATGGGGGATGAAAGTTTTACATAGGAATATATAGGAAAATTCTTTAAAAATCTTCTTCTCAAGAACAACAAAGCCACAATTAGTCATTTTGATATGAAATCATCCTCAGGTAATGTAGATTCAAGTTTGTTCAAATCATGACCCCCGGGGGTAGGGTGGGGCCACAATGGGGGATCAAAGTTTTACATAGGAATACATAGGAAAATTCTTTAAAAATCTTCTTCTTAAGAACAGCAAAGCCATGATTTGTCATATTGATATGAAATCATCCTCAGGTAGTGTAGATTTAAGTTTGTTCAAATCATGACCCCCGGGGGTAGGGTGGGTCCACAATGGGGGATCAAAGTTTTACATAGGAAAATTCTTTAAAAATCTTCTTCTCAAGAACAACAAAGCCACAATTAGTCATATTGATATGAAATCATCCTCAGGTAGTGTAGATTTAAGTTTGTTCAAATCATGACCCCTGGGGGTAGGGTGGGGCCACAATAGGGGATCAAAGTTTTACATAGGAATATATAGGAAAATTCTTTAAAAATCTTCTTCTCAAGAACAACAAAGCCACAATTAGTCATTCTGATATGGAATCATCCTCAGGTAATGTAGATTCAAGTTTGTTCAAATCATGACCCCCGGGGGTAGGGTGGGGCCACAATAGGGGATCAAAGTTTTACATAGGAATATATAGGAAAATTCTTTAAAAATCTTTTTCTCAAGAACAACAAAGCCACAATTAGTCATTTTGATATGGAATCATCCTCAGGTAATGTAGATTCAAGTTTGTTCAAATCATGACCCCCGGGGGTAGGGTGGAGCCACAATGGGGGATGAAAGTTTTACATAGGAATATATAGGAAAATTCTTTAAAAATCTTCTTCTCAAGAACAACAAAGCCACAATTAGTCATATTGATATGGAATCATCCTTAGGTAGTGTAGATTCAAATTTGTCGAAATCAAGACCCCCGGGGGTAGGGTGGGTCCACAATGGGGGATCAAAGTTTTACATAGGAATAAATAGGAAAAATCTTTTAATATCTTTTAAAGAACAGGAAAGCCGTGATTAGTCATTTTTGATATTGAAGCATCCCCAAGTATTGTAGATTCAAGTTTGTTCAAGGCATCCTCCAGTAGTAGGGTGGGGCCATAATCGGGGATCAAAGTTTAACAAAAGAATATATATAAGAAATATCTTAAAAAATCTTCTTCTCAAGAACAACAAAGCCATAATTAGTCATATTGATATGGAAGCATCCTTAGGTAGTGTAGATTCAAGTTTGTTCAAATCTTGAACCCCCCTCCCTTCCTTCCCCCCAGGGTAGGATGGCAGACATCTTTAAAATTCCGTTTCAAGAACAGCAAAACCATGATTAGTTATATGAATATAGAAGCATCCTCAGAAAGTTTAGATTCAATTTCATTCAAAACATGGCAAATGGGGGTAGGTTATGCCTAGAACAGTTGATCAAAGCTTTACGTATGAATATATAGAAGAAGAAATCTGCTGACAAAGAACAGCAGGGCCATATTGACTCAGGTGAGCGTTGTGGCCCATGGGCCTCTTGTTCTCATTTTCCTGCCTATTGCTTTTATTAAAAAATCTACTGCATTTCCACAAAATCCTTTTCTATGCTACCTTTTTTGAGGTCTGAATCTCCCTCTTTTTCATCACAGTAGGTTAACATGTATGGTATTGAATATCTTAACTTTTATATATTACATGTATATTGGATAAATCACTGATGCTTCTCTCTTTGATATTGTCACAGACGGCCTCCTCTTCACTGTTTGGGATTGGATCACAGCAGATGAAGTGTGTCAAACAGACCGCTACCCCTCCCATTCCAGTCACAAACCTGACCAATCTCCTGAAACTTGTCCGCTTAGTTTGGGTGGACAATCGTACAATTGTTATGTTGACAGTAGATGGAAAGGAAAGAAAATATTCAGTTTAATGTAGAACTTGGTATATACAGTACTTAGTATAAGTTATTGTCTGTTCATACTTGTCCATGTGGTTTTGAATTAAAAAAAAATGAGGCTTAAGAAAACAATATGTTAGTTTACAGTTACCCGACTGACCATAATTTTATACACACTGACCCAAATATATTTTTTAATGGTAATATTCAGAAATTGCATGTTTATATGTTTACCTTCAAATTAACAGTTTGTTGGGTATATTGTAATAAAAAAAAATTTTGGGGGGGGGGGGGGGTGGAAGAGAGTTCAAAACTGTCTTTAAAAGATTGTATTTCATAGATATGCCTCTTAATATGGAAAAAAATATTAAGAAAATGAAAACAATTCCTACCTACCAACCCTATTTTCTAATACATGTAGTATGAAATAGTAAACAATCATATTTCTTCTTAGGCCTAGTCATTGGTCAGAAAAAAGTACTTTTATAAACATGTATAATGAAAATTTTAGAGCAATAGATACAATGTATTGTATATGTAAGAATCAGTGTATTGAGTCTGAGATAAAGAAAATAATATAATTATGTACAGTGTATCAAAATGGTGCCTCAAAAGGGTTTTTTTCGGCAAAATGTAAATGCCAGGTATATGTAGTAAGTTTGCAAGGGTGGTTCTATTTGGGTGGTATGGATGGATTACTGTTTCTGTGAGTCTGTCTTTCTTTGTGTTGGAGTTGTAACTTAGTGATGGAGAAACATCAGCAGTATAACATGTACATGTACACCTGTACTTGGCACCAGAACAGAAACATTAGTTTTGCAAAAAGTAGTAGTGAATTTACATGTACTCCATACATTTCACCATATTCTACCAAGTAAGCCCTCTGGGCTAAGTGCTCTGGGCATTTCAAAAATAGAATAATGGCAGATACATGTACATGTATTAGAACATGTATGAACATATTACATTTAATATTTTTTTCTGTTTTATTCCATCTCCTCTGTGGTTTTATTGAAATAAATTCATGTAAAGTGGTTAAGTAAATTGGATATTATGGTAATACATGTATATTTATTTTAAATATGTATATATGTATGTAAATGTTTGCATTAAACCTAAGACCTGTAAACTAACTGTTCATTAAACTCAGCAATGTTATAGTTACAAATTTTTTTTATACATGTATACAAAAACACATCATGGTACTAGTATGATTATAGTGATGACATTTCTTGACTTTTTCATACAATTTATTAAAGTCTTTGATTACATTCCTTAAAATGTATTAGAACTGATGCTATTTTATCAACTGTTTGAGTGTACATGTATCTTAAGTAATGGTTTTAAAATCGTCAAAACTGTTTACTGTATAGCAGTGTGATGTTCTCAAAAATCTGTGATACAAGTAGTATAATGCTTCAATAAACCCACCTGTGTCATGTGGATAGAACATATATAGACACTTTTATTTATGTAGCTCACAGCTGCTTCCTTCTATTTCTTGAGTGTCTTGTATGTAGATGTTAACATACAGGTAGGAAGTGGCTTAAAATCTAGTCATTTTGCACTTTGTAAATTGTCAGTAGAGGTAATTGTAAAAATAAATGGAGGTGCAATAAATTATTTAAAAATTTAGTGTATAACTTGTTCATTTAGCAGTTGTATATGTGAATACATCAATCTACAATTATCTATATTACATACGATCTATGTCCTATGATCACATGATTTATGAGGAGAAAAATTAATGAACCAGTCCAGGGTTGGGAGGGGGTGGTTGCTGACACCTTATTATATTAAATAAAAATTTAGTTTTTGTGGTAACAAAGCTGGTGTTTTTTTTTATCAAGGGTTACCATAATTTTACCATTTCTAGAGTTAACCATTCCATAACATTATACAGTATAATTTGTCCAGCCAGATACCACTGGTTCCATGAAAATTGGTGGGATTAGACAGAATCTGGATAGCAGGAAAATGTTTGAGATTTTCCTTTGTTTTATTTTTTGTTTGAAACTGAGCTAAACACAATATAGAAATAGTGAGGTATTAGGGATGTTTAAGGTCAGAAAATTATGCCAGTTGAATAGCTTTTTACAATATGCATCATTGCATGAATCTTGGTTCACATATTTGGAACCGTTTCTTTGAAACCTAGCTAAATGCGAATGGAAAGACAGAAGAATGGGAGACAGACATGAAGAACACTATAAGCCTTAGCCGTATTTATGGTGGGGCATATGCGGCATTAAAAAAGACATCTAACTTCAGAATTTGCTACATTGGGATGCATATGGTGTGTTATAAAATGATCTTGATTTTTAGCTCTTCTGAGCCAAAGGTTCTAAGAGCTAATGCTATGGCCATTTGTGCAGTGTGCATAAACGTTTTAGAATATGGGCCATAACTCGAGAATCCCTTGGTCAATTGTCAAATTTGTCACAGGGTATCCTTGGCCCAAGGGCTCCCGTTTATACTAAAACTAGGGTTGTGACCCTTAAACAAGGGGGAGATAATTAGGAAAATAGAAACAAAAGTACTGGTTGCTAACAAATCTTCTTCTCAATTAAGAACCACTGGGCAGATTATCACCAAACTTACACAAAAGGATGTTGTAGATTAAAATTTGCATGGGGATTTACCCTGGGGCAAAGGGCGTGGTCTCAAGGTCACTTCAAAGTTGACCAAAAATTATATTTTATTAAAATGTTGATATTTTGCTTACTATAAGGACTAGGATCATCAAATCTTGTCAATTGATGCATCCAAGGACCTCATATCATGTTGATTCAAAAGTAGGTCACGGTGACCTACTTTTTAAATTTTGCAGCCATTCTTTTTCAAAATCATCAAACTTAGTTGATGCATCTTGGGTCCTCAGAGAATGACAAGTGATAAGTAGGTCACCATGACCAACTCTCAGGTAGTGATTGGCTTAGAATCATCTTGGGTTCTCGGAGTGTTTCATCTAATATATAGGTCATGATGACTTACCTTTGGAATTTCAAGGGTTTATCTAAATAGACAGGATACTTAGAGGCTTCAAATAGAAGTGATAGGTTGTACAGTTTATCAGAAGAGCGATTCAAGGCCCTTGGGCCTCTTATTCTTGATTTTTTTTTTCCAAGGAAAAACCCCAGCTTTACTGCAGATCCAGGAAAGCGCATTCTGGATTCATCAAGGTTACATTTAGTTACTATCAAGAGTGCACAAGAAAACTGCATGCACACTAGAATATCAAGGGCAAATGAGACACTCTCAGGGCAGGTCCATACTTTACCCTTCTTCCTGATAAGCAGCTCATCACATCCACACTTGGTTATGTAAACTTGTGAGCATTTTGAGGGAACTAACTTGATCTACTACAATGTATCTTTTTTCACAGTAACACCAAGGAACATTCATTACCAAAATATGATTAGTTTTTGCATGTTAGGCCTAATTAACTCCAGATTAAGTTGATGTATTTCGGGAAACTACCCTGAATCAGACCCGCCAACTCCATTTTATTGAAAAGCGTAGTAACCCAGGATCTGTGGGCATGCGTCCACTTCAAACGGCTCAGAATACGTCAATTAATGCAGATGAAGGCTGCTCAATTTCAGGTAACTGGTTAATTTACTTAATACAGTTACAAGACTCCATAACTAAATACAGTTAAACTTCGTTATCTTAAACACTGATATTTCGAATACCACGGATATTTCCAAGTGATATGGAAGTCCCAATTGCTTATTCCTTAAGTATTTTACCCTGGATATCTCGAGCCCTTGGATATCTTGAAGTATTTTCTTGGTCCCATCGGGTTTGAGATAATGAGGTTCGACTGTCTTTACCATGCCCTGGAAGTGACGGGTGAAAGACCTGCCAGGGAAGAGCCTGGGTTGGTGTATTCAGAAGCCTAAGACCTTTAAAGAGGGAGAAATGTGGCAGTCAGACAGGTTCAATCTCCGATGGCCAGATATCTCAGTTGGTAGTGCACCTGATTGGAGATTCAAATCCCGGTCTAATGCATCACATTTTTCTCCTCTCCCATTACACATATACAAATAGAAATCTGTACTTTGCCATCATTGTTAGTTTTTCCCAAGAACATTTCAACCATTCTTTAGTATGAAGTAAAATAAAAACAGATTTCTTCACATTACATAGCCTTTAATTTACTTTTTGCATGTAGAAGTTTGAATCTATAATTCACAATGAACTGTACAACAAAGAGGACATTATACACTGCTAATTTTTACCAGACAACGCTAGATAAAAAGAACATTATTTGGCATTGAAGTACAATGTATGTGATTGAGAATTTTTACTTAATGCATAATTTTAATCTTAATGTCAGAGATGTCACTTTGTTCATTGTAGATCTATAAAAATGTGTAATTCAACATCAGAAAATTTTTCTCCCATTTTTTGCACATATACATGTCCCTAATAGTGTTGTAAGTTTCAAGATAGAAGTACATGTATTTGTGGGTATTTACCGTACTACATGTATCTGCAGTAAACACAGTAATTATCAAAGGAAACTAATACAAAGTTTTTAATGTATAACCAGTCATCTGATTATGTGCTTTTTGAAAAAGCAATTAAACCTTGTATTGTATTTAGCGTTGTCTGATTCTTGTTGTATGTTAACTATTGTATACAGCTAATGAAAGTAAACTTACAAATTGCACAAAATGAGAGCATGATTTGAAGTTTTTTAGTCAATTGTTTTGCAAAAATGAAATATTGCAATTATAGATAGCATTGGTTTAACATAGAGAAAAAAGATAAACACATATATTAATGACTATGAAATAAAATCTATATACATAAACCACATTTTACAACCATAAATAAAACATTTTTTAACTCACATACATTTACCATACTCATTTCACCTCTTTTGTCAGGTGAAATTTATCACATACACCATTCAAACATACTCAGATTTCTTTCCTACTTGGTGTCTGAAATTTTATTTTTAAAAGGAATATTGTAACATTTTACATGTTACTTCATGACACACCCATTATTTTTCACAATGAAACCTTTTCTTGGGAAATGAAATAAATCTATCATAGGTATAAAGAGTCAAATAAAAAAACATAACAGTAAAAAATATTATCATGAGAAATATAGGAGAAGATACTAAGTGAAATGTTATATACTTCATATGAATTGATATTATTTCTCTTTAACAGCAGTATATTTTTTTTCATAGATAAAAATAATATCAAAAACTTGGATTTCAAACAAAAAAAAGCCACAATAACTTTTCCTGTAATAATTTTCCACTGTGTAAAAATGTGATCAGAATATTCCCAAATGCCGACAGAATTTGAGTTTTCCTTTGTGGTTGCTTCCCTTTTCAACTGGGAAGGATTTCTTAGCCTTAACAGCATCCACCTCCCTGGGATCCACCACCTGACGAGGAGGGCAAGCTAGGGCTTGGGGAATGCTGAGGTCCAATCTTTATACCATTGGCCTAAATTAATCAGAAAATGTTCTAGTCTGATTTGGTCTCTCTCTGTTTTTTCTCCCTCATTCATGTACTACATATTTCTAACATAAATCAGTGTTTGAGTTAAAAAAAAAATCTCTCGAAGTATAAGAGTCTTAAAGATATATTATTAACAAAAAATAAAAAAAACAACAAATAATTAAATAGAAAAAAAACACACTTTGAATTTTATGCGTTTCATATAGATGGTCATTCATGCATGGAGTTTTATGTGTCTGGGCTTTAGCAGTCATTTGTGTAAGCACAGATAGTGATACCAAAGGACTGCCTCAAGGTTAACCCAGAGGGTCAGTTGTCCAACCAGATGTTAAAGTAACACGTATATGAATGTAGAGATAATGGAATGAACAGTAAAAACACACAAATTCATTTGTAATTTTTGGAGTGAATATACACTATACATGTAATAAATATTTTGAAGTTCTGGAACTCAATACATGTACATTCCATTACAAACTGCTTTTGTTTTGTCAAAATTGCTTAATGTGTAGCTCATTCCAGTGTGTGTGCATGTGATTTTAAACCAGGGCTAACCCTTAAGGTGGCCCTTTATAATCAATTAGGGAGACAAGTGTCCATAAAGCAACTGTCTCAAACCAAAGTTGAACTAACAGAATGCTCAGAATAAACAAAAGACTATAATGCAGATATGTATTATTGAAATGTTTAATACATGCAGAAACTAAAAGTGGTACTTGTAGTTTTATCAGTTAATTAGCAAATATCATACATCAGTGGATGAATAATAATGAATACTAAGTTGAGTGTATTCTTTTTTTTCAGGACACAGTTTGTGACATGTGCAACAAGTGTTGATCTAACACAAAAGTATTTAAAATGTGTGAGTCTGTGACATGTGTATAATATAAAAAATACATACAAAAGTGTCTCTTTTTTTCAATGAAATTTTTATACATACCTCATTATTTATATCAAACACACCATCCTGAATCTTTTGATAAATTTCTTTGGCTGTATTTATAAAAGCCTGCACAAAAAAGTGAACAAAGTAAAAGTAAATACCATATATACCTCACAGTAAAAAATACCCCCCCCCCAAAAAAAAAATTAGACTGCAAAAGAAAATATTCACAAAGTAAAAGTGAATAGCATATATACTTCACAGTAAAAAATACCCCCCTCCTCCCCCCCCCCCCAAAAAAAAATTAGATTGATGAAATAGGTGGGTATGTACATGTATATCTGATAAATATCCTGAAGAGAAATATTATACTGACCTCTTCTACATTGGCTGCTGTTTTAGCAGAAGTCTCCATGAAGATAAGGCCATGTTCTCTGGCAAATGCCTCACCCTCTTCTTTCTTCACATCTCTTCTGGCCTCCAAGTCACTGATTCATACAAAAAAAAAACTCTATATTTACCACAGGACAAATATATTTCTCAGATAATGATCATAAATATTTTCATTTTTTACAGACATTTTCCTTCTATTCAAATGGCTGTGTCATGTAAACTTCCTTAAAGACTTGCTTATTTTAACATTGTGATTTAACTTTATGATGTTCAGTTTGTTCATTTCATTTTTCTACAAGAATTTGCTTCCTTATCAAGAAAACGTAGAGAATTTCATCCAACCCTTAACTTGTTAACTTTTCCTCCAAAACTAACCTTTTGTTACCGATTAACATGATGACCATGTTGGAGTTGGAATGTTGACGAGCATCCTCCAGCCAAGTAGTCAGGTGGTTGAATGTATCACGCCTAGTAAACAATGCAATTGGTACAATAACATTTTCATCTGATCCATTGCTTTTCCTTCATATTAGAATAATAATACATGTATATTACTTTTATCTGTGTCAGTTTAATAAGAAAAGGCCCATGGGCCACCATTTTAATTTTATTAAATACCTTATTTTAATCTTTCTGACAAAATACATAATTGTATATGTATATGAGACATGTACATGTAAATAAATAAAAAACTCTTATTTGTAAACATCAACATAAAATCCATGATTTCAACAATTTAACTTTTACAGTATTTTGAGGCTTAAATGCTTAATGTCAAGTTCGTAAATCATTGCTTTGTTGTTGCAAAAGCTCTAAATACTTCTGTGTAAAACTTTGCTACCCTACTGTGACTCCATCCTAGCCTCAAGGGACGATGAAATGTTCAAACTTTGATTCTACACTACATAGGAATGATCACCTATTTTTGTGATTGATTGAATGTCTGCCATTTTTCATCAGATTTCATGTCTTAGAAATTAGTTTTTTAACTGATTTTCTTATGTAACTGAACTGTTATAGTCATAAAACTCTATAAAGAACTTGAAAGATGGAGGCTATATTGGAGTACAAATAAGACTTCAAATGATTTAAAGTATTTATGTTTTGGTTTTATGAGGCAATAAATTCTTATGTAACACTTTTCAATTTACCTCTGTTGTAGCCCCTTGCTAGCACTAAGGGGCCATGATTTGAGCAACTTTAAACCTTCAGTATAAAAGCATGTTTACCTTTGAAATTGACAAATGGATAAGCTACTACTCTTGAGAAGAATTTTTATTACAAAAAAAATTATCTTGTATATTCCAACAAAAAACATTGAACTTTTGCCCCCCCCCCCCCCCCCCCAAAGGGACTATAATTGGACAAATATCAATCTTCACTCAATAGGGAAGATTTCAAAAAATAAGCTCAGTCTTTTCTAGTCCAGTGATTCTTAACATTTTAACCCCTAACAATTTTAACTTATACTTGATCATTCTCAACTAAAAGGTAGCATGGCCATTCACTTCAATCAATTTGAATTCCTCTTTACTAAGGATGCTTTTTGCCAAGTTTGGCTGATTTAGTCCAGTGATACTAGAGGAGTTAAATTTTTTTTAATAATTTTACAGATGACAGAGATTTCCCTCAGTCAGATAGACCCATTTTGAGCATTTTTATATTTACACTGGTACTTCATAACATTTTTTCATACCCCCCCCCCCCCTTTTTTTAAAAAAAAAAACTTTGACACTGTAGAATTTTTTTCATATTACAGTATTTTAGATTTTGAATCCATGCAAATTTTTTAGTTTTAAGTTACCTTGTGATGTCGTACACTAACAATGCTCCCGCTGCACCTCTGTAGTACGACCTTGTGATGGAGCGGAATGACTCCTGTCCTGCCTACAAAAAGGAAATTCACATTCATATAATAAAATCATCAAGCTTGGTAATTTTCAAATAAACGTTATAGTGCATAGTTGATTGCCTTTTACCCCTTTGTTTGCTGACTTGTTTTGAAATGAGTGGTACCACAGCATCATGTTCTTTTGGAGTATCGATGAAATCAGCACCGTGGTGTATTTATAGATACAAACATATTACAAGTAGCCATGACACAATACTTGACTACTTTGATGGCCACCAAAACTGACTACCTTATACATCAAAACTGACTGCTTTATAGGTATAGTAGTTTTGGTCACCAAAACTTGAATAACTGACAAATGTGAATGTGTTTTGCATCCTTATAATAGTAAACAAGTATTTGCATGGAAAAAGATGACAATTCACCTCTGTTCTTAAACTACAGATCTGCATTACCTGTAAATGCATTCAAACTCTGGCCATGTACAATATCATATTAATTTTTTGTTTTTGCTTTATACCCATAAAAGCTTGTAGACTGAGTATTCCTGCAGCCGTATCAAGAATAGTTCAACTCTTGTCGACTTAAAATTGTCACTGAAATAAAAATAATGTGTAACTACAGTCCATCCCTGTGACACTGACACTTGGGGGACGAGAAAAATTGTAGAGAGAGGAATATTTGTGTCCAGTGCTCTTTAAAACAGATCTGCTTTACCACTCTCATGATTATGATCAAAGGCTTCAAAGCTTCTTTTCTAGTACATGTGTAACTATAATGTTCGTTTCTGTGAACCTGATCAATAGGTAAGGCTCATGGCGGGTGTGATCAGTCGACAGAGGATGCCTTCTCCTTCTAGGCACCTGATCCCATCATGGAATTTCCAGAGGATCCCTGTTTTATGCCCTGTTCAGATTTGTATTGTTTGTAGGTTTCTTTAAGATTGATCACTGTTATCTTCACATATCTCATTTGCATAACTTGTTGAACTTAATTTCCAGTATTAGAATAAATTCTAAAGATGTCATTAAGGCATGAGTGAACATTAAGATTGTCTTTTGTGCTCTCACTAGTCTTAGTCATGTCAGTGTAAAGGTTCAAAGTCGATTAGTGTTGGTTTTTAGCCAAAAACTTAAGTTGTGAATGGTCATACTCTCCACAACCCTATGACTGTCTTAACAATACAGTCATGTATATTTGGTAGTATGTACATGTATTAGCTGGAGTGGCTCAACCACCTAACCTTCTACATCTAAATATAGTACAATTAGCATATTCACATTTAGCTATCATGAAGTGTGGTATCAGAAGGCCAAGTTAAAAACAGTCTTTTCAAACCAAATTCCTACTATCATAATTACTTAAATCAGCTGACACATTTTATTTTCTAAATCTTCAAAATTTTGAAATAAATTTTTGTTATAAATTATTTTAAATTATAAATTATTATAAATTATTTTGGTACACAAGCAAGTTTAAAAAGTTATGTTTACACTAATTACATGTATTACACATACAATGTATTTTTTTAACCAAGCATTATTTAGAAGTCCCATATAAACAAACTTGCACAGGAAAAAAAAAAATCACAAGAGGCCCATGTCTCCGTGAGCCACACTGATCATCCTAGTCACTATGGCCATACTGTTCTTCATCAGAAGATTTTTCCCCCTATCCATTCCTATGTAAAAATTTTATCACCCATTGTGACACCATCCTACCCCAAAGATTCATAATTCAACAAGAGGCCCATGGGCTACAATGCTCACATGAGTCACGTTGGCTCTGCTGTACTTCCATCAAGACCCCCACCCCCTATACATATGTATACCAATGTAAAATTGATTCCTTGTTGTGGCCCCACTCTATCCCCAGGGGCCATAATTTGAACAAACTTGATCATCACTACCTGAGGATGCTTCCATATTAATATGACAAATTACTTTGCTGTTCTTGAGAAGATTTGTAAAGTTATTTATTTCTATTTATTCCTTTGTAAAACTTTGATTGCCAAATGTGGTCCCATCCTACCCCCGGGGTTGGGGATGGGATGTCATGATTTGAACTAACTTGAATCAACACTACCTGAGGTTGTTTCTATATTAATTTGACTAAACATGGCCCTGCTGTTCTTGAGAAGAAGATCTGTGAATTTCCCCCTATATATTCCTTTGTAAAACTCTGATGGCCAAATGTGGCCCCACCCTACCCGAAAGGAGGGGGGGGGGGCATATTGATCAAACTTGAATCTAAAATAGCTGAGGATGCTTTTGTATCAATATGACTAATCATAGCTTTGTTGTTCTTGAGAAGATAATTTTTAAAGATTTTTCATATATATTTCAAAGAAAAACTTTGATTCCCTATTGTGGACCCACCCTACCCCTTCGGCCCATGATTTGAACAATTTGGAATCTACACTACCTCAAAAAGCTTTCAATTAAGTTTCATCTCTTCTGGTCCAGTGGTTCTTAAGGTGAATATTTTTTATGACCCCACTCTATTTTTGCCTTTTCTTGAATATTTTCCCTTGGAAGGAGGCATTCCCTTCATTTGAACAATTTGGAATCCCCTTTACCCAAGAATGCTTTGTGCCAAGTTTGGTTCTTGAGAAGAAGCTTTTGGCTAAAATGAGCTAAAATCTTGAAACCAAGCTACTTAAGGGTGCTTCAATACATGTATTAGTATGTCTACTCATGCCATTTCTGTTCTTAAGAAGAAGATCTTTAAAGATTTTTTTCCTATATACAATGTATTCCTATGTAAAACCTTGTCTATTATGGTCCAATTCTACCATGATTTGAACAAAATTGAATCTACACTACCAGAGGATGCTTCCATATAAATGTGACAATTAATGCCTTTGCTATTCCTGATGAGATTTTTTCCTATATATTCCAATGTAAAACTTTGATCACCTATTGTGGTCCCACCCTAGCTTGGGGGTCATGATCTGAACAAACTTGAATTTAATTTATGTAATGACGCTTTCACATAAATTTCAACTCTTCCGGCCAGTGGTTCTTAAGAAAACTTTTAAAGATTTTTTTTCTATATATTTCTTTCTAAAACTTTGATTGCCTAATGTGGCCTCACCCTACCACCAAGGGCCATGATTAGAACAATTTTGAATCTACACTACCTGAGGACGCTTCCATTAAGTATCATATCTTCTGGCCATGTGGTTCCCGAGAAGATGATTTCTAAAAACATTAAATTTTCACTAATTCTTAATTACCTCCCCTTGGAAGAGGACATGAATCTTCATTTGAACAAACTTGAATCCCCATCTCCCAAGGATACTTTGTGGCAAGTTTGGTTGAAATTATCCCAGTTGTTCTTGAAAAGTCGAAAAATGTGAAAAGTTCACAGACAACAGATGGATGCCAGAGACCCTTCGATCAGAAAAGCTCACTTGAGCCTTCAACTCAGGTGAGCTAAAAATAGGTTGGGACTGTAAGCTTACTTTAATGTATCCATGATATGATTTGAGATGATGTTCAAGATAATAAGTTCAATTGTTATGCTTTCTAAACAATAACACATGTATAATACTACATATAATTTCGTTATTTAGTTTGTATGATTAAGTTTAAGTTACAAAGCACAACTTCTAAACTGAAACCCTACATGTAGGTGAGCATCAATTCAGCCAGACCCAATATGTGGAGTTACTGTGCATAAAACCTTAAGGGTTAATTGACATTTAGCCCCCTCCTTTTTTTTTTAAAACAAAGCAAACTAAAGCTATTTTTTTGTATACAGAACAAATTTATCAATGACAAACTGAAGCAAGAACAAATGTAGAGAAAATTTGCTGAAGTTTTCACTTATACAGATTAATTTTGGTTGGATGCAACATGCCAGTACAAGCTCAAAAAGGTTTGTTTTGATTAATTTAATATAGTTATTTTCAACGCAACTTCATTTGCATTCTCTAAAATCATGCTGATAGGAATACTCTTCATTTTGCTAGATTTTATGGGATATATTCTAACAATCGTGACTTATCTTGAGACACAGAAATCTTAATACTATAACTCGTTATAACTAGATATAAAAAAAAAAAGAAATACTAGGACAACGTATTAAAATTAAAAGGGATGTGGCAAGTGAAATTCTAAGTTTTTCATTCCCTCCCCAAGACTTTTTTTTTAGGAAAATATTTAAAAAACAAAACAACAACAAACAGACAAAAATAAAGACAGATACTAAATTACTTTGTTCTTAAGTATTGTAAATTTGCATATATCAATGTTTCTTATCATTTTAACAATAAAGCAGAGAAGCATGAACTCCTTACTTGTCAAGAACATGTGAAAAACATCTGTCTTTGAAAATCAATTTTGGTCAATCACACAGTGTGTAATCCACAATCTTTTGTAAATAATCAATACAGCGTGAACATGATGAATGACCACAGGCTAACACCTGGACATTTTCATTTCTACATGACCAAAATAAAAAAATGGGATGCAGAGAAATATAAGCTAAATGTACTTCAATTCCAAATACTCAGACTCAGTAAACTTACTGTATCCCAGATCTGTAGTTTTATTTGTTTTCCATCTATAGTTATCATTCGAGCTCCAAATTCCACACCTATAATTAATACATATACATCTGTACCTTAAAATCTGCTGCAAAACTCAATACAGTAAGTAATCATAACAATAATTTGATAGTGACATATTTACAATAAGAATACTTCAAATTCATGACCACTTAAATTAATTTCCTTGTGACATCAAACTTAGCTAGGAGTATGTGTTAAGTGTTTGATTATATAGATGCACGTAATTCTTGCAGTTGCTATTTATAAACCAGTGAAATAAACAAATGAATTACCTATTGTTAAGTCATGGACAGGTTGAAATCTTTTGTCTGTGAACTGAAGCAGAAGACATGACTTCCCCACTCCTGAAACAATACATGTACAGTCACATGACTCAAAAAAAATAATGTAAAATAAAACATGTCATATCAAAACAAGTCTATGAAATTCAGCATTGAATAGTATATCATTTATTGTGGTATGTTACGGATTATTTGCAGAAGCAAGCTTCCCTTCAAACAAAGCAAGGATTGATTCAGACACTGGAATATCAAAATTTGGAATATGAACTATATCACTTGCATAATAGATAAATATTTACCTCACTCAGTAGTTAATTTTTGTGTACTTTTAATTCATTTATGAAAATGATTTTCACTGGGTTTATATCTCATTTAGGGGACAGCCATTTTGAAGCTAAAATCAATAATCTTGCAATCAATGGCATCATAATGGAACTTCTGTGTCTAACTTAAGCTTTGTCTTCTCTACTATATTACAAGGGATATCACAGATATGTTGATAAAAAATAAAATAAAAATATATTACCTGTATCTCCTATTATAATATACTTGAAAAGGTATGCATATGACATCTTCTGCTTCTAATTATTGGCGTAGATCCTCGATTTGTTGATGAAAAAAAGTTTGACGTCACGAGAACACCGGAAGTTCTAATACGTGGAAGAGATTCTAAATTCTAAATGAATCCCGAGACTAATCCGTTTTATTTTTCTTGGCGATTGGGTAGAATCGATTACTTAACCCAGTCTTGGTGTAAATTACAGAAAAAAAATGAGAAAAGTTGACGGAAAATGAATGAAGTTTTTCTTTGAAGGTTCTTATAATTTATCAAATATTACCGGTTAAAGTTCTTTTTTTTTTCAGCATGCAGCACTGTACAAATGATCGAATGAGTTGCATAGTTTTAACTCTATTAATTTAATTAAAATAAAGAAAATAAATACAGAATATTTCCATAGTTATGTTATTTTTATGAAAGTGATGAATACTGTAAAACTTGTTCTGGGGCGTAAACTGCACAAGGGGCAAAAGCTCATTTCTACACTGCGTCCACTTGACAAACACTGGTCAGCTCTGACCAGAAATGCTTACAGATGAAGCACTTCTCTTTTTATTTTTCAAATTGATTTAAAATATATATTTTGAAAATATATTTAACTGAATTTACTGTAAATTTTATTTACCATCTAATAATATGCGACTAACCGTTAGTAAAATATGCACACAGAGCACATACATATACAATGTTTTTTTGGATTCTCTATGTGGGCCTGCTAACTATTCTTTGATCATCAAATGACAATCATATGTAGAGATGTCTCCTATCAGATACTCACCCCTGAAAAGCTTTAAGTGGAACCCTGTCCCCTATCAGAGTCAGGAACTCCCCCATACTATCACTGTGATCCCGGTTACTATAATCCCCCCCCCCCCGGAATTTTTCTTTTGATCGCATTATTAAAAAAAAAGGATATAATAGCATTTTCACCTGATATTTATCCAAATTAACGTTTTTTCAAACAATGTCAAATCTTCATGAATGCGTTTTCTTTGAACTCATGCGCGTATCTAGAGGTGGGGTAGAGGGTGGGTGGGGTCGGACACCCCTCCTGGAATTTGCGGATTTAATAAATGTAAATAGTAAAGTCACAAAAAATGACAATGGACGCCATCTAAAAAAACGTGGACCCCTGTTAAGATGTTAAGAAGAGTCAAACATAATAAGTGAAGGAAGCCCCCCCCCCCCCCTTCCCCAACACACACAGACACATTCACCACCACCAAATAGGTTTTCCATGTTTGGGAAAGGAGTTTAGTTTTTTAAAAAATCATTTAATTATTATTATTTTATTTATCTATTTATTTATTTTTGCTTGTGAACAAGATTCTGGTTTGGAATTTTGTTTTTGGATTAGGGTGGACCCCCCCCCCCCCCGGAAAAAAATCCTGGATCAGCGTCTGGAGCTTCTTCAGTTTTCTACCACTCACTGTAAGCTGATATCTTAACAAACACATCAATTTGTTGATGTTAAACTGCCCCTGCTCAAAAGGAAATGCCACCGATTTATATGGATATTACTGATTTAGGACCCTTGTGCTCCCTCCACGATACTTGAAAACTTGTACTAAAACTGGATCAAGAAGGGCGCTGATCCAGGAAAATTGAGACATTAATTGAAATTTTGGCAAAGGCAAAATATATATTTTTCTTAAATTTTCACCACAAAAAATGTGTTTGTAATAGATGGACCTGCAAACATGAGACTTTCGCCTGAAAGTGGGATATGTTATGAAATCATGGGCATAATTCGCATGATTTTGAAATTTGGTATGTCGACATGGGATGCTTACTCCTCCATGGCACTTGATCCCATTTTGATGTTTACAGAGGTCTGTGTTCGCTCTGTTCTCAGATTGTATTGTTTAAATTGAATGTGAGCACGATTACTGTTCGTTATCTTCTCATGAATATTTATAATAATGGGTATATATTTAAAGAAAAAAATCCACAATTAAAAAATATAAAGATATTAATCGATCGCAAAAAATTTAAGGCTTATTTATTCCTTGAATTTCGTAATTTTTTTCTCTGTGGTTTTTATCCCAATTTAAATCAACCTGTACTGGGAATATTTTCTGTCAAATTTCTATTTGTTTATATCATAGCTTTGTTTGACTCTTTTGCGTCTAATAACAACCTCATGTTTATGTACTTCATTTGAATGTCATATCCATTATGTTGTTATTTCTCATTCCTTATTTGTTCAGGAAGGATACCGTTTGAAAAACACGATACATTCCTTGATAGTGTATAATTTTCAGTGAAATTTGATGTATAATAACATGTACTTGTTATCTAACTTGTTTATCTAAAAACATTTTTAAAAAATCGAAAAACAAAAAAAAAAATCCCTCCCCCTAAATGGGGTATACTGTATCTTAGCCCTTTTTTGTTTGAGGGTAACTCTGGCGCATTTGGGTCTACAAAGTATACCATTAAGTTGGCGGATATAATCTTGGTAAGTCTTATTCCATTTATTTGGAATATATTATTATTGTGAATGTTACAGTTGTTTGTTTTTTTTTTAAATGCATTCAAGTATTGAGGAAACAATGCTTTAATCAAAAGCGTTGTGCATATTCACCAACAATTAAACCAAAACCAAAACATCTAAAGCATATAAGCCAAGTTTCCTTGATCATGCTTGCAAAGCATATTCAATTATATACGAGAGTTGTTCGGAAAGTTCGTGGACTTCTGTCATATCTTTTTTATTTAACGTCATATGTCATCCACATTTGGTAGAAATATTTTAACAATAAATCTAAATGATTTGTATTAAATTTTTCAAAAATATCATGATTTATTTAAAACTTATCCAGAATTAAAAACTGCAAAAATCGGATAGCGGCGCAGGTCAAAATTTAGTAATTTACAAACAAGTACACTAAATAATGTCTGTATATAGTCATCTTCTCTGTAAAATGGAGCAAAAACGAAAAAATCCTAGACGGTTAAATTAAGAACTGTTGCATTGATTCTTATTCCAAATTTTGGCTTAATATTTTGCTTCGGTAAAAAGAAATCAATTTGAGAAGATAGGCACATTGAAAACGACAAAAACGATGACGTTGTAGAACGTCACGGAGCAGCAGATAACGGTGCAGTTTTGTGTTATACTCGGGGAAAATCCTGAATAAACGCTAAAATGTTGGAGGAATCAGAAAATATGCCACAAGCGAGTAGTGCATGTGTGCGTAAATAGTAGAGGCGGTATTTGAGTGACAGAGACTCTGTATCGGACGAGGAAAATCTGTGAAGAAACGGTTTAACTGTAAAAATCTGAACGAAAACTTTTAAAAGTTGGGACGTCATGGAAAGACGTAGGCGCTTCAGAGTTGCTGATCTTGTGAAAGCACAGTTAAGCGATAAAAGAAATTAAACATTAACGAAGGAAATTATAAAACGAGAACAATTGTTAGAAAAATAAATGTCAAGTGATTGAAAAAGGTTTTTAATACGTGGGTATTGGACTATACTATGTGAATGTATAGGGATAGAATTTTTAAGAAACTCGTATATACGAAAGTACTCAGTTATATAATTATATTTCTATTTTCATGAATTTTTATAAATCGTCAAAATAGGCCAAGATCTCTAGTATATCCCCGCCAAAAAAACTAGCTATACATGTATACACCATTACCAAATTATTTGGAGTTTTTCTTTTTTGTGATATACAAATTAAAACTACTAAAACAGTAAACACTTACATGTACAAATAAAGTCATCGCATGTATTTTATATAAGTGAAAGTGTATATCCAGATGGAAGAGTATAATGTTTATATAAAATATTTGAAGGCAATGTTTATTAAATAAATAAATACTAGTAAATAGATAAATAAAAAATACATAGAATGATGTAGAATATATATGATCAAGATGAAATATGAAGATAACGAACAGTAATTAAAATCAAAAGTCTCTTGAAATAATACAAATTGTGAGCAGAGCAAATACGGATCTCTAAAGACATCAGAGGTAGGATCAGGTGCAATGGAGGAGTAAGCATCCCCTGTCGACCGATCAAAGCTGCCTGTGCTCCTTGTCATGATCAAGTAAACGGAAAAAGTGTGAAAATAATGGTCTAACAATTTGCATGAAAAAGTCAGTCAATATTCGACTTAACGATGAAGTGTATAAATTCTAGGGCTGTGTATTGAGCAAAAAAATTCGATACGATACGATATTTTATAATGCGATATATTGGATTTTTTTTAACAAATCTATCAAAAAAGTTTTATTAATCATTTAATGCATGAGTTTTTAAAAAAACTAATTGTTTATAAGCCATTTCGAAGTTCCTGTCTCACTGTGATTACAAATTACAATTCAAATTCAAATTTTTAACGACTTTTTAATCAACTTTTTAAAATAAAGTTGTCGATGTATTATGTAATATTTATCTAAGATCATCTTCGCTAGCCAAGGGTTTCTGATACGCTACTCTCCTCATAAGTTTATGAGGAGAGTAGCGTATCAGAAACCCTTGGCTAGCGAAGATGATCTAAGATGTGCTATCTCCTTAATGATTATATCATTATTGATCAGTTTTAAAAAATATAACATTTGGCAATTGAAATTCACAACTTTTTCACAGAATTATAAGTAAAACTGCCTGTCCGATAAGTATTGAAAGTTATTTTTTCGATACGATACATTATTGAATATTGATATATATATATATATATATATATATATATATATATATATATATATATATATATATATATATATAGATAGATAGATAGATAGATAGATAGATAGATAGATAGATAGATAGATAGATACAGCCCTAGTATTAACTAACATAGTCATTGTATCGACCATAGAATACCAGTATGCGAAATGTTGACTTTGAACGAGACTGACAGGCTGATATCCTTGAATCAACTTATTTGTCAATAACTCGTCTTGTTTTATTCATTGTTCGTATACGCAGAACATGCTCTTGCGTATCGAATCAGCTAGAAGACATAAACCTCATATGCAGGTTATAATGGTATATTTGGTATATGAAGAAGTGAAGATGACGATCGGAAAGTTAAAGTCATCACGTTCATCATAAAGTTTAGTTGTTATTATTTGTATTATATCA